GTTAACATAATTGATCAGCGTGGGAAGAGTCAAAGGTTAGGGAAAAATGGGTATAGTCATTGTTTCCAAATTTTCTATTTCTTCTTCCTGTTTCTGGCGGGGAGTGGGAGGGGCATACATGGTTTTAGTCCTTTCTCAGCTAGCCCCTTCTTCAGGCCCTGCCATCTGTCTAGGGTCCCAACTCCCTGTACCCTGGGGCAGTGACCTGACCTGGCCCCCCCACCCCCTTGACTGAGCTGCACAGAGCTGAGCACCTGAGAGCTGCTGTTTGCTCTCTGCCTTCCGAGGCCACATTGTTCGTCTGACAGCCTTGGCTGTGGGTTGCAGGCATGGAGATAGTGCACAGAGCTGGTTAACAATTACAATGGCGGTTTAGATTTCTACCTTCCAGGAGAGTCCCTCCCCACGGTGCAGGAAGTGTCAGCGGCTGGTTTATCGCAGTGGGGCTGTGTCTACCAGTGCACGTCTGGCTTACTCCTGGCGCCATCAAAGGGCTACTTTGTCCCCTGCCATGTCCTGCAGGGTGCTCCGTGGCCACCTCTGTGCCAGCCCCACCTGGCTCCTCATGGCCTCCCCCTTCCTTGCCTTCCACACACTTGCGGCTCATTCTCCAGGTGTCTGCTGAATCACCCAGGGAGCCAGGCCCGGGTTGCTTCCGCTCTGCCTTTCTTGCTCACTCCACTCCCAGGCTCCAGCCCTGAGCTCCGTGGCCTGCCTGCACCCTCAGCCAGAGGTGAGGGAAGCTGCCCACAGAGGCCCGACCTCACGCTACTGGGCACACCTGGCTGCGCTCACAAGAGGAACGGGAGCAGGTACAGAGGACCCAAGGTTCAGGGAGGTGGTGGCCCCTCTGCTCACCTGTGGCAGAGCCCAAACTCACCCCAGCCTTCCCTTGTTCATGCCCACTGCTATGTGAGACTTGCTGTCACCTGCCTGAGGACCCCCCTGTAGCCCTCTTTCTGGTCCTTGTGGGCACTTGTTATTGTCCCTGTGTGATGGGCAGGAACCGAGGAGGTCTCACCAGGGAGTGCTGTCCACCTCGCCATCTCTGCTGGCTGTGACAGCAGTGGTCAGGACATGAAGTGTCTGTGGTAGCAGTGGCAGATGGGGGCGACCAGAACCTTGCTGTGAAGGGGACTGGGAAGGAAGACCCAGACTGGCTAGAGGCCTGTGCTGCTTGCCCCTCTGCCTCATTTCCAGTTTGTTTAATTAGATTTGTTTATTTTATTCAAAAGGCAGAGTGATACATGGAGAGGTATCTTCCATTCACTGGTTCGTTGCCCAAATGGCTGCAGTGGCTGGAGCTGGGACTGGCTGCAGTCAGGAACCTGGAGCTCTGTCTGGGTCTCCTATGTGGGCAGCAGAGACCCAAGTGCCTGAGCTGTCACCTGCCACTTTCCCAGGAGCCTGGCCAACAGGGAGCAGCCTGGACTCCCTTGGACACGGGATGTGGCGCCACTCCATTCCTCTTCCGGCACCTGCTTCTGCTCCCTGGCCCCTCCCTGGGTGTGCCCAGGAGAGCAGATAGGTGGGACCTCCTTTGCCCTCTCAGTCCCCAGTGCACATGCAATGGGCCTGAGAGAAGAATGATGTTCTAGCTCTAAAGGGGAGAAGCCAGTCCCAGAGCCGGGGGCTGTGGGCTCCACGCTCAGGGCTCCCACCTCCACCCTGAGGAGGGAGAGTGACGGAGGGCAGCCGGAGCCGGAGATGGAGATGGGTGTCCTTGGCGATAGCAGCTACATAGCCACGAATGTGCTCTGTGTGAGGCGAGTATGATGGCTCATGGGCATTTTAGCACAGTGCAGAGCAAGCCGAGAAATTGCACAAGCCTGCGCACAGCAGGCACCCCTGCTCCTGCGAGGCTCTTGGGCGGGGTCCTGCAGCAGAGCAGGAAGCTGCTCTAGGCTGGGTGTGGAGGCACCTGGGCAGGTCCCTGCCTGGGGCAGGAAGAGGGACAGCCTAGGCCACATCCACCTGAAACTGCTGCTCCACCCTGGCCCACACCCTGCAGGCACCCCGCCCCTCGCACTGCCTGGCCAGGAGGGGGCCCAGGCTGCTTGAGCCAAACACTAACAGAACATTCCATTGCAGGGACTCTAAGCACAGCCCTGGGAGTTACTGACCCTACAGGAGCCCAGAGTGCCTGGGTGAGACCACCCAGAGCCCAGACCCTCCCTCCTTCCTCATTGAGAGACACCTAGCAGGCCCCCTGATAATGTAAGCACCTAGTCTCAGCCTGGCCTTGCCTTTGCTTATGCTCCTCCCCTCATCTCTAAACCTGGTCAGAGAAGGGCCACAACTTGTCCAGAATCACACGGCAGAGGAGAGCGGGTGAATGCCCTGGACAGGTCATCCTCACGGCGGCTGGCCTTGGCATGAGCCCATGTCCAACCCTGGCCCTTCATGGTCACATGAGGAACCCAAGCACTGCGTCTGTACCAGGGGCCCTGAAGCCAAGGCATACTCCGTGGTCATTTTTGTTGCCCTCCGCCCCCCAGCTCAGGATGGAAGGGAGTTTAGGGTGTGCCTTGAGAGTGGACTGAGTGGGGAGGGGTGAGGTCCTTCCTACCCTGGACAACCTGGAGACTGCCCTCCGCCCTCCTGCTTGGACACACACTACTCCTGTCCCCAGGGCCAGCCACCCACACCACCGGGGTGGCTTGGGGTAGGCTGTCTCTCACACTAGGCACCTCCTTCCTTCCAGTGCCCGGGCCCCGCCCTGGGTGAGGGAGGACTCTGGGAGCCAGGAAATGGTGTCCCGCGTTGCAGCCTAGCAGCCAGCTGCGTGATTCACAGGCTCTGGCCGCTGAGCAGCTGAGCACCGCTCTGCTCTGCTTCCTCAGAGTGTGGGTGGGGTGCTGCCCCAGCCCGTCATTAGAGGGCCCAGGCCTTCCTGTGGGGCGGGCCGCAGCCCTGGCCTCCCCAGGAGGGCTGGCCCCAGGCAGGAGTGGTGGGTGCTGTCTGCTGGCCCTGCCTTGACCTGAGCTTCGGGAAGCTGGCCTTCTGGGCCGGTTTTCTGGTGAGCCTGCAGGCAAGTGCCAGGCAGGCCCAAGCAGAGGCGTGGACCCAGCAGGAGTGAGGGGCAGGAAGGGCAGCAGTGACCTCAGGCTTGCTCCCCTGTCTGTGAAACTAGGCTAAATTTAGAAGCCCTTGCCCCAGACATCAGAGAGATTTCACAAATGCCCCACGTCCGGGCCCCCAGCGGCTGCTGTGGTTGCTCCCGAAGATGCTGGTGCTGCCTCCCCATCCCGGGCCTGGACTGTCCCTCCCACCCACCCAGCTCATCCTTGGCCAGTCCGGGCCAGGAGGTGTATGGCATTAGCAGAGGATCCCATTGAGAAAGAGCCCCTTGCTGTGGTCCTCACTAATGCCAGTGAACTAGAGGGGGCTGACCCAGTCCCATCCCAGCCCCTATCCCAAGGAACATGGGAATTCACCACATGGCTCAAAGCTCCAGATCGGCTTGGAAATCAGTGTAAGGTAAAAGCACAATTGTGTTTTTGAAGTCACTTGGGCCCAGCATGGTAGCCTATAAAGTCCTCGCCTTACATGCACCAGGATCCCATAGGGGCACCGGTTCATGTCCCAGCATCCCTGCTTCCCATCCAGCTAACTGCTTGTGCCCTGGGATAGCAGTTGAGGACGGCCCAAAGCCATGGATCCCTGCACCCGCATGGGAGACCTGGAAGAAGCTCCAGGTTCCTGACTTCGGATCAGCTCAGCTCTGGCCATTGAAGCTACTTGGAGGGTGAACCAGTGGATGGAAGATCTTCCTCTCTGTCTTTTCTCTTCTCAGTGTATCTACCTTTCCAATAAAAATAAATCTTTAAAAATAAATAAATAAGTAAAGTCACTCAGGAGGACCTGGTGCTATGATGTAGCAGGAAAAGCTGCTTACCCCTGGTGGCGCTGGCATCCCATATGGTCACGGGTTTGAGTCCCAGCTGTTCCACAGCTCCCTCCTGGTGCACCTGGGAGGGCAGAGGAAGATGGCCCAGGTCCTTGGGCGCTTGCACTCAAATGGGAGATGCAGAGGAAGCTGCTGGCTCCTGGCTCTGGACCAGCCCAGCTCTAGCCATTGCACTACTTAGGGAGTGAGGCAGCAGACGGAAGATCTCTATGTCAGCCTCTTTGTCTTTGTAATTCTGCCGTTCAGATAAACACAAATACATCTTTAAATAGAAGAAAGCACGGGGAGGCCTGGAGGCTGTTACGTGGGAAAATGGGCCCCTGGGAGCCCACATCTGGTTTTCCACATGTTCCCCTGGGAATACACAGTCTTCCCCCCCCCCCCCACCTGCTCTCATGATGGTTTCGCGGGGTGCTGTGAGTACAATGCTGCAGGCTGGGTGACCAGAGGCATCCCACGTGGCCTGGGCTGCCCTTCTTGCCTGTGGCCTCTGACCCAGAGTTTCCCAGCCTTGCCCTGCTTCGCATGGGAGTACAGGGACAGAGGCAGCCCTGTTGTCCTGTCCCTTCCTACACTTCCCACCGAAGAGGACAGACCTGGAGGGGCGGATAGGACAGCAGGGACAGGAGTGGAGGGAAGTGTGCCAGTAGGCTGCTGTGCGACCTTCTGTCTGTCCCACACATGGAGCCCCTACACATACATGCACATATGTGTGCCTATGTGCACACATGGAAGGCATGCCTACGTTTGCTTCACCAACACCCTGCAAGAACACCCCAGCAGACAGGCATTTCAACAAGTCCCTGTGCTCACCAGGTGGGCAACCTCAGCCAGGACCCCAAACGCTATCACCAGATGGCGCAAGGCAGGGCAGGCCTGCGCCACCATCCCCCCCACCCGATCTGTTCCATGCTCCGCACCTCCATTACTGCCGGGTCTCTTGGCCAGCAGGTGACTGCACAGCCGCTACGGGAGGGCTGGTGGTTGGCTGCCCCGTGGAGTGGCCAGGTGGCGTGTCTGGATGCTGGTGGGCTTTTTGCTTCTCCTTCCTCGTGCTCACCTTCCACCCGCCCCCCCGTACCCCTTGCAGGGTGAACCATGATCCCGGTGACGGAGCTCCGCTACTTCGCGGACACACAGCCGGCATACCGGATCCTGAAGCCTTGGTGGGACGTGTTCACCGACTATATATCCATCGTCATGTTGATGATTGCTGTCTTTGGAGGGACGTTGCAGGTGACGCAGGACAAGATGATCTGCCTGCCCTGTAAGTGGGTCACCAAGGACTCCTGCAATGACTCCTTCCGGAGTTGGGCGGCCCCCAGCCCAGAGCCCGCCTACCCCAATTCCACGATCGCGCCAACCCCTGACACAGGCCCCACAGGCATCAAGTACGACCTGGACCGGCACCAGTACAACTATGTGGATGCTGTGTGCTACGAAAACAGGCTTCACTGGTTCGCCAAGTACTTCCCATACCTGGTACTCCTGCACACGCTCATCTTCCTGGCCTGCAGCAACTTCTGGTTCAAGTTCCCGCGCACCAGCTCAAAGCTGGAGCACTTTGTGTCCATCCTGCTCAAGTGCTTCGACTCGCCCTGGACCACAAGGGCCCTGTCGGAGACGGTGGTGGAGGAAAGCGACCCCAAGCCAGCCTTCAGCAAGATGAATGGCTCCGCCGACAAGAAGTCATCGACTGTGAGTGAGGACGTGGAGGCCACCGTGCCAATGCTGCAGCGCACCAAGTCGCGGATCGAGCAGGGCATCGTGGACCGCTCGGAGACGGGCGTGCTGGACAAGAAGGAGGGCGAGCAGGCCAAGGCGCTGTTCGAGAAAGTCAAGAAGTTCCGGACTCACGTGGAGGAGGGCGACATCGTTTACCGCCTGTACATGCGGCAGACCATCATCAAGGTCATCAAGTTCATCCTCATCATCTGCTACACCGTCTACTACGTGCACAACATCAAGTTCGACGTGGACTGCACGGTGGACATCGAGAGTCTGACAGGCTACCGCACCTACCGCTGCGCCCACCCGCTGGCCACGCTCTTCAAGATCCTGGCGTCCTTCTACATCAGCCTGGTCATCTCCTACGGCCTCATCTGCATGTACACGCTGTGGTGGATGCTGCGGCGCTCGCTCAAGAAGTACTCCTTCGAGTCGATCCGCGAGGAGAGCAGCTACAGCGACATCCCTGACGTCAAGAACGACTTCGCTTTCATGCTGCACCTCATCGACCAGTACGACCCGCTCTACTCGAAGCGCTTCGCCGTCTTCCTGTCGGAGGTGAGCGAGAACAAGCTGCGCCAGTTGAACCTCAACAACGAGTGGACTCTGGACAAGCTGCGGCAGCGGCTCACCAAGAACGCGCAGGACAAGCTGGAGCTGCACCTGTTCATGCTGAGCGGCATCCCGGACACCGTGTTCGACCTGGCCGAGCTGGAGGTGCTAAAGCTGGAGCTGATCCCGGACGTGACCATCCCGCCCAGCATCGCCCAGCTCACGGGCCTCAAGGAGCTGTGGCTGTACCACACGGCAGCCAAGATCGAGGCTCCGGCCCTGGCCTTCCTGCGCGAGCACCTGCGGGCGCTGCACATCAAATTCACAGACATCAAGGAGATCCCGCTGTGGATCTACAGCCTGAAGACGCTGGAGGAGCTGCACCTGACAGGCAACCTGAGCGCCGAGAACAACCGTTACATCGTCATCGACGGCCTGCGCGAGCTGAAGCGCCTCAAGGTGCTGCGGCTCAAGAGCAACCTGAGCAAGCTGCCGCAGGTGGTGACGGACGTGGGCGTGCACCTGCAGAAGCTCTCCATCAACAACGAGGGCACCAAGCTCATTGTGCTCAACAGCCTCAAGAAGATGGTGAACCTGACGGAGCTGGAGCTGATCCGCTGCGACCTGGAGCGCATCCCGCACTCCATCTTCAGCCTCCACAACCTGCAGGAGATCGACCTCAAGGACAACAACCTCAAGACCATCGAGGAGATCATCAGCTTCCAGCACCTGCACCGCCTCACCTGCCTGAAGCTCTGGTACAACCACATCGCCTACATCCCCATCCAGGTCGGCAACCTCACCAACCTCGAGCGCCTCTACCTGAACCGGAACAAGATCGACAAGATCCCCACGCAGCTCTTCTACTGCCGCAAGCTGCGCCACCTGGACCTCAGTCACAACAACCTGACCTTCCTCCCCGCCGACATCGGCCTGCTGCAGAGCCTGCAGAACCTGGCTGTCACCGCCAACCGCGTGAGTGGGCACCGCCCTCGGAGGGAGGGCTATGCCGGGGGGTGGCCTGGGCAGGGGCAGGGCCAAGGCCCGTGGGTGGTCCTCTCCCAGTGCCGGCCAGCAGATGCAGGGGAGCCTGGAGTTGTGGACTCTTGTTCCCCTTGGCCTCCATGGGATTTAGAGTCAAGGGGTCAGTCTGGGCCCACCAGGGACAAAAAATGGTGTGAAAGGCCAGTGGGTGCTGCCTGAGGTGGAGGGGGTGGTCTGACCCCCGTGTTGCTCATGCCTGCTGCTCTCTCTGTATTTGAGGATGGGGAAGGACAGAAGTGGGCTTGATGGGCCTGGGTCTTCACCCCTGTTGTGGGAGGGGCTGGGTGTAGAAGGCCAGGCCCTCAGGGTGTCCATGTGCACTAGGCTCTTGTCAGGGGCTGGAGGGAGCCCCCATCAGGTGCTTCTTGTGGAGATAGGTGGGCTGGAGTGGAGAGCAGGGTAGTGCTGTGGCTTGTTGGTCTGCCTTCCTGTGTATAAGCCAAACCAAGCCCTCGGGGTGCCTCCTCCTGTCCTAGGTTTGAGGAGAGACTGCTGCAGTGGCGTGCATGCCAGGGGCAGCCTTAGACCTGGGAGACTGGCCAGCCTTACTGGAACAGCAGCCCCTGTGGTGTGACGTGACACACCTATCCTCCCAGCTGGAGCTCTGTGGCAGGCTTGGACACAGCAGATTGCAGAGGGGCACCTGAAATGCCCAGCCCCCAGCCCCTCACTCCTTCCCATGCATCCCTGCAGAGTTGAGGCCGCTACCCTTCTCCACTGACCTCGAGACCTGCCTCCTTTCTCCTTACCCTGGCGCCTCTCATTGTAAACCAACCTGTCTCCTCCTTGGAGCCAGGGCTCCTCATTTCTCCGCCTACATGCACTCTGGGGGCTTGGCTCCCACGGGGTCTGAGCAAAGCCCCTGTGACCTTCCCCCACGGAGGGAATTTCGAGTGCCCGAGGAGAAGCCACCTTTGGGAAGCACCAAATGCACCCCTCTGGTGGGGTGGGCTCAGTCACGCCTTCCTCCCCAAAGGACCTGTGCTGTCTCTCGAGTCTCCGGCCAGCTCTCTTCCTGCCCAGCACCCCCAGCTCCTAGCACCAAGCTCGCCTGTGAGTGTCACGTTTGGTGGCTGAGGTCACCCCTCAGGAAGGCAGCTGGCGACAGCCTCTGTCCCAGAGGAAGGCGACCCTCTGGATGCCACGTTTAGCACAACTGCTGAATCATGTCCTGTCCTGACCCCGGGCTGCGGAGGCCTTTGTGGAAAAGAGCTCTCCCCCCACCCCACATTCCTCACTCAGGTGCCCTGGCTTCTGTGGTGGGTGGGGAGTGGCGGGAGACCCGCCTGCAGCCCTCAAAACACATGAGCCGAAGCTCAGGTGCTCACTCGCTTCTGCATGGATCAGCTCGTGGATTTGGCAGATGGCTTTAGAGGACCCCTAGGATCTGGCTGCGGAGTAAACAGTAAAGCACAAGGCCCACGGTGCTGCGGCGGTGGCCATACGGCGCGGCCAGAGCTCCCTGGGGCACCCAGTGCTCAGTAGCACAGAGGGACCAGAGGTGGGGGAGGAGGCAGCCAGGTGGAGCTGAAAGTCTGGGCCATTCCAGCTGGGGGAGGGGGAGAGGTTCCTCAGCAGAGGGGCAGTGAACCGAGCCCCTGAACTGTGGACTCCCCCCCAAGGATAGGCACCCCTGGCGTCTCCATGTGGCAACTGCCTGGACTCTTAGATTCCATGCCTAACGGGTTCCCCACACTCCTGCTGAGCCAAGGGAGGAGAGAATGAAGGAATGAGTAAATGAATGAATGAAGTGACTTCCTACAGCTCCCAGAGGTCTTCTTGCTGTTGCCTGGGGTGAATGTGAGAGGCAGTTGAGAACTGGATTGGGCAGAGAGTTTGGGGGTAGAGTCTGCAGGAAGTTGGGGAGCCAGTGAGGGTTCGGGGATATGAGGTTTCCCACACAGCCACCTGGAATGAGGTGCCCAAGGTGGGGCGAGAAGTTTTCAGAGAGGTGAGCATGTGTCCTGGGTCAGTTGTCTTGGGTTCCTGGGACATCCAGAGCACCACTTTGAACCTGCCCAAGCCTGAGGCGGCACCCTCTCTAGTCCCTAGCAGCTGCTGGGTCCTTTCCGCCTCACCAGGGAGGGGGAGAAGAGGGAAGGCCAAGAGCCTTCAGGATAGGGATGGTGGCCAAGGCAGGCCAGGTGCCCTGTCACAGGCAGGCTCACAGCATGTAGGGTGTCCACAGAGGTGGGCTCAGGGTGGCTCAGTGGGGAGCCAGGCTCACAGCATGTACCAGATGCCAAGGCGGGTGTGTGTGTGTTGGGTGAAGCCGGCTTGCAGGGAAATGCCAGGTGGTCGGGTGCTGATGAGGGGAAGAAGCAGGTAGGGCGGGTGGGCTGGGGTGATGGGAAGTGGCTTTACACCTTCAGGGACAGAGGGACGGATTCAAAGGACATGTGTGGCCATGCTGGGAAGCTGTGGGACAGGAGATGCCCCCTGGCCTGTGTGTCCCCACGGAGGACTAAGGCTGGCATCCAGGCAAGCTGCAGGTCAGCTCAGCAGGGAAGTGGGGATGGTAAGCGAGGCACCCCCTTGGGCACTTGTATACAGGTTCCGCAGCACCCTCGGAAAAGGGCCCCCGAGTCTCTGGCTCCACCCACGCTGTCTTGAATCCTGCCTATGCTGTGCACCCACTGCTAGTGTCTTCAGGGCCTTGGTAACCCCACCTGTAAAACGGGAGGATGCCTACAGCATCCTTCCAGGGACCTCACAGTGTTGGTGCTCAGAGGGGGCCTGCCTGGAGGAAGATACATGTGGGCGTGGCCTGCCCCGTGGTGGCTGGGACTCCAAGGACCAGGAGGGAGTCCCAGCACAGCTGGGGTGCTCACCCCCATTAGAGAATGTTCCCCCACTTCTAGCTACATGAGTGTACCCTCTACTTTCCCAACAGCCTGGGAAATGATGACACTGTGCCTCATCTCTCAGTGTCCTGGGGACTGCCAACCCTGTCAGCCTTTGAGAGCCCACAGGCCAGGGGCAGCAGAGGCCAGGGTCAGTAGGGTGGGCTCTGGGAAACTGGAGGAAAGGCTTGCTGGGGGAGGCGAACGCAGACTGTGACCCGGCTGCCCCCGCCCCCACCTCACTCGGTCCCTCTGCCTCTCCCCACAGATCGAGGCGCTTCCCCCGGAGCTGTTCCAGTGCCGGAAGTTGCGGGCGCTGCACCTAGGCAACAACGTCCTGCAGTCACTGCCCTCACGGGTGGGCGAGCTGACCAACCTGACGCAGATCGAGCTGCGGGGAAACCGGCTCGAGTGCCTGCCTGTGGAGCTGGGCGAGTGCCCGCTGCTCAAGCGCAGTGGCCTGGTGGTGGAGGAGGACCTGTTCAACACGCTGCCACCCGAGGTCAAGGAGCGGCTCTGGAGGGCGGACAAGGAGCAGGCCTGAGCCCCTGCAGCCCCGCAGGACTCGGTCACGGGCTCGGGCCGGGCAGCCAGGCCCCGATGGCTGTCGGACAGGCTCCCGGATACCCAGAGGACAGGATGTGAGGGGCTGGGCCCTTTGCTCCCTGTGAGACTCATGCCCCCCACCCCCACCTCAGGGCAGGCGCTAGCTGGGAGCCCAGAGATCTGATCAGACTGTCAGTATTGGGACAATCAGGCCCCCCCCCCCCCAGCTCAGCGTATTTATTTTTGTCCACCTCCCAGTGTGTTGTCGCCCTCCGGTAACTTGTACATTCCCGAGACAGTTGAGCTCCCACGCGTGGGCTGTTTCCCTTTCCCCACCGGGGCAGCGTCACGGGCTGCAGGTGGATGTCCCCTCCCCAACACACACCCCCTGTGGAAAGGCTGGGGCTGGCCTCATAGAGGTTTTGATTTTTTTTTTTAAAGTAAAAAATTATGGTTTTTTTTAAGCTTTGGAAATGGATAGTTTGGGTATTAAAAAGAAAAAAAAAACTTAAAAAAATAAAGACTACAGGCCAGTGGGTGAGGGTGCTGGTGGAAGGCCCAGGATGTGCCCCCTCGGCGTGACCTGGTCCTCCAGGCACTGTTTCCTCCTCCTGGGCGGGGGATTTCGTTTTCCGTTGTTATTGGGGTTTTTTGCGGAGGGGACGCAGTTTCGGTGTCCTGTTTTCCTTCTCGTCCATATGTCTTGGCGGACACCCGTTTCTGTGCCTGTCAGCCCAACAGAATGTTCTAGAGCTGCCAAGAAGGGAGGAGACTCGGGGTGGCCGGTCCCAGGATGGACGGTGCTCCACCACCCCCGACCCTGCCCCTCCCCACACACAGTGTTAGGAGACACAAGGAGCTGCTTCTGCCAGGGTCTGTCCCCTGCCCCCACCCCACCCCATGCATCCTGGGCTTGCTCAGTGCCACCACCAGCCCCCTCTGCTTCCACTCGCCCCTGTCACCACTTGGACCCTCACAGACAGTGCTCAGAAGCAGGGCAGGCACGGGTGGCCACTGCCGGGGCAAGGGGACAGCCTTGCCTCGTCTGGTTCCAAGCCAGTTTCCGTCCCAGGCACCTGGCCTTCTTGCACATGGCCCCTGCTCCCCGTCAGGGCCCGGGGGTGGGGGTGACAACAGGAAGCTCCCCTGCTTTAGCTCAGTCACTCGGGTCCCCACTTGAAGAGGGGTCCTCGCCTTAGATCAACCACACGCACACTAAGGCCCGTTTTAGCGTCTCTTGTCTCACCATCCGTCTGTCCATCTGTGTGTGTTTTCCTGCGTCGTGTCCTTGGATATAATCCTCAAAATAACACACTAGCCGGTGACAGCCACAGAGCGTCCGTTAGGCGTGGGTCTGAATTCACAGACTTGGTTCAAATATCAAATAAACATAACAGATAAGAGCAAGGAGATGTGTGTGTCATAGGGGTCTTCCCTGCAGTGTTCTGGGGTTCACAGCCCAGTCAGTCCAGGGGTGAGCGTGGGCAGACCCCTCCCGGAGTCTGCATGTCCCCTTTGGCAGATGGGCAGGCCTACACTGTGGGTCAGGAGAGGAAGGCCTGGCCTTGCTCTAGGTCCTGAGGGACTTGCAGGGTGTCCCAGAGCCCCGGGCAGAAACCCGGAGTGGGCAGAGCTGCCTTCAGATGCCCTTGGCCCCAAGCAGTGGTGATGCCTCCAGCAGTGGGTGGAACAGTGGCAGGGACCATCAGCTGCCTTACAGCTTCTCTCAGTGCCTGGGTGAGGCACTTGTGCCTCCGGCCGAGCCATGAGACCCGGATTGCTGCTTGAGCATCTGTGACAAACCACAGCCTGCCCTTCCCTCCTGGGGACCTGGCCAGGACTCACTGTGCTCTTGCCTCTGCTGAGCAGCTGGCCTGTAACTTGCCTCTAAGACCCCCGCCTCGTGACCCCAGGAGAAGGGCGCCTGGCCTCCTGTTCCTGCCCTCAGCAGCCTCCGCTCCCGCCCTTCCTCAGCCCAGCGCCCGGAGCCGGAGGGCTGGGTCTGGAACTGGTTAGCTTTTGGAAAAAACAACTGTGGGAACACCGCCCACCCACTTCCCAAAGCTGAACAAACAGCGGAGGCCAGGCCGTGACCGTCCCCGCTGGCGCGTGTGTACACACGTACACAGCACACTCCCCCTGCCTGAAGCCCCAGCCGTGATCCCTGTTGATCATAGCAATTTGGAAAACGTGGGCAGGCTCCAGAAGTTTCTTCAAGTCTAGGTGAAAAGTCTTCAAAAAGTGCATGGAAAAGAAGCGTGTTAAAAAGAAAACGGTTTTGCGCCAACATACTTTGAAACACCACATGTTCACGACAGATAAGCCACTGTGAGCACCAGCAAAGCCAGCCCCAGACCAGGGTCCTCCTCAGTAGCGAGCCTCTCCCTCTCTCAGGGCCTCTTCTGTTAGCCCCAAGTCACAGATGGGGCAAGTCAGGCCCCCATGTCTTCATACTAGCCCTGGGATAGGGTCTGGGGGTGGGGATTGTTGCCAGCCCAACACGAGTGTCCCTGGCACCCTCTGGGTGTCAGAGTGCTGCATCGGCAGGAGCTGTGACCAGCTGGGCAGGACTTAGGCCCCCAGCTCCCTCCCCTCTCCTCTGTCCCCTGGTTTGCCCCTCCCCCAGGTCCTCTCAGGAAGCTGTGACAAAGCACCGCCCAATGCCCTGGCCCAGAAAATAAGGCTTGACTTGGGGCCAAGGCTCCTGTGTCCTGGAGACACTGTCCCTTCGCCATTCACACCGTCATTTCTGGGAAGGCCAGTGGCCGGCTTTCCAGAGCCCAAGAGCGGGAGAAGGGCAGTGTGCCTGCGCTGCTCTGCAGTTGATGCCCCTCCCGCCGCCTCCCCTTCCCCTTTAGGAAAGGCCTCGGCTCTCTGCCTTGGTCTGTGTCACTTGGCTCTGCCCTGCTGGCCCCCCACCGCACTGGCCTGCTCTGCCTCCCAGCTCCTGTAGATGGTGACACCAGGGGACCCCAGGGAGAGCAGACATCCCTCGGGATAACAGCCAGCCGAGACGCGGATGCATGGCCCCCACACCCATCACCCCATCTGCCCAGGCAGGGCTCTCCGAGCTAGCAGGAGTCCTGGCATGGTAAATCCAAGTGGTTTCTGGAAAGGGCCCCAGAGGGAGTTGTTTGGTTCCAGGAAGGAGGCAGGAGAAGGCTAATCCTGGATTAGTGGAGGATGGGGCAGGAGCGCAGCAAATCCAGGCCAACAGGCCAGCCGGCAGCCCAGGCTGCACTGTGTGTGAGAGAGAGAGTGAGAGAGATGGGGTGAAGAGTAGGAGCAGATGTTCTCTGGGTAGGAAAGGGTTAAGTACTCCTGGCCCTCCCAGGCTGCTGTCCATCTCTCCTGAACTTTGCCCTCCCCTCCTCCTGGACACTGCAGCCAGCACTGCCTGCCATGGCTCGCCTCAGCCCCTCACAGCTAGAGAAGGTAGGGAACTGCAGGGTGCGGTGCTGGGGGGGTCAGGTTAGGTGGGGGGGGGTCCTCTCATTCTCCAGCAGCTCCCCCTGCAAACAGCCCACTGTTAGCCAGAGGCCCATGGTCTGAGGCAAGCCTGAATACACTGCCCCAGGGTGTCCGGCTACCCAGGACGCAAAACCAGATCAGCCAGCCCAGCCCTGGCCCTGGCTGTGAGGAGGTCGGTCAACGTGAAAGGCTATGGAACGCCTGAAGGTGGAGTGACCCAGACTTCAAAGCTTTTACCCTTAAATTCCTGGCACTTGATACAAGAATCTCTAGTTCAAAGTCTTGTGACCACAGCCCTTGTCTTACTGGGCAGTTTCTAACACAGGCGCCACTGTGACCCCTGGAGGTGCCCTGCAGCCCTCACTCTCAAGGAGCTGGGCCCAGCAAAGACAAAGACACATGGCGCTGCTCGCCTGTTGCTAAGCCCGAGAACTCGTGGGCTGGGCCCTCGCTGGGGTTGGCCTGAGCAGGTTGCTGCAGGTGGCATAGCAGGTGGCGCTGTCTCAAGGAAGCCCTTTCTGGTTTGGTCACCCAAGCAGCACACAACTGCCCAGCCTAGGAAGAGAGAGCAGGGCCTGTGGCCCGTGGCGGGTGGGTGTGAACGCCCCACAGTGTCCAGTGTGAAGTGAGAACCAGTTCCTACTGGGGGTGAAGCACAGTGCTTTGTGATGGGCCAATGGGCTGCCTTCCCCTTGACCCCATTACTGCTAAGGCTGCTTTTCAAGCTCTGCTAGGGACCCTCAGAGTAGCTTCTAGAAAGAAGACATGGGCTTTCTACTGTAACCTGGCAGGTGCGCGCTGTCCCCGGGCCAGCCTGCCCTAGCCCTGCTGTCTTCCTAGGCCCAGGGCATGGCAGCAGGAGCCTTCTCATATATTGTTCCCTCCTCCATCTGTGACACTCCCCCTTTCCATGCCATGTCCCCCAAGAATGCTCCCCCTCCTGGCAGGTCAGCTGAGCCCCTGCCCTTAGCTGCTCTGGACCCAGCCCAGGATAGTGTTGGCCTGGCAGCAAGGGGTGCAGCGCTGTCTCCCCATGGACAGCCTACCACTGGCTTTGCTTGTAACAGTCCCTCCAGCGCCTAAAACCGCCTCATGCCCAGGAGCCCAGGCCATGTGGGAAAGACAAAGAGGGTGGACTTTGGGCACGTTTCTGGAAACTTCTAGTCCTTTGGGGAAAAGTAGTGTCAAGACAATAGGATTTACTCAAAGCCAGAGGGAGGAAGAGGGGCGCCTTCAGCACCTGAGAGAGAGGGGTATGGGAAATGTCAGTCAACTGCTGACCCCTGGAGGACCCTGCTGCTCTCCCCTCTCCACCTCGTGGACAGAAGTGGGGAAGCCAATCTGAAGAAGGCCCCTACTCCCTGGGGGTCAGCGTGTCACAGAGCCAAAGCCTGAGGCTCTCTCCTGCCCTGAAGTTCCAGAAAGATGGGTTCCTGGTACTCGAAGACTTCCTGTCTGCAGAAGAATGCACGGCTCTGCGGCAGCAGATTGGCCAGATAGTGGCCCAGATGGACGTCCCACTCCACTGCCGCACGGAATTTTCCACTCAGGAAGAGGAGCAGCTTCGAGTCCAGGTAGGTTCCTGGGGCAGCCAGGATGGACAGTGGTCTGGGATGGAGGAACCCAGTCCCTGGCCTGATCCACAAGGCCAGACAGAGGTTGCTTCTGAGACACAGGTGGTGGCAGGGGTCCTTGAGCCCCTGAGCAGCCGAGGAAGCCTAGTTGTGATGATATGGTCAGACCACAGATGGTTGGAGATCAACTCCATGGCTAGGATTTTGAGTTCTGCGATCCAGTTCTGGGGATCCCCAAAGAAACTTCACCAGAGGTGACCCCAGACCTGACTTCTCCATGTGTGCCAGCAAGTGTGAACTCCAGTTCAGTCTGTCACCCACACCAGCCTGCACACAAATGGTGGTTGCAGTTGCATGGACAGTTCTGTCCCCAGCCCCATCTCATATGCAAACCAATGAATGCTGTGGCCCAGCCCAACACTGCCTGCCCTCATGTACACCGGTGGGAACTTCAGCCTAGTCAAAGTGACCTCCAATAACCTCCACCAGGCCTGCCCCCAGCACTGATTCGTGCACATGCTAGTATGTGCAGCAGACTGATCCAGTCTGTCTCGCATCCCATTTGGCTCTTGTACATATCACTGGGTGTTGCAGCCTAGCTCAGCCCGATTAACTCCACTATCCAGTCCACCGCCTGCCCAACCAGGCCCACCTCAACCCTGGTTCTCTTGCTTACTGGTGGGAACTGCAGTGCATCAAAGGGGTGCCCACAGTTTTCCAGCGAGGCCCACTCCCAGTCCCAGATCTTACACTTTCCAGGTGGTACTGCGGTTCATTCTGACAGGACTTTCCCCTGTTGCCAGCACTTACTTGCCAGCTGGGATGCTGCAACAAAGTCCAACCAGTCCACACTCTGGCTCATGCTTGCCCCAGTGAATATGGTCACTTAGCCCAGCCTGGCTCTCCCCCTAACCCAGCTCACATGCACGCCAATGGGTTTTGTAACCCTGCCTCTCCTCTCCTCTCCTCTCCTCTCCTCTCCTCTCCTCTCCTCTCCTCTCCTCTCCTCTCCTCTCCTCTCCTCTCCTCTCCTCTCCTCTCTTCTCCTCTCCTCTCCTCTCCTCTCTCCTCTCCAGTCCCAGCTCTCACGCTCACCAGTGGGAGCAGTGGCCCAGCAGGGGAGCCCCCACAGCCCCACTTCTGGTCTCAGCCCCCTGACCCAGCGTCTTGCATGTGCTGGTTAGTGCTGCAGCCTAGTCTGGCATGGCTCAGCTCACCTCAGCATTTGCTGGTGGGTGCTGAAGCCTGGCCTGGCCTGGTCTGCCTCCAGTTCCAGCTGATGTTGGTGGGTACCGCAACCTAGCCCAGCCTGGACTGCTCCCAGTCCCAGCCCTAATGTGAACTGGCTGCTGTTGTGGCCCAACGCGGCCTGTCCTGTACCCCTTCCTGGTTCTCATATCTGCCAGTGTATGCTATAAATTGTCCCAGCCCAGCCCATACCCAGACCTGATCCACAAGTATGCTGGCAAGTACTGTAACCTGGCGTGGTCTGGACTGCTTCCAGACTAGGCTCTTGTGTTCACTTTCTGGAACTGCATCTTGACAGAGGAGTTCCCCAAGCTCCTCTCCCAAGTCACCTCCCAGGCACACATCTCATGCACATGGCTGGGTTCTTGCTCTACCTCCTGTCCCGGCAGATACAGTGGCCGTGCCCAACTGGCCCACACCCATTCTGGCTGTTACCTTCGGATGCTACAGCCCAGCCCTGCCTGGCCTAACCCCAGACCCGGCTCTCACGTAGTTCAGTGAGTGCCAAGACCTAGCCCAGCCTATCTTATAAACACCCTGACTCTTGTGAGCACCAGAGGGAGTTGTAGCCTAGCCCAGTCTGGCACACCCCAGTCCACAGCCATGCTGAGGGATACTGCAGTTGTGTCCAGCCCTGATTGCCATTCCTCTTCTAGCTCTCACACTCACCGGTGGGAGTCGCTGCCCAGGCAGGACATTCCCTTAGCCGCCCATCAGATCTGATCCCAGCCACAGATTTCGCGCATGCTGGTGACTGCTCTGACCCAGCCCAGTATAGCCCATCCACCATCTTGGCCTTTGCCGTTGGATACTCCAGCCTATCCTGGCCCGTCTCCAGGCCCAAGTCTCACTGGTGTGTGCTGCAGCCTAGCTCTACCCCATTCCTGGCTTTCATGCAATCTGGTAGGTGTGACAGCCTATCCTTGCGTGGCCTGCACCCTATCCTCTCTCCTGCATATGCCAGTGTGCTGTGGTCTTGCGCAGTCTGTCTCCCCAGAGCCAGCTCACACACTTGCTGGCAAGTGGAGCAGCCTTGCCTGGCCTCACCAACACTCAGCTCTAACTTATGTGCTCACCAAGAGCTGCAGCCCACCAGGGCAGCACCCCTCATTCCCTCACCAGGCCCAGATCTCATGGGTGCCAGTGGGTGTTAGGCCCTTACCTGGGATAGTTTGTCCCCCGGTCTTGGCCCTTGTATGTGCTGGTGGATGTTGTGGCCCGATCTGCCCTGCGCCCAATGACTGGGTGCAACTGCAGGTGTTGCATCCTCTGCCATCGTAAGTGCATTAGCAGGTTCAGAAGTTGGATCCAGGGCCCAGTGTGATGGCTCAGTGGCTAAACCCTTACCTTGCAAGTGCCAGGATCCTATATGAGTGCCAGTTCGTGTCCCGGCAGCTCCACTTCCCATCCAGCTCCCTGCTTGTGGCCTGGGAAAGCAGTTGAGGTCGGCCCAAAGCCTTGGGATCCTGTATCTGTATGAGAGACCCAGAAAGAATTCCCGACTTTGGATCGACTCAGCTCCAGCCATCATGGCCATTTGAGGAGTAAACTAGTAGATGGAAGATCTCTCTCTCTCTCTCTTTCTCCTTCTCTCTGTAAATCTGCCTTTCCAATAAAAATAAATAAAAATAAATAAAAAAGGAGTTGGATCCAAAGCAAAGGAGCCGGGACTCAAAATCAAACCTGCATCCCATGTGGCAGGCTGATGTACCAAGCAGCAGCTTCACCCACTGCACCAGGGTGCTCCCCTCACCTGAGGCAGGGTTTGGCATCAGACTCATCCGATGGCAAGTCCGTGCTGTTCACTGCTCGGCTGCATTGCTCTGTGTCCAGTTACCCCAGAGCCAGCTGGGCCGCTTGTGTGAGTCTTAACCCAATCAGAGCAGGAACTCTGATTCCAGTGATGAGACTCAGTACAGTTATAGATGGAACATCAGGGTTCTCCATGGCGTGAACTCATGAGTATGTTCCAGGCAGCCAGGTATACTCACTGAACTCATGCTCAGGGCAAGGAGCTACCGCCATCTGGTGGACACGAGGGGCTCTGCACAGCCAGGAAGCAGGTGAGGTGTCTGGCAGGAAGCAGGTTTCCCCTAGCCAGCTGGCCCTGTGCGCCTTGCAGGTGGGGGATGCAGAGACAGAGCTGGTCACCAAGGGCTCCAGGGCTGAGGCACCGAGTCTGTGCTTCCTCAGCCACCTACCAAAATGTTCCAGAGAATATTGGTTACTGAGATGGGCACCAGGTGAGAAGGTATGTGTGCCTTGGTGTGTAACACTGGCAATGACCCAGCCCTGGTGAAAGCCGAAATTCGTGATGAATATTGAGAAAAATGGTGAAATTCAAAATTCACAATGGAAATTGCAAAAAAAAAATATTTAAATGGATATTCAAAAAGAGAAAGAAATGACACTCCTGCCTCAGTCTTCCTTCCTCGTGGGGCCACCCTGACTGAGTTATCTGTAAACTGCACAAACTCTAATAGGGCCAGGCTAACCTGTGCCAGTTGAGATTCCACTTGGCACTCCCCCGTCTGACTTTGGGATACATGGTTAGTGAATCCCGGCTCCCGTCACCTCCTCCTCCAGCTCCCTGCTGCTTTGTACCTGGAAGACAGCAGGGAATGCCCCGAGTGCTAGGCCCCTGCAGTCCATACGGGCGAGCTGGACGGAGTTCCAGGCTGCTGGCTTTGGCCTGGCCCAGCTCTCACAGTTGCAGGCATTTGGGAAATGAACATATGTCATATGTATTGCACCTGGATACTCCTGATCAGCTGTAATGTCTTACTGGTTCCCTCCTACACAGTTAAATGAAAACTTTAACACGCATTGAACATCATCAGCCTTTTATTTTATTTTATTTTATTTTATTTTATTTTATTTTATTTTATTAAGGCAAGGGACATAAGCTGGTTTGGCATATGCAAGGAAAGGACTTCAGCCAGGCCCAGTTTTTTTATTTTTTTCTTAAGATTTATGTATTTGTTTGAAAGACTGAGTTATACACACAGAGAAAGAGGTGGGGGAGAGATCTTCCAGCACTAGTCTTCTCCCCAGATAGCTACAACATTTAGGGCTCTGCCAGGCCAAAGCCAAGAGCCTAGAGCCTTCTCGGGACTTCCATGTGGGAACAGGAGCCCAAACACTCGGGCTGTCTTTTGGTGTTTGCTCAGACACCCTAGTGGGAAGCAGCCGGGACTTGGGCCCAGCATGGTGGCTTAGCAGCTGAAGTCCTCGCCTTGAATGCGCCAGGATACCATATGGGCGCCGGTTCTGATCCCAGCAGCTCCACTTCCCATCCAGCTCCATGTTTGTGGCCTGGGAAAGCAGTCAAGGATGGCCCAAAGCCTTGGGACCCTGCACCCCCATAGGAGACCTGGAAGAAGTTCCTGGCTCCTGACTTTGGATTGGCATAGCACCGGCTGTTGCGGTCACTTGGGAAGTGAATCCATCGGACAGAAGATCTTTCTCTCTATCTGACTTTGCAATAAAAACAAATAATTCTTTTTTATTATTATTATATTTCATTTTATGACACAGTTTTATAGGCTCTGGGATTCCCCCAGCCCCTCCCTGTACCCTCCCCCCATGGTGGATTCCTCCACCTTGTTGCAGTATTACAGTTCAAATCCAGTCATAATTCTTTCATTGCAAGCATGTACTTTGCATAGTGTCCAGCATCTTATTGTCCAGATAAATTCATCAGTTTCCTGGGGAGACCATCTCTGGTCTGAAGGCAGAGCTGGCAGAATATCATCCCGACCAATTAAAAGCCACAACACAACATCGGCAACAGTTTACAACCTTATGGAGTTAATTGGCATGGTATTGAGTGACCAGTATGTTAGAAAATGCAAGATCTTAACCACATCCTGTGACTACTTCATTGACATTTCAATTTTAGTTTATACGCAACTGGCTGCTATCTATCTTAAAATGGCTATAGGGTACTATTCAGGTGTCTCGTGTCTATTTTCATTTTTGTATTTAGTAGTTTATATTGTTGAAGCATAATTTTTACTGAACTTGGTGGATTTTGGGATAGTCCATGCTGGCTTATAACTAATAAGGCATATGTCAACAGTTGAGGCACAGAACAGTTTTAGAAGGGGTGTGCAGAGAACTCTTCAATGCCTTAGTGAGGAGTAACTTATATTTGTGTCCTACCTAGTAAGGCATGTGTGAGTCCAGGCTAACCGTTTTTTTTTTTGGGGGGGGGGAGGCCTCCAGAGTGACCCTGATGGTCCTTGCAAGAGAGGGTGGGGATCCAAAGTTGGAACTAAGTAAGGACCAGAGAAAGCTCCTCTCCCGATTCCCGAAGGAAGTGCACTGTTCTGTTTCTGCGGACCGCTCAGGACTCTCAGCTGTTGTTCCGATGACATTGGCTGCTGCAGGGTAGGATTTGGGCTTCTTCCATCCCATAAAACAAATAAATCTTTAAAAAAAAAAAAAAGAAAGTGGAACAGCTAGAACTTGAACCAGCGACCATAGGAAGTGCTGGCATTGCAGGCGGTGGTCTTACCTACAATGCCGCAATGCCAGACCTGCAGTATTTTCACTTTCTGATGTGTTCACCTGGCTTTAAACCCACCGTAAGCCAAGGAGTGCATGCCCTGCAGTGTGAGAGGAGTCCAAGGAACGCTGCATTGCCAGTCTGGCTGTGATGCCAGGCGTGGGGGCTCGCGGCCCGGGCCTCTGCATGCAAGTGTGACGAGCCCCTTGGGAGGCAGGGGCAGCATGTCAGCTACCCCTTCTTGGCCACGTCCAGCTCTGGCCCTGGATTCCCTCCCTCTCCCCATGATCTTCTCCCCAACAGGGTGACAAGGACTACTTCCTAAGCAGCGGAGACAAGATTCGATTCTTCTTTGAGAAACATGTCTTTGATGAGAAAGGTTTGGTGTGGAAGAGAGGGGAGCAGAGGTGTGGTGGGAGCCCGTGGGGTGAGGAGGGGGTGAGGCTGGACTTGGCACTTGCGACCCTCCGAGGGCCGGACCACCACTCCTGGTTTCACCTGTGCTTTGTGCCGCAGGGAAGTTCCTGGTCCCTCCGGAGAAGGCCATCAACAAAATTGGCCATGGTGAGTCGGGGCCACAGGAGCACAGAACTGACTGGAGGCCCTGGAGAAGCCTTACCGAAAGTCCCATGCGGAGTTGGAGGGCAGGCAGTCGGTGGTTCTAGCGGCAGGTCCCTACACCTGTCTGACCCGGGCAGGTGCTACCACAGCCCTGGGAGGTCCTGCCCGGGCAGGGGGAGGGGCCCCTTCGCCTGGTCTAGCTCGGAAGCCCCAGGCAGTGGGGCACCTCCCACAGGGGCTGGCATGGTGCCAGGCTCCCTGTCCTAAGATGGTCCCTCCTCTGCCTCTTTATTTTTTCTTTTTTTATGAAAGGATTAGAATTTATCATTTATTTTGTGGACTGCTTATTTTTCAACAATTTAAATGTCTTTATCTTTATTTCAAAGGCACACACACACACACACACACACACACACACACACACACACACAGATCTTCTGCTGGTCCACCCCAGTGTTTGAGCCAGGTCTCCCACACAGGTGGCAAGGAGTCGCCTAGCTGAGCCGTCACCTGCCTTCTTCCCAGGGTGCGCAGGGAGTCGGAGTGGGAAGCACAGACCAGACGTGAACTCAGGCTCTCCAACAGGGATGTGCGTGTCCCCTAGGGTGCATTTACTACGGCCCCCAAAGCCCACCCAGATTGCTGATTGAGGGGCTGGCGCAATGGCTCAACTGACTGATCCTCCACCTCCAAGCACTGGCATCCCATACAGGTGCCAGTTCATGTCCCAGTTGTTGTACCTTCCATCTAGCTCTCTGCTTATGGCCTGGGATAGTAGCAGCGGATGATCCAAAGCCTTGGGACCCTGCACTCACCACATAGGAGACCTGGAAGAAGCTCCTGGTTCATGGCTGACTGCCACAGCAGTGCCTCCCTCCCACCTCCTGGGGCGCAGGACTGTCTTTGTAACCCTCACTTTACACCAGAGGGAATGGAGGCTAGCAGGCGGAAATGGTGACACGAGGTTACACAGAATAAGGGACAAGCCCCTTTGTGAGGGGTGAGGAGCTGGCGGGCTGGAGTCAGGTTTCCAGACGGGCCAGAAGTGTCAAGAACAAGATCATGGGTGGGCCCTCAATCAGTCACAGACAAGCGGGGGGTTGGATGCACCGCAAGCAGGTACGAATGTCCAAGCGAGGCCTGGGTGTGGAAGGGACACCGGGCTGGAAGCTGGTGTCTCAGCTCACCTCTGCCCCGCAGCTCTGCATGCCCACGACCCGGTCTTCAAGAGCGTCACACACTCCCCCAAGGTGCAGGTGAGTGAGACGCAGGAGTGGAGGCGGCCAGGGGACGTGGGTGTGGGCAGGTGCGCAGCCTGGACGTGACCTCTGCTTCCTCCAGGCTGTGGCCAGAAGCCTGGGCCTCCGGAAGCCGGTGGTGGTGCAGAGCATGTACATCTTTAAGGTGAGCACGTGGTTCTCCCAGGCCTTTGTTTTACCTTCTGTAAAAAGGACATAGTGCCATCTTCCTGCCGAAAGCTCCTGGGATTCTTGCAAAGCTGGTAAAGTGGGCCTTCTCCTCTGGTTGGTGCTCTGAGAAAGCTTGTAAGTCAGAGGGAATGGGCATTCAGCACCGAGCTGAAGCTACTGCTTGGGCATTCGAGTCCCAGCTGTTCCCTCCATGGGATTCCAACTCCCCACGGGTGTGCACCCTGAGGGGCAGGAGGGGACCGCTCCGGCACCGGGCCCCTGCCACCGGCATGGGGGCTGGGATGGAGCTTTGGTCTGGATAAGGCTCAGCTGCTGCAGGCATTTTGGGGATTGAACCCACAGAGGAGAAAGATTTTTCTCTCCAGCAATAGAAATGAAACCAATAACTTAAACAGAGCTGGTGATAAGAGGAAGGGGGACTCCACCCCTACCCAGGGCTCCGGCCTCCTTTCTTGGCTACTGAAGTACTGAAGGGCCAGCTCAATGCCACCACCTCCATGAGGCCTTCAGACCCTTTGAGAAGTCTGTGTTGTGGCCTCTTTGCTCCGCCCTCCCTTGGCTCTGCTGAGTGTTGTCGTCTACAGTGACTGCAAGCTCCTGGGTGGGCAGCATGGTTGGCTCTTGGCATCCCTCCTGGGCCTGGCACCCAGGAGGCACCTGATGGGCAATTGGAGCTGGACCTCCTGCACGCTCCCCATGCCCCACAGCTCCTCACCCTGTTCTTCCCTTCTCTTGCAGCAGCCTCACCTGGGCGGTGAAGGTGAGCTGGGAGTTGCTGAGGGGTCCGGCCAAGGCCATGGGGGCAGCTCGGGGACTGCCGTGGGGAGGGTCAGGTCTCTGGAAGGAGGACCAGCCCCCGCTAAGGGCTGTGTGTTGGAGGAGGAGGAACGGTCTGCCTTCCTCTCCTGTGAGAGCCCGGGAGCCCTTGGCTTAGTGCTTGGGCAAACTGATAGTTCCCTTCTAAATCACAGATTCCTGGGTCCCATTGCTGGAGGGCCTGAGTCAACAGGGATCTGTAGGGCCTGGGAATCTGCCTTTAAACACACTCTCTGGAGGACGGATTCAGAATTGAATTTGCTGATCTGGTTCCAAAGCTTTCTGGGTGCACAAAGACGCTTCTACAGCCCCACCCCCAGCAGGCAGGTGGGCAACGTCCGTGTGGGTTCAGGCATCTCTGCTGGCAGGGAGCCCCCCCCCCCAGGAGGCCCTTTCCTATCTTGCCCTGCCCTCTACCACTCCACCCGTGGGCAGTCCCTGGAGAGGGCCACGCGTCTACCCCGCCCTCCAGGCTATTCAGATTCCTTTTCCAAAAGGCCTGAAGCACCCCCACTCCCTGCAGTTTAGGGGAGAGACCTTCCTCTGGATGCTGTCTGGGGGGAGCACAAGGCCGAGGTGAGGGGGCACTGGGCACAGCACCCCCTCCCGGGGTTCCTCACCCCCAGGTGGTCTTGTGTAGTCACCCCCCACCAGGATGCCTCCTTCCTGTACACGGAACCTCTGGGCCGGGTGCTGGGCTTGTGGCTGGCGCTGGAGGATGCCACCCTGGAGAATGGCTGCCTGTGGTTCATCCCAGGTTCACACACTGGTGAGGACCCCTGCTCCCCCCTGCCCAGCCTCCCGCCCCAGCCCCATCCCCTCCTGCTGAGGGCTGACAGCTCTACCTGGGCCTGCAGGAGGCGTGTCTAGGAGGATGGTGCGGGCTCCCACAGGTACCAAGTTCCTTGGGTCGGAGCCTGAGTGGGACGAGAGTTTGTTTGTACCCACGCCAGTGTGCAAAGGTAGGCGGGGAAGCCACGCAGAGGGTGCTGGGAAGGTGAGAGGCAACATGGGCATTGGCAAGCCCTGGGCCAGCTGGGGTCCAGGCTGGGCTGCTGACCACGGGCTGCTTTCGGGGCAAAGGAGTGAATTGCTGTGCACCTTCTGGAAGGTGTGTGGAGCCCAGGGCTGGGCTAGGGCCCTGGCTGACCAGCGCAGGACAAACCTTCACGGCCCTTGCGAAGGCCTCAGGCTCCAGTGAAGAGCTGTGTACTCTAAACAGTGCAGCCCAGCACCGCCTTCACGAAGCCACCTGCAGGTGTGGGGGTGGGGCGAGGGCTGTGATGGAGAAGGCAGGCTGCTCTAGGGAGGAGGTGGGCACAAGGTGGATGGGAAGGTCCTCTCATCGCCCGTGTTCCCACAGGGGCTCTGGTCTTGATCCATGGCGAGGTGGTGCATAAGAGTGAGCAAAACTTCTCTGAGCGCTCGCGCCAGGCCTACACCATCCACCTCATGGAGGCCTCAGGCACCCTCTGGAGCGCCGAGAACTGGTAGGTGGCAGGTGGGTGACAGTCCCCTCCCCAGGCTGGGGCTGTGAGCAGTAACCAGGCCATCTTTTCTGATTGTTCCCTGCAGGCTGCAGCCAACAGCTGAGCTGCCCTTCCCCCCACTGTACACCTAAGGGCCCTTGAAGCTGGGGCCTGCCCCTCGTGAGCAAAGCTATGGGCTGTGACAACAGCACCTGCTCCGACCTTGACCTCCCCCCTTCGACCCTGACCTCCCTCGCCCTGGGACTGTCTCTGAGCCATCTGAGCCCTGCGGACTCCAAGGGAGATGAAGCTTCCTCTCTCCCGGGAGGTCTTTTCCCCCTTCCTCCCGATACACCCTCCCCCTCGAAGGAAGAATAAACGGGGCAGTGGCTCAGTGGGTGCTTCTCTCTTGCTCTGCAGCCTGCCACCTGCTGAAGCCATCGCTGGCACCGCAGCCCAATGTGGCACACCTGCTTTTGCAAATGATGTCACGGTGGGCGTGCTGCTTTCCTGTGGAGGATCCACACACGCGCAGGTCTCACTCCCGGGTGGAGGCAGCAGAATCCAGGAAAGGGGAGGGGATCTGTCAGGTGGCCCGGCAGGCTCAGCCGATCCAGGCCCGGGTTTCTCCCGTCTGCTGCTGGGCGAGGCGTGAGCAGCCTCTGGGTCAGGAGTGAGCCCCAGCTTCCTGTGTCGCTCTGTGAGGCCCAGCTCGCTCTCTGGTCTCAGACTGGGCTCTGCCTCAGGACCGGTCTCTCCACCTGTCCCACAATGGGGCCAGTGCAGGGCTGCTCAGGGCCAGCTCTGTCTGGGCTTGAGTACACAGTCCCCTGAGTAACTTCCAGATCCACAGCCTATGGAGCCGAGGGCCAACACTGAGGTTCCAAGCCACTGACAGATTCTGTTGGGTTCTCGGGTTTCTTTCTTCTGAAGATTTATTTATCTTTATTGGAAAGGTAGATTTACTAAGAGAAGCAGAGACAGAAAAAAGAGGTTCCTTCCACTGGTTCACTCCCCAAGTGACTGCAATGGCCAGAGCTGATCCAAAGCCAGGAGCCAGGAGTTTCAGGTTTCCCATGTGGGTGCAGGGGCCGTCCTCTATGGCTTCCCCAGGCCACAAGCAGGGAGCTGGAAGGGAAGTGGGGCGGCTGGGACATGAACTGGTGCCCATATGGGATCTTGGTACATTCAAGGCAAGGATTTTAGCTACTAAGCTACCACACTGGGCCTAGGTCTTAGGTTTCTTTCTCTCTTTTTAAAAGCTTATTTTGGGGGCCAGTGCAATGGTTCATCTGGCTAATCTTCCTGCCAGCACCCAAGCACCAGTATTCTATATGGGCACCCATTTGTGTCCCAGTTGCTCCACTTCCCATGCAGTTGCTTGTGGCCGGGGAAAGCAGTGAAGGATGGCTCAGGTAGTTGGACCCCTGTACCCATATGGGAGACCTAGAAGCAACTCCTGGCTCCCAGCGTTGGACCAGGCCAGCTTTGGCAGTTGCAGCCATCTGGGGAATGAATGGATGAATGGAAGATCTCTTCCTGTCTTTCCTTTTCTCCATGAATCTGCCTTTCCAATAAAAATAAGTGAATCTTTTTTTTTTTTAATCATTATTTTATTCTCTTAAAGATTTTTATTGGAAAGGCATATTTACAGAAAGGTTCACTTTCCAAATGCCACAACGGCCAGAGGTGGCCTGATCTGAACTGGGAGCCAGGAACTTCTGGGTCTCCCTTGTAGGTGCAGGGGTCCAAGCACTTGAGCCATTCTCTACTGCTCTCCCAGGTGCATTAGCAGGGAGCTGGACGGGAAGTGGAGCAGCACGAACTCAGACTCGCGCCGTATGGGATGGGTCCCGGTGATGGCTTTTCCCGCTATGCCACGTTGTCAGCCCCCCCTCCTGGCACCCCTGTAGCCTGTAGCTCCCTTCCTCGGGGCCCAAGCCTCCTTCACCGCCTGGCCTCAAGTGTATCCCCTGATCGGATCCACGTACACTCATGGCCACAGCCAGGCCCAGATGAGGCCACCCAGGGAGCTGGCTGGGCAAAGCTGGTGCCCTTTGACCAACAGAGACACTTTCGTTGGCAAGCAGAGGACAGCCAGCCTGAGTAACGGGACTGGTTTGTTGAGTCCCCGCGGAGCCCTGGAGGGAATGTCTGGATCCTGGCTCTGAGGCAAAGGCCGTGGTGGCTGCCACTCCCAGCTCCTCCGAGCTCTGCTCCCAGCTTCTGGCACTGGGGGGCTGTGCTTTTGGTTGTCCCTGCCAGGGTGGATGAGGAGAGGAAGCTTGCCCAGCCTCAGGAGTCCTGCTGTAAATGGTCCTCTGCAACCATCATACCAACTCCTTGCTCTGTGCCAGCTCTGGAGGACCCAGACCCACCCCAAGAAAGCAAGGCAAGGAACCACAGCCCTCTGGCAGAGCCTTTTGGTCTCACAGGAAACACTCCAAGACCCAAATAGAGTGTTGCTCTGGGAGAAGAAACTGCTGGGACCTGGACAGAACGGAGTCAGGGCCATGGATGGGCTGCTCAACATGGAGTGGGCACTGCTGAGGCAGTTCGCACTGTCAGCTGACAGCCCCTCCAACCCCTGCGCTCTCTCCTCCTGTTCAGGAAGCCAGAAAGTCAAAGTTGCTCCTACTGCCCTGGGCTCTGACAGGATAGTGACCGCTCTGGGCGAACAGCCAACGCTTCCCCACCACCTGCTCATCCGGCAGAGCCCCGGGCTGGATGTCTCACCGATCCCATTTCCTTGGAACTCTGTGCCACTCATGCTGAGGGGTTGCCTGTCCTTGATGTCCCCTCGGGAACCGAGGCTCCGAGGGTCCCGTCACCCACCCCTGGTCACATAGAGCATAAGCCGTGTCACCTGGGGCTTCTGCTTACATGAGGGACACACCAGAACCGGAAGTAAGCGTTAGGTCCTACTGCCTCATGTGTCCATTCTGGCCGCCACAGACCATGAGGGGACAAAGAGTGCCCGGGTCCACTCAAGTCCTCATCCTGAGTCTTTGTCCTATCCTTCAACACTCTCCCACTTTTTTTTTTTTAATGTTTTATTTATTTGGAAGGCAGATTTACAGAGAGAATGGCCACAATGACTAGAGCTGAGCGCTCTGAAGCCAGGAGCCTCGTCTGGGTCACCCATGTGGGCGCAGGGTCCCAAGGCCTTGGCCACCCTCCGCTGCTTTCCCAGGCACATCAACAGGGAGCTGGATGGAAGTGGAGCAGCTGGGACACGAAGCAGTGTCCCCATGGGATGCTGGTGCTGGCAGGTGGAGGACTAGACACTTGAGCTGCTGCACTGGCTCCAAAGGTCTCCCTCCCCTTTTTAAACTGCAGCCATACTAAAACTGGGAGGGTTTGGCTTTATTACTATTATTTTTAAATTTTATTTTCAATCTGACTCCACAGAAAAACCCAATCTGCTCTTTACTCTTTGGCTCCTCCCGCCCACGTGGCTGGTTGCCATGGGGATCTTGGTCAGTCCCTGTTTTTCTCCCAGCCCCAACTAGGCCATCAGCAATATCAAGAGGTAGAGAGGCAAAAGGAGGTTGTCGATCTGTGTGGTGTACGCCTCGAGGAGGGACACTGCGCTGATGGAGCCCAGGATCCACGCGTACCCGTGGTTCAGGTCCACGGTGCTGTCAAAGATCAAGATGAGTGCCACAGAGATGACCTGGGCGAATATTGACGTCATGGTCCCCTCGAAGGTCTTCTTGGTCCCGGGCCAGCGGATCTCTCCCATGGTGCTGCCGAAGATGGAGGCCACCGTGTCGCCCACCCCCACAGCCAGCACGCCGGCATAGGGGACCAAGGCCCGGGCGCCTCCGAGGCTCCCCTTCTGCGTGCAGGGTCTGGGGACCAGCCAGATGGGGAGAGACATGCCAAGCAGCAGGTAGATGTGTGTGAGGATGAGCGGTCCGCTGTCCCGCTCATCCAGGAAGAGGGACAGGAGGCCGCGCAGGGTGTGGCCCAGGGGCTTGATGCGGAAGTAGCGCACATACTCCAGGATGAGGAAGACTGCCAGGCAGAGGGTGGCGGCCACGTGCAGCAGCGGCCGGTCAAAGACGATGCCTGGCACGTAGGTGGCCACCACGATGAAGTGGAAGTACTTGCGGGCCAGGGCGGGAGCCTGGTGCTTCTTAGACTCAGAGGACTCGGATCGCTTGGCGTTCTGGTACAACACCACCAGGCACGCCAGGGCCGCGAGCAGGGACCAGTAGGCTAGGAGGTAGATGCGGGTGTGTGTCCGGAAAAGGAACTGCAGCAGCCAGAGCAAGGGGTTCCGGCGGATGAGCCAGTGTAGCCAGGGCAGGACCACGCCGAGGCCCAGCACGCAGGTCATGAGGTGGAAAAAGATGGACGAGGCCCAGGTGCCCGAGTCCATGAAGACGAAGAGGGTGCTGAAGAAGACGCCCAGCAGCACCACGCCCACCACCACCACCAGCAGGAAGTAGTCCACGGGGTCCCCCTGGCTCTCCAGCACCGTCAGAGAGCGCTTGATGAGCTGGTTGAGGACGAAGCTAAGCCCCCCCAGCACCAGCAGCGCCTCTCCGGGGGTGAAGCAGCGGGGCAGCAGGTACAGGAGGATCATGTTGAGATACACGAAGATGAGCAGCACCTCCAGTACCTCGATCACCTCGCCCACACTCAGCGAGTGCTTGAGGATGTAGATGATGACGCCGCCCGCCAAGCCCGAGACGGCGCACGTGTTAGTGGGCAGCGGGCGGGTGATGCCCAGCGCCAACACGGACGAGAAGAGGGCCACCGCCATGCCCGTGGCCGCCACAACCACGCCGAAGCGCTCAAAGGCCGGGTTCTCTGCCGCCTGGCACCGCTCCTTCATGACCAGCCCGAGCAAAGGCATGACCACTGAGGCGGGAAGCAGGCCGCTGTTGGCCGACATGCGGAACTGGAACACGGCGTTGCCCTGCTGCAGCAGCCGGTCCCATTTGTACTGGACGTAGAAGGCCTGCACAGCCAGGGCCACGGCGCACCACGAGTACCGGTCCCACACGGTCGCGTGGATGCTCAGCACCACGGCGAACACCACAGCTGCCTCAGCCAGCACCGACCCGCTCAGCGGGGCGGCGGGCTCTGGGGCCGGGGGGCACTGCCGGGTCATCACTCCGGGGCCGGGCCTGCGGGGAAGCAGGGGTGAGCAGGGACGCCCTTGCAGTCGGGGCTGCTCGGCCCCGCCAAGCTGAAGGCGGCCGTTTTCACCCAGCCGGCAACCTCCTCCAGCTTCGAGCGCTGAACTCACACTCCCTGCGGCGAAAGAAGCTGCCGCGCAGTCACACCTCACCGCCGGCCCCTCCGGCGAAAGCCTTTCCACTCCTCCTCCGCCTGGCTCACGATCCAGAGCGCGCGTGCCCAGGCCGAGCTCTTCCCTCCGCGGGCCTCGCCATCTTGACCTGGCCTGTCCATCACGTGATGGAAGGCCCCGCCCACGCGGCGCGACCCGGAGGCGGCCGGCCGGTCACGTGAGCACGGCGTCCGGGGGCGGGGCCGAGGCGCCGTGTGTCTGTGCGCGCGCGCGCGAAGATGGCGGCGGCCGCCGGCGGGCACAGTGTGAGGTGCGGCACCTGGTGGGCTCGGTGGGCTGCGGGGCGCTGGGGGGAAGCCGGACGGAAGCGGGAGTCGAGGGGGACAGGGATGTGCGGGCTGAGCCCAGGGTTGCGTGGACGGGAAGCTGAGGCGGGAGGGCGGCTAGATCCAAACGGTCCTCGCGCGCGGGGATCTGAGGGCACTTGTCCGGGGAGGCCGGTTCCTCAGCCCTTGCCCTGAGCTCCCTGCCTCGTTTTCACCTCCCTGGGCGCCCCCTTTTTCTTCGCCGCTGCCCGCCCACCCCCCCGGGTGCTCCCTCACCTCGGCGCGTCGCGGTGGCGGGAGGACCTCTCCCCGCTTCGCCCCGGGCGGTCCGGCATGGGAGAGTGACCATGGCCTGTGGCCGCCTCGGGGTGAGGGGGACACGGCCGGACGCTGCCCGGTGCCGCCTGGCCGGCTGTGTGGGGACGGCCAGGGGCGCTGGAGGTTGCAGGGAGCAGTGTCCAGCTGCGGGAGATGGTGGCCGCGGTCCCCTCGCCGCACCCCGGCTGCTGTGTGACGGCTGGGACAAGCAGCTCTTTCTGTCCCTCGCCTGCCCCTCCTGCAGCCCTCCTCGTGGCTTCCCCGCCATTTTTTGGGGGGGGAGAGGGGGTCTCGTTCTTTGCTCCTGCCACCTCCCGCGGGATCTGTGGTGTCCCGCATCCCTGGCGTGTCTCAGGATTCTGGCGCCTCGGCTCCTGTCTTTCCCAAGCTGTTTTTTTTTTTTGTTGTTGTGGCTGTTGTTTTATGGTCATTGGAGCTGGGCGGGGGGTCTGCAGTGGAGAAGGTGGGGTTCCCACAGGGTGATGGAGGGGTGCTCCTGCCTGCGAGAGGGAAGGGGGCATCCTCGCAGCCCTCTGTGATGGCGTGGCCTGCACCAGCACTGCAGGGAATGCCCAAGGGGTGGGCACCAAGAAGCAGCTGCGTGAGCTGACCTCAGCCAAGTCACCTCCTTGCAGCCCGTTTGTTTCTCTGAACGTGAAGAGCAATGTTGAAAGAACTGTGAAGCCGACCCTGGTATAGAAAGGCATTTATTTATGTGTTAGGACACGTTAGCCCCTGATCGGAAATGAGGTCAGCCTTCACCTGCTCAGTTTGAGGAAGATTGTGCCTGATTTGTCTGAAAGTTAGTTTGAATATTGGCATTTTGGTGTATCTTGTGTTTTATTTTACTTTGTTATTTTATCGTTGCTTGAAAGACTGAGTTACAGGGCGTACACGGAGGGAGAGATCTTCCGCGTGTTGGTTCACTCACCAGGTGGCCTCAATGGTGAGAGCTGGGCCGAGAGCTGCTTTTGGGTCTCCCACATGGGTGCAAGGACCCAAGCATTTGGGACTCAATCCGGTACCCATATGGGCTGCCTGCATTCACCCAAGTGAGGCTTAATCTGTTATGCCACAGTGCCAGCCCCAGCTCTGGGCACTGTTCCCTCGTGCAGCTGTGGAGCTGCATCCCAGGGCCACTGCCGCAGTCAGGACCCTGCAAGTCTGTGGGACAGTCTGATGGCCTCCCACCCGTATGTAAACTGGGCTCTGTGGGGTCCAGGGTCCTGCCTCAGGCCCCAGGGCTGAGCAGTCCACTCAGCTCTGTCCTGGGTGCTGTAGGTTATATCACTGCACGGTGCCTGGTTTAAGGAAGAAGCTTCCTGTGTGCGGGAGGAGAGGTGCGCAGGGCTGTGGCAGCCTTCACTGGGGAGTGGCCAGGACTGCAGGCTCCCCTGCCTTCCTGCCAGCATTCCATCTGGGCTCTGGTTTGTGTCCTGGCTGCTCCACTTCCCATCCAGCTCCCTGCCTGTGGCCTGGGAAAGTACTCAAGGCGGCCCAAAGCCTTGGGACCCTGCACCCGCGTGGGAGACCTGGAAGAGGCTCTGGGCTCCTGGCTTTGGATTGGCTTAGCTCTGGCTGTTGCGGCCGCTTGGGGAGTAAATCATCAGGCGGGAAATCTTCCTCTCTGTATATCTGCCTTTTCAATGGAAACGGCCAGAGCTTTATCTGAACTTTATGATTTTATTTTAAAATATTGCTTATTTGAAAGGCAGGATCAGAGAGAGAGACACAGAGTGGCTTCTAGCCTTTGGCTCACTCCCCAGATGGATGCAACGGCCAGGATGTGCCAAGGCCAAGCCAGGAGCATCTTCTGCGTCTTCCACATGGATGCAGGGGCCCAAGTTCTTGGGCCATCTTATTTCAGTCATGTTAGCAGAGAGCTGGATCAAAAGTGGAGCAGCTGGGACTCCAATCTGACTGTGTGGGATGCTGGCATCATGGGCAGAGGCTTAACTGAATACGCCATAGCATTGGTCCCCATTATTATTACTATTTTATTATGGTTTTATTTATTTATTTTAATTTTTCAAAGGTTTTATTTATTTGATGGGCAGAGTTACAGAGAAAGGGAGAGACAAAAATCCCCAACTGATTGCAGCAGCCAGGGCTGGGCCAGGCAGAAGCCAGAGGTCAGAGGTCAGGAGCTTTATCTGAGTCTCCTGTATGGGGGACAGGGACTGAAGCACTTCCACGATCTTGCACTGCTCTCCCAGCTGCGTTAGCAAAGAGCTGCATTTGAAGTGAAGTAGCCGGGACTCGGCCTGTATCAGCCAAGGGAATGCGGCGGAGCAGGTGTCAGCTTAACCTGTTAACGCAACAACACAGACCCATTAAAAAAAATAGGAAGAAAAGAAAAAGAAATGGTATCCAGTGACCTCTTTCTGCACTTAACAGTCTAGTGTATTGTCTGGAATTGGTGTGACACAGTGTGTTGGCTGCTGTCAGGGGTCATCACGGGAATGCTGGTTCAAGGCCTGGCTGTTCCACCCCCAGTGCAGCTCCCTGATGGTGCACCTGGGAATGCGATCAGAGGTGGCCCAAATTTGTGGGCTGTGCCACTCTTGGGGAAGACACTGATGGAGTCCCAAAGTTGTGGCTTTGTCCTGGCTCCGTCCTGGCTCCGTCCTGGCTCCGTCCTGGCTCCTTGAGCCCTCTGGAGAGAGAAGCAGTAAATGGAAAATTTCTCTTTTGTCTTTCTCTGGAATTCTGCCTTTCAAATTAAAAAAAAAAACCTTTGTTTTAAAAATGGCAATGAGGAGTTAGATAAGCAGGTGTTTTCTTTCCTTTTGAAGGTTTATCTAACTTTCTATCTGGCTATTTGAAAGACAGAATGTCTGACTGGAGTGACACAGGGAAATGCCCTCTGGATGCCTGTAGCAGCTGGCACTGGATCGGGCTGAAGGCTGAGGAGGGCACCCCAACTCCCACGGAGGGGGCGGTGCTGCCTCAGTGCCTTTGCTGTCGGCTCTCGTGGCTCAGGGCACACATGAGCAGGGGCCCAGGGAGGCGCACACGGCCGGGATCCGAGGTGGACGCTGTGACGTGGGGTGTAGGCAGCCCAGCGATGGCTTCACCAGCTGAGCCAGGCCTCTGCCCTGTTGTCTTTTTTTTTTTTTCAATACATTGTTTGGTTTAGATTAAAATTTTGCATCTTAGTTTATTTTGGTCATCAAACATTCTCCCAGGATTCCTTTCTAAAATGTTAACAAAATTATATTCCATAGTCATTTTAAAGAATGTGAATGATTGCTTGCCTTGCTCTGTGGGGAGTAGATATAGTAGCTGTAAAATGACATGTGCTCTGTCTCCATTTTCAGGAGCAGCAGAGAGCTGTGGACCATCCTGCTTGGAAGGTCGGCTCTGAGAGAACTGGTAAGGGGAGCGTCCCTGTGTGGCTTCTGTGGGCTTTGTGCTGTTCGGATTGCAGAGCTCCCTGCACTGGCTTTGAAGCCAGAAAGGAAAGTGTATTTTTTTTTTTAAAGATCTATTTATTTATTGGAAAGTCAGTTATACAGAGAGGAAGAGAGACAAGAGAGGAAGATCTTCTGTCCAATGATTCACTCCCCAAGTGAGTGCAACTGCTGATGCTATGCCGATCTGAAGCCAGGATCCAGGAGCTTCTTCCGGGTATCCCACATGGGTGCAGGGTCCCAAGGCTTTGGTCCTCAATTGCTTTCCCAGGCCACAAGCAGGGAGCTGGAGGGGAAGTGGAGCAGCTGGGACTAGAACCGGCGCCCATATGAGATCCCAGAGCGTTCAAGGCGAGGACTTTAGCTGCTAGGCCACCGCGCTGGGCCCTGGGAAAGTGTATTCTTACTGCCATGACCCGGGGAGCATTCGTGCACTGCTGGCCTCGGCTGTGTGGGACCCTGACCCAGCCTTGCTGCTGGCGTTTCTGGAGGCTCCGTCTGTGAAGAACAGAGTCTCATGGGGGGCGTTACTCTCGGTCATCAGCGCTCTCAGAGCAGATATGCACGCTTTGCTGCTGCCTCAGGGCCAGTACTCGAGTGACTTTTCGTGCTCTTCCTTCGTTGGCCTCCTCCAGCTTACAGTTACTGTGCCTCAGGGAACACCTGCAAGTACATCGTCAGTGGAGGGAAGTTTCCCCGGCGGTCCTTGGGTGGTCTTGTCCTCTGAGGATAAGTGTCAGGATGACGTCCGGCTGGCTTTGTGGCTCCGAGGCTTTTGCAGCCACCTGCAGCACTGGCGTCCTGTGTCGGAGCTCTGGTTCCAGGTCTGAGTGCTCCGTTTCGTCTAGGAAGACGGCAGGTGCTGGCCCATGTCTTGGGGCCTGCCGCCCACGTGGGAGACCGGGCCTGGTTGGCAGTTCCAGGGAGGGGCCTGTTGGGCCATCTGGGGACAGATGAGCAAATGCAAGCCTTCTCTGCTCACAGAGCTCTTCAGTTACTGCTGTGCTTACTGCAACTGACATCGTGAATATTACATCTGCTTTAAAGCCTTACTTAAGAAAAAGTTATTTTCATCTGTTTGGAAGGCAGAGCAACAGAGAGAAATCTTCCATCCACTGGTTCGGTCCTCAGTTGTCCACACAGCTGAGCCTAAATCACACCAGAGGCAGGAGCTGGAACTCCATGGACGTCTCCTGCATGGTGGCAGGGGCTCAGTCACGCGAGCCATCCCATGTGCCTCCCAGGGCGCAATAGCAGGAGGCTGGGTCGTGAGCGGAGCTGAGAGTCAGCTAGAAAGCACAGAATTATATAAGTGAATAAAGAATTACGGTTAGTGGAAGTACTTAATATGAAAGGAATTTTTATCTAGCCACTTGGTAAAATGTTGTACAGCCGCTAGAAGGTGTATTTATCAGGATTGTCACATAAGGTTAAATCATTAATCATTTGGTGTCTGGGAAAGGATTCTGAGCTGAGGGACAAATGCATATTAAAAAGACTTAAAGAGCAGGGTCATGGAGTCTGATGAAAATGATACCTACACAATTACCTTTTTCTTTTCAGAATCAGATTGAGGCAGAACTGAATAAACATTGGCAGCGGTTGCTGGAGGGGCTTTCTTATTACAAACCACCCAGGTAAGGCTCTTCTGCGTGTCTGGTTAGGGTTCCCTCCACTGCTACCTCGGGCAACCTGGCATGAAGCGGGCTGTCTGGGGTGCTGTCCCTGCGTGAGAAGGCTGTCCTGGGGTCCTTCCTGCTGTCCCTACGTGAGAAGGCTGTCCTGGGGTCCTTCCTGCTGTCCCTACCTGAGGAGGTCAGGGTGCAATTTGGTTACCAGTTTGGTTCCCCAGTCTATTGAAGGAGTAAAGTTTCTTCGTACAGTATTATAATACAGTATTATAAAATCCAATTAGTAATGTTATATGTGGTGATCAGGATTTTGTAAATATTCCAGTGAAGTTCCTAGTTATTTAGACTCCGCTGTGTTTGTGTGAGGACTGAATGCTAGCTGTTTACCGTGGATTTTCTGTGTATCGGTTAGTATCCTGAGCCCCTGGTGTGCCCGACACCCTTCAGCATGGGGACTACTTATGGCATTTTTGTTGGAGCGCACAGTATTCTTCCATATGCTGGTTTGCTCTCAGTGACCATGGCTGAGCTGGAACTCAATCCGGGTCTTCCATATGAATGGCAGAGACCTCTTCTTAAAGATGATTTTACTTATTTTTTGTTAGAAAATCAGATTTACAGAGAGGAGGAGAAACAGAGATATTCCATCCACTGGTTCATGCCGGAATTTAGCTCATCTGAAGCCAGGAGCCTGGAGCTTCATCTGGACTTCAGGGTCCCAAGGCTTTGGGCTGTTCTCAGTTGCTTTCCCAGGCCACAAGCAAGGAGGGAGCTAGATAGAACATGGGGCTGCCAGGCTTAGAGCTGGCATCCATATGGGATCCTGGCGAGTCCTTTAGCTGTTAGGCCACTGCACCGGGTCCTAAAGTCAGGATTTTTAAAGCTCTCATCTTCATCTGGGTGAGAGCCATACAGTACACAGCTTCCTCGTGCAGGAGGCAGGAAGGGAGTTACTAGAGCCCAAAGTTTTTCTGTAGCTAATTAACCTAATCTAGCTCGATAGGAGACAGGAGGGGCCAGGTGCCTGGAGCTTGCAGAGTAAGTTCTTGGCTGTCAGGTGTTCTGAATGGTGAGGAACACTGGAGAGGGGTTGAATGTGTGCGATTCGCCTTCAGTTAACTTGGATGATGGAGAGGAAGTAGGAGGGGTAGGATGCAGACTGCTGTTAATTAACCTGATGACGAGCAGGTGTCAGCCATCGATGGCTACACCCCATTACAGTTCCATGGCCTTACTAGGTGTGTTGGCAGGAAACTGGATCAGAAGCAGGCAGCTGGGGCTTGAACCAGTATGGGGTGCTGCTGTTGTGGGAAATGACAGCTTGACCTGCTGTACCATAATGCCAGCTCCCTTCCTCTTCGCTTCGTCTGCCTCCTTGAGATCAGAGAGGCTTTGGGGAATAAATATGTAGATTGTTTTTTAATGAGCAGAAGAAAACACCAATTTTTTTTTATTATTATAAAATTTTATTTTGACATTCCTTACATAGTTAATTAGGGTAAGAAGGTTCAAGGGCTACAGGAAAGTGGATAATACTAGTATGTTTTCCATATTGTTTCCTTCATGTTTAAAGGGGGGTATTAAGGGAGAAGGCCCACCCAATTTCCCACCCTCCCTGGGTCCCAGATGTAGGGCATGCTCTGAGGTTCTTGCTCAAGTGGTTTTGATATTGCAACAGTTATGAATTGCTGTCAGTCTTGCCACTCCAAGCACTATGAGGTCTTTGAAAAATACACTGATTGACATAGTCCATCATAGCTGAGATGGTTGGTTGACCTGTTCTGTCTTCTCTCTTTTCTTCGTGAAAACACCAATTTAAACAATGTGGTTCAGAAGAGAACACAGCTTGTAAAGCTAGAGTTACTCATCTCTGTGTGGTCCAGATGCCGTTTGATTATATGAGGGGCCCAGGTTGCTCTCATCACTGGTTTCTGAACATCTGTTAAATTTTTCTACCTTCATCTTCATCATCTTAGGCTAATGACCTTTCTGTTCTTGAATTAGCCCTTTCCGCTTGATTACATCACTGCCTTGATGAAATCAGTAACTTTACAAAAGAAGATAACCACTGTTTTATCATATCTAGGCACTCTTATTGTTCATATTTTATCATTGATTTTTTATTGTTAATTTTTTAAGGTTTATTTGTTTTTATTGGAAAGTCAGATATACAGAGAGGAAGACCTTCCATCCATTGAGTCACTTCCCAAGCAGCCACAATGGTTAGATTCGAAGCCAGGAAACCTCCTCCGGGTCTCCCACGCGTGCACAGGGTCCCAAAGCTTTGGGCCGTTCTCGACTGCTTTCCCAGGCCACAAGCAGGGAGCTGGATGGGAAGTGGAGCTGCTGGGATTAGAACCGGCGCCCATATGGGATTCCAGATTCCAGTGCGTTCAAGGCAAGGACTTTAACCAGGCCCGAGTTTATCTACCTTTCAAGTAAAAACAAATACATCGGGCCCGGCGCGGTGGCGCAAGTGGTTAAGGTCCTCCCCTTGCACACCTGGGATCCCATATGGGCGCCGGTTCTAATCCCGGCAGCCCCGCTTCCCTTCCAGCTCCCTGCCTGTGGCCTGGGAAAGCAGTCGAGGACGGCCCAAAGCTTTGGGACCCTGCACCCGCATGGGAGACCCTTAGGAGGCTCCTGGCTTCGGATCGGCATAGTATCGGCCCGTTGCGCTCACTTGGGGAGTGAATCATCGGACGGAAGATCTTCCTCTCTGTCTCTCCTCTCTGTATATCCGCCTTTCCAATAAACAAAATAATAAAAATAAATCTTTAAAAAAAAAAAACAAATACATCTTAAGTATTGTTATTGAAAGATTTTAGTGGCTAAAATCTTTTTTTTAACCTTTTTTTTTTTATTATATTTTTGACAATCTTTACATAGTTAACTGGAGTAAAAAGGTTCAAGGGCTATAGGAAAGTGGGTAAGACTATTATTTCCATATTGTTTCCTTCATGTTTAAAGGGGGGTATTAAGGGAGAAGGCCCACCCAATTTCCCACCCTCCCCAGGTCCCGGATGTAGGGTATGCTCTGAGGTTCTTGCTCAAGTGTTTTGATATTTCAGCAGTTATGAATTGCTGTCAATCTTGCCATTCCAAGCACTATGAGGTCTTTGAAGAATCCACTGATTGACATAGTCCATCATAGAGTCTCCGTTTGCCCTGTATTTCGCTGCCAACATATAGCCGAAATGGTTGATTGGCCTGTTCTGTCTTCTCTCTTTTCTTGGTTAGGGTTCTGAGTTCGCCATTTCGATTCGGGAAATCTCCAAAGAAACTTTGTCTGAGGTGTTCTCGGACCAGATTCTTGTATGTACTAGCAGGTACAGGGCCCGCTCAGTCCATGGCCCTGATCAGCTGGTGCTTGCAATTGCTGGGTTGGTTCTGTTTTCAGCCTCAACTTCCATTGGAATCGATCGATGTTGCAGTCCAGCCTGGTGCTGCCCAACACATTCTCAGCCCTCGCATAAACAAATGGGAGCTGCAGCCTATTGGAGCGACCCACAATAACCCCCACCAGGCCCGCCTCCTACCCTGGTTTGCCAGTATGTGTAGCAGTAATCCAATCTGTCCCACACCCCATTCCACCCCAGCCCCTGTCCTGGTTTTCGTGAGTGGAAAAAATCTTTTCTTGCATGTGCCCAGGATCCCATATGGCTGCTGGTTTGTATCCCTGCTGCTCCACTTCCCACCCAGCTCCCTGGTTGTGGCCTCGGAAAGCAGTCAAGGACAGTCTAAAGCCTTGGGACCCTGCACCTGCGTCAGGAAAAGCCTCCTGGCTCCTAGCTTCTGGCTTTGAATCAGCTCAGCTTTGGCGGTTGCCACCACTTGGGGAGTAGCTAGGGGCCTGCGCACTGGCTCAACAGGTTAATTCTCCCCCTGCCTGTGCCAGCATTCCATTTGCATGCTGGTTTGTGTCCTGATTGCTCCACTTACGATCCAGCTCTCCGCTGAGGGCCTGGGGAAGCAGTGGGGATGGTGCTTGTGCACCTGTGCTCACGCGGGAGACTTGGAGGAAGTGTCTGGCTTTGGATTGGCTCAGCTTAACTGGTAGGCACATGCGCCAGTGGGTGGAGAACCTCTCTGTCTTCTTTTCTCTGTTAGTACACCTTTCAATGAAAATGAAAAAAATCTTAAAAAAAATAGTGGAGTGGCTGGCATGTGAACAGGCGCCCAATGTGATGCTGGCATCATAGGTCGTGGCTTTACAAACTATGCCACAAAGCCCACCCCATAGTGTTTGCTTGTGCCTTTGACTCTGGCACATGGAGAATAGGATGCCTGAAGGCCCTTTGTTTAAAATGTACACAATAATATACATGACTAGAGTATAAAAAAAAAGCCCACCACGTACTTTTTATGAGCTACAGCTAACCAACTCTGTGTTTTAAAGTAGAGGTGAATTTGTGTTATCTAATGTTTTGTAAGTACTGAAAGAACAGGAGAAAGTGCGACTTATCTGAAACCCTAGTCAATGAGAGTGAGAAAATGATTGTTGTTTTGTAGTTCAAGTTCAGCTGAAAAAGTGAAAGCTAATAAGGACGTAGCCTCTCCCCTGAAGGAGCTGGGATTACGGATCAGCAAATTTCTGGTAAGTAAAATCAGCTCGGATTTAAGACATTACTGCAGGGGACGTGCAGAGTTTTATTCTTAGTGTTGCTGAAAACTGAGTTGACTGACGGGTTCCATCGAGTGTTGGTGACTCTTGTACCTGTCACGGGAGCAGTTGTTGGACTCGCTCAGTGGCCGTCACAGTTTCCTTTATTGTCTGAAGATGGAACGAGCCTTTCAAAATCAAAATCATAATAAACATTTATTTATTGGAAGTCAGAGTGACAGAGAGAGGGAGAGGCAGACTGGGTGACTGGGTAGCTGGGTATCAGCTACTGGGTCATTCCCCAAATGGTAGCCGTGGCCGGCCAGGCCTAAGCCTGGATCCTGGACCTTGGTGCAGGGCCCAGGACTTGGGGCGTCTTCTGTTGGTGCCCCAGGCCCGTGACTGGGTAGCTGTATGGGAACAGCAACCAGGACTTCCGCGGGTGCCCTTGTTTGCGATGGCTGGCTCACAGACAGTGGTCTAATGCACTGCCCCGCAGCGCTGGTCGCTGCGATGTCCCTCGGACTTGGCAAAGGAGCACAGCTGTTGCAGGTGTAATTGTGCGTCACTTAACTGGCTCTTTTCCTGTTTGCGTTAAACCTGTTACGTTATGTGAAATCTTTCCAAGGATTGTATTCATTGAGGTTCTGTGCTCATCTCAGAGCACAGTTTAGAATGCTTGATTCCTAGTCTGGCTTCTGAGCTGAATCGCTGTTCTTCACGTGTGTGCCTCAGGGTCTGGATGAAGAGCAGAGTGTGCAGTTACTTCACTGTTACCTTCAAGAGGATTACAGGGGCACTCGGGACTCGCTCAAGGTCTGTGGTTGCACCCGGCGCTTCGGGCGCCTCTGTCTTTTGTTGTTGATGGTTTGGGTAATCTAGAGTTTTGACACAGTTCAGGTTTTTTTTTTTTTAGCTTTATTTTATTACTTTGAATAGTAGAATTACCAAGAGGGGGAGGGACAGAGACAGAGAACTTCATCCACTGGTTCACTCCCCAGGTGGCCACAATGGCCAGGGCCAAACCAAGAGCCAGGAGATTTTCGGGGTCTCCCATGTGCACACAGGGGCAAGTGCATGGGCCATCTTCTGCTGCTGTCCCAGGCCATTAACGGAGGAAGACCAGCAGCAGAGCAGTAAGACCTGAAGTGGTGTCTATGTGGGGTCCCCGCACCACAGGCAGAGGCTTAGCCCAGCATGCCATGGTACCACCCCTGAATTTTAAATTTTTAGTAAAAGCTTTATTTATTTGAAAGGCAGAGTAAAGAGAAAGATGGAGGAACAGAGACCTTCCACCTGCTGAGTCACTCCTCAGGTGGTTATGTAAGCCAGCTCTGGCCATGGCCAGCAATGAAGAACTCCATCCTTGTCTCCACGTGGGTGGCGGGTCCCAAGTTTTTATCCATCTTCTGTGTTCTCTGGTGCATTAGCAGGGAACTGGATTGGAAGAGGAGTAAGTGGGGCTAGAACTGGCTGCTTTGATACAGGGTGCTAAACCTACTGTGTCACAAAACCAGCTCTGAATTTCTCTTTTTGAGGTTTTGTTTATTTATTTAAATGATTTATTTATTTATTTTTAATGTAAAGGCAGATTAGATTTACAGAGAGAAGGAGAGACAGAGAGAAAGCTCTTCCATCTGTTGGTTCCATCCCCAAGTGGCCACAGCAGCCAGAACTGAGCCGATCTGAAGCCAGGAGCTTCTTCCGGGACTCCCACATGAGTGCAGGGGCCCAAGGCTTTGGGCTGTCCTGTACTGCCTTCCCAGGCCACAAGCAGGGAGCTGGATGGGAAATGGAGTAACCGGGACATGAACCGGTGCCCATATGGGATCCCAGGCTTGCAAGGTGAGGATTTATATAGCCATTGCGCCAGGCCCAAATTTTCTTTTAGTATTTATTTATTTGAAGAGCATAGTAACGGGGGCATTTTGGGGAGAATGAAGCCAGGAGCTTCTCCGGGTACAGGGTCCTCAGGAGTTGAGCTATCTTCTGCTGCTGTTCCAGGGCCGTAAGTAGGTAGGTGGGTCGGGAGTGGGATAGCCAGGATGCAAACCATCTCACACGGGATGTTAGCATTGCAGGCTGTTCACCCTTGCCAGCACCTGAGTTTTATTTTTCATATAGAAGCTCTAATTCATTCACTAAATGCCTAGAAAGGCTGGGGCTTGGCGGGGGTCCAGTTGTGGTCGGAGCTGGGGGCCAGAGGTTCAGTCCAGGGTTCCATGCATGTGGGAGGAGCCCAGTCAAGCCCCAGCACTCTGATAAAGGGACATGCGCTCCCTGTGCTGATGGTCCTGAACAAAGAGCTGCTGGGCTGGAACTGCTACTTGGCGTAGGAGGTTTCACTTGGAGGATGGCTTCCTTAGAGTTCTCTTCTCGTGCAGGTGGTGCTGCAGGACGAACGGCAGAGCCAGGCCTTAATCTTGAAGGTCAGTGTCAGGCCCCATTTCCATTCCTGGAGGTAAAGCTCTTAACCTGCTTTGTGCACCTGTGTGGCCTGTTGACTTGTGTTGCTCAAGTGCTCGCTTCCTTGTGGAGAAGCTTCCTGGTGCCCTGTGAAGCGAACCACTGGATGCACTGGTCGCCACCAAGGGCTCTGCCCCGCACACTGCTTCCGCAACTGGACGAGAACGGGCTTAGGAATATTTCAGTCCAATAGGATTAATTTGATTGTCCGGGTCCTGTATCTCCCATTCTTCGCCAGCAACTTTTTCAATAGAATGTATGTTAGTGATGTTTTTGTATTTGGTTTCAGGTACTTTGCTTGTCATTGTGCCCTAAGAAATCCTGGAAAAAACTTTTGGAGCTTGTTAAATCATAATTATATCACTTGATTTATATCCTGATCTGTGAAGATATATAGCTTCTGTTGGCCTAATTTATTATGTTTCACATTTGTGATTGCTTTCATAAATTTGACTTTTCCATGTACACTTTTAATTAGGTGTGGTGATCGCCAGAAAATGTATGGTGAGTTACCCTCTGTGCCTGGGGAGTGACTGATCCCCGTCTTTGGGTCCCCCCAGATTGCAGATTATTACTATGAAGAAAGAACCTGTGTTCTGCGCTGTGTCTTACACCTTCTTACTTACTTCCAAGATGAACGACACCCATACAGGGTAAGGTCATTTCATCCCTGTGTCACTCAACCGTCTAAAATAATTCTGCTTTCCATAATCATTTGACTGTTTTACCTTTTATTCCACATATGTTATTGTTTGGTTTTCTTTTTAAGGTCGAATACGCAGACTGTGTTGATAAGTTGGAGAAGGAGCTGGTTTCAAAATATAGACAGCAGTTTGAAGAGCTGTGTCAGACTGAAGCACCCACGTGGGAGACCCACGGCACCCTCATGGTACGTGGGGGTTCCTCGAGCAGAACTGTGCGGCCGTGGGCTTCGTTCACTCCCTCACAGTAGTGCAGGTGGCTCTAGTTCAGTAAGTCTGTCACGTCAGTCAGAGCTGACCACCGCACTGAAGCGGCTGGTTCCTGTGGACTTTTGTCTTGGCTTTGTTCATCCAGCTCCTGTCCTTTCCTTTCCCAAGTATTTTCTTTTAGTGATTACTGGAACTCTAAACCCTAAGGTCTCATCTTTCTAGTCCCTTTCTGGTTTTTACAAAATATGTGTTTGTTTATTTGGAAGGCAAGTGAGAGAGATTTTCCAACTGCTTGTTCATACACCAAGTGGCCACAGCAGCCAGGGCTGTGCCCAGCCCGAGCCACAGCAGCTCCCACCTGGTTAGGTGCTCAAGCACCTGCCGTCTTCTGCCTTCCAGGCTCATTAACAGGAAACGGGATTTGGAGATAGGTGGCTGGAAATGAAGCCTGCACCCTGGTGTGGGATGAGGGCTAAACAGGCAGCAGCTTAACCTGCTGTGCCTCCTTGCCTGTCCCTGTCATCAGTCCTGATAATGTGTGTGGAGTTAAGCCAATTTTTAAAATCCTAAATCCCAAGCCGGTTTCTAAATGTAGATTATAATGAAATCTTTTTTTTTGTTTGGAGAGTAGTAACACATTCTTATTAAAACATACCAATCAAAACAAAAAAGCTAGTTAAAATATTTAATAGAGAGAAAAAATGATTTATAATACAGAATACAGAATATAGATTTCTGATGTCCTCCCAGAAAATTTGCCAGCAAGAAGAAACTAGCAATAAGATGGTAACTTTCCTAAGTCAATCCAGGATCTAAAATGACTCAACTTGGGGCTGGTGTGGTGGTGTAACAGGCAGTCTTCCACCTGCAAGTGCAGGCGTCCCATCTGGATGCCGGTTTATGTCCCAGCTGCTCCAATTTCCATCCAGCTCTCTCCTTCTGGTCTACGAAAGCAGTGCGGGATGACCTGCAGCCTTGGTCCCCTGCTCACGTGTGGGAGACTGGGAAAAAGCTCCTGGCAGCTCCGGCTCTTGTGACCATTTGGGGAGGGAACAAGCAGATTGAAGACCGACCTCTCTGTTTCCTTCTTTCTCCGTAAAAAAAATCATCTTGCGGGCCCGGCGCGATGTCACAGTGGTTAAGGTCCTCACCGTGCACGCCTGGGATCCCATATGGGCGCCGGTTCTATCCTGGCAGCCCCGCTTCCCTTCCAGTTCCCTGCCTGTGGCCTGGGAAAGCAGTCGAGGACGGCCCATAGCTTTGGGACCCTGCACCCGCGTGGGAGACCCGGAAGAGGTTCCTGGCTTCAGATTGGCATAGCATCGACCATTGCGCTCACTTGGGGAGTGAATCATCGGACGGAAGATTTTCCTCTCTGTCTCTCCTCTCTGTATATCCGCCTTTCCAATAAAAAAATAATAAAAATCTTTAAAAAAAGATTTATAAAAAAAATCATCTTGCAAATAAAAAAAGCAATTACAATAAAGCAAAATAAAATAAAGTAATTGAACTTTGGAATGTGTTAAAAGGGCCAGTGCTGTGACATAGTGGGTAAAGCCGCTACCTGCAGTGCCGGCATCCCATATGTGCACTGGTTCCAGACCCAGCCTGCTCCATTTCTGATCTAGTTCCCTGTTAACTCACGGGGTGATGTCCCAGTGCTTGGGTCCTCGTGCCTGTGTGGGAGAACCAGAGAAACTCCGGACTCCTGCTCGACCTGGTGCAGCCCTGGACTGCAGCCATTCAGACAGCAAACCAGCAAATGGGAGGTATTCCTGCCTCTTCCTCTCTCTCTAACTCTGATTTTCAAACAAATACTTTTTTTTTAAACTAAAAATAGAAAACAAAATGCATTAAACAATATGGAATGTGGTGACCAGATGATAGACACACAATATCATTGATCCATTTGTTCATTCCCCTAATGGCTGCAATGGCCGGGCCTGGGCCTGGCTGAAACCAGGAACCTGGAGCTTCCTCTGGATCTTCAGCGTGGGTGCGGGGACCCGAGGGCTTGGGCTGTCCTCCACTGCTGTCTCAGGTGCATCAGGAGGGAGTTGGACCGGAAGCGGAGCAGCCAGGACTTTAGCTGGTGCCCATGTGGGATGAGAGTGCAGCGGGTGGAGTCTTCACTTGCTATGAGAGAATGTCAGCCCTTCCCACCCCTGCAATATTTTTTAAAAATTTGCTTTCCCACAATATGATATTTCTTGGTGAATGAATATGCCATCTGTGTTGGAAGAGAATGTATGTTTGGCAATAGTGGAGTGTACTAGTGTATAAATATTAGCTAGCTCAATATTGTTGGGATCTTTTATGTGTTGCTAGTTTTTTGTCTACCAGTTATATGGTATGATTCTGTTAATAAAATTTTGGCAATTACCTAAATGTGCATACAAACGGGATGAATAAGATAATTATAGCCTTTTATGTACAGTGGTAACATGTAGTATTATAGGTGACAAAGGGACTGGCTTAGATATTATGATGGATTATTGTGTAGCTGAGAAAGGAATTAAAGAAGAAAATTGGGAGTCTGCTGTCCTAGGAAGTAAGCTTCAAGATATTAAGTGGAAATAGTAAGTTGCCACGTGATGCGTAGTATAGGTACGTGTGGCAGAGGTGGGTGGGCTGAGCGTGCACTGATGCGTGAACACATATGGCGTGGTGAAAGAGGCACAAGGATTGGCTGCTTTTGGAGCGGGTGGTTACAGGGCAACAGAAACTGCCTTTTCACTCCATTGTAATTTTTTTTCATTTTTGTTACCATATGCATTGTTTAATATAACTTGAACATTTTCATATATGCTTTTTACCTCGGCCCTTTTCTCTCCCACTTGCGCAGACTGAGCGTCAGGTGTCTCGCTGGTTTGCTCAGTGCCTTCGGGAGCAGTGCATGCTGCTGGAGATCATCTTCCTTTATTACGCCTACTTTGAGATGTCACCCAGTGACCTGTTGGTACTCACCAAGATGTTTAAAGAGCAAGGTTTTGGTAGTCGGCAAATCAACAGGCATCTAGTGGATGAGACTATGGATCCTTTTATCGATCGGATTGGGTAAGTCCAAATGAACTGAGCATCAAAAACTTCAGAGTGGTAGAGCATTGGTACTGTTGGTTGTTTGATGGACGAAGGGGAAAAGGTGAGCTAGAAAAGAAATGGCTGTGCCAGCACGTTGCATCATACAAGGAACAAAACTCTCTTTAAAAAAAAAAAAAGCTATCATCTTGTTCCTTTAACTGAATTTCTTCTAAATAGACATGAATTTGTTGAGCAGCTATTATAGGCAAGGCACTGTGTGGATGCTAAGAAGGGAGCGATAGCTGAGTCGTGCAGGTTCTCATGAGACCTTGGGACACAGAGAGATCTTCCATCCATGGCTTCATTCACCAGATGGCTACAGTGGCCAGGTCTAGGCTGTACTGAGGCCAGGAGCTTCCTCCAAGTCTCATGTGGGTGGCAGGAACCCAAACACTTGGGCCGTCTCTGGTACTTTTCTCTGGCTAGTAGTGAGTTGGATCATAAATGGAATAGTCCGGACAAAAACTGGTGTCCAAATGGCATGCCAACAGTTCAGCCAGTGGCTGTACCTGCTGTGCCTTGGTGCCAGCCATAGGCTATGAGCTTTGAGTCTCTCAGGCTTTTCTGTTTATCAACACTTGTATGTCTGCAGTTTGTTTCCTCTTTGCTCAGGCAAGCTGCATTTCCCAGTTGAGAACTCAGAGGCTTTCTTTGGGTCCGATGGGAGTGGAGGCTGTGGAGACATACAGTGCTGGGCTAGCTCAGCCCACTGTGATCAACAGAGCTTTTTTTTTTTTTTAAGATTTATTTTATTTTTATTGGAAAGGCAGATATACAGAGAGGAGAGACAGAGAGGAAGATCTTCCATCCGATGATTCACTCCCCAAGTGAGCGCAATGGTCGATGCTATGCCGATCCGTAGCCAGGAGCCTCTTCTGGGTCTCCGAAGCCGGTGTAGGGTCCCAAAGCTTTGGGCCGTCCTCGACTGCTTTCCCAGGCCACAGGCAGGGAGCTGGAAGGGAAGCGGGGCTGCCGGGATTAGAACTGGCACCCATATGGGATCCCGGGTGTGCTAAGCGAAGACCTTAACCACTTGCGCCACCACACCGAGCCCCAACAGAGCTTTGTATATGACTAACAGGTGGTTGCAAAGTGGCTGGTCAGATGTGCTGCCAGTGTTAAATAGGTAGTGGATTTAGAAGCCTGTCTATGAAAAGGCAGTATTGAATAACATGTTAATACTTTCCTGATGGGGAAGTGTTATGTGTTAGCTGAGTGTACACCCACCAAGGCTGAGGAAGCACCTGCAGCCATGGTCCTGCTTTTCTTTCCAGCTACTTCAGTGCCCTGATCCTGGTGGAAGGCATGGACATCGAGTCCTTGCATAAGTGTGCCCTGGATGACAGGAGGGAGCTACACCAGTTTGCTCGGGACGGACTGACTTGCCAGGTGAACTGGGAACAGCTGTGTCACACGATTGTAGACAATCACGTTCCTCTTAGCCGAAAGCCGACGAGACGCTGAGCTCTCCGGGGTTAGCTAGTTTAGATGTGGCGGGAGGTCTCATTTGTCAGTCATCTGTGCAGAGGCGGTGGCTCCGTGTGTGGGGGAGCACTGGCGCTCGTGGAGAACGGTGCAAGGACGAAGCCCTGGGTCCTGTCTGCATGGGTGACACCTGTGAGTGAAGAGGAAATGCATCGAGGTGGGGTGATCAGGAGGAAAAGGAGGGGAAGTCAGAAAATTCAAGAAGGAGCAAGGCAAAATTTCCACTGTCTCCTTTTGAATATGTATTGCTGATGGGTAAAGGGAAGAGTACTAGCAGGGTTTGTTAGTGAGGTGGCTGCAGGTGTGTGAGAGAGCTAGCAGAGTCCGAGAACAAGGCCTGTGAGTGACAGAGAATCCTGTGGAAGGATTCTAAAAATTTTTACTTATTTTCTTGATTTGAGAGGCAGAGAAGTGGACATCTTCCATCTACTAGTTCCACAAATGCGTATGAAAGCGGGGCTGGGCCAGACGCACAATGGGTCCAGGAACTGAATCTGTTTGGGTGTTAGAGAACCCAGCAGTTGAGCCGTTGATGACCTGTGTTGCTGTGCATTGATGGGAAGCCATAATGAGGAGTTAGTACCCGTACCCAGATCCATTGCTGTGTGAGGCTGGCATCCCTGCCAGTGTCCCAGATGCCACACCAGGTACCTGTCCCTGCTGGAGCGATCTGAACCCTTCTTGTTGAAAGACACCAGTGTGTTTCCTCCTTTTGTTAGGACATGGACCATTTGATGTTGACCTTTGGGGACATTCCCCATCATGCCCCAGTGCTTTTGGCCTGGGCTCTCCTCCGTCACACCCTGAAGCCGGAAGAGTGCAGTGCTGTGGTGCGCAAGCTGGGAGGCACTGCCATCCAACAGAATGTGTTCCAGTACTTGACCCGACTGCTCCGCTCGCTTGCCAGTGGGGGAAATAATGTGAGTCTACAGCTGTCGGAGGTTGAGGATGAGGAGGGGCAGACAGAACCGTGGACAGTAGGACAATAGCAATGATGCTGGTGTCACAGGTGACTTCCACAGAACATAACTGTGGCTGCCAGGGCCTGCGTGGGAGCGATGGGCCAACTGAGGAATGGGCGCTTTGTGTGTAGTGTGATGGTGGACATAGGCCGTGGCACTGCCCGCACTACATAGATGGGCGGCTGGGCAGGTGTGCGTGTCGGACCGGGAGTGTCGGGAGGCAGCTCGGAGCATGAGCTCAGCACCGATGTCCGTGCTGGTCGTGCTTCTCTTGGCCACACGCTTGGATCCTTTGGAAGTACTTTTGGTTTTACTGTTGTGTGTTATAACGCCTGCGGTTCTTTCTTTCCTTATCCATCTGGGTTCTGATCCTGTGAGTCAGGAAGGATCAGCTGCTCTCCCGCCTGTGGATGAGCCTGGTGCCTGAGTGATGGGATGTGCTGGGAGGCGCTGTGGGCGGGGAGGGACTCACTGCCGCCTCTGCTCTTACAGTGCACCACCAGCACTGCGTGCATGTGTGTCTACGGGCTCCTGTCCTTCGTCCTGACCTCGCTGGAGCTGCACACCCTGGGCCCTCAGCAGGTCAGTGCCCGGCTCTCCTGAGGCTGGCTTCCCTGGCGAGCCGTGCAGGCTCATCCCTGCAGGAGCTCCCTGTGCCTGTTGATTTGGGTATTGCTGTTCATTTTCATAGTGCTATATATGTGATATGTATTCATTTTGAAAAACCAGGAAATGCACACTCACAAACATAGTGTGCTGCAGGTGGGGTCACAGTGTGTGTGCTGTTGGTAGGCTTGGGCTTCATCTGCAGTGTGTCTGCTGCATTCTCGCAGCTGATAAATACACACTAAAAAAACAGCTGGGGCGCGGTGGGATTCCAGCATCGCAGGGGGTGTCATAACTGGCCCCTCTGTGACAGTTTGTAAAAATGAGACATTTCTGGGACGGGTGTGTGACATTCGTCATGTTAGCAGCCACTAGAAATCATTGTGTAAGTTTATTAATTCATAGGCTTAAGAATACCACTGTTTGAATTCTGTCTTTTGTGTTTTGTCTGCTCATAGAAACATTTCTTTCTCTCCTTTTAAAGATTTATTTCATTTTGTTGGAAAGTCAGATTTATAGAGAGAAGAGACAGAAAGATCCTCTATCCACTTGTTCACTGCCCAAGTGGCCTCAACAGCCAGAGCTGAGCTGTTTGGAAGCCAGGAGCTTCTTGTGGGTCTCTCATGCGGGTGCAGTGTTCCAAGGCCTTGGGCTGTCCTTGACTGCTTCCCCAGGCCACAAGCAGGGGAGCTGGATGGGAAGTGGAGCAGCTGGGATATGAACCAGTACCTATATGGGATCCCAGTGCATACAAGGTGAAGACTTTAGCTAGTAGGCTACTGTGCCAGGCCCATTTGAACATTGCTATAGAAAAGATGTTTACCCCCACTTACTTTTTCAGTGTCTTTCCTTTGACTGTGAACTCACAGATTGAAGCATATTAGCTATGTTTTAATTTAGCTCCTTTTTTTTTAAGGTTTGTTTTTACTTGAAAGAGTTGTGGAGTGCAAGACAGAGACCATTCATCCACTGATTCACTGCCCAAATGGCCACGATGCTCAGAGCTGAGCTGGCTCCAAACTGGGAGTGGCTGGTGGCTGCAACAGCCTGGCCTGGCCAGCAGATGGCCGTGGCTCTCCCGTGCGAGAGCAGTGGGCTCTCCTCCACGGTTCTCCTCGGTGCATTATCAGGGAGTTAGGTCAGAAGTGCAGCAGCCAGTGTTGAAAGGTTGTCCATGTGGTATACAGGTGGCAGCTTAACCTGCTCCTCTAGAATGCCAACGCCTAATTTATGATAATTCTAAGTGGCCCACAAAGAATATTATTGTATCCAAGTGACTGTTGGCAGAAAAAGCTTCCCCATTATTGCTGAGAAAAATCTAGTAATGCCTTTGACTTACATAGCTTTAAAAAAATTTTTTTTTTTTTTGGCTCGGCGCGGTGCCGCAGTGGTTAAGGTCCTCGCCTTGCACGCCTGGGATCCCATATGGGCACCAGTTCTAATCCTGGCAGCCCCGCTTCCCATCCAGTTCCCTGCCTGTGGCCTGGGAAAGCAGTTGAGGACGGCCCAAAGCTTTGGGACCCTGCACCTGCGTGGCAGACCCGGAAGAGGCTCCTGGCTTCGGATCGGCATATCATCAGCTGCTGTGCTCACTTGGGGAGTGAATCATTGGACAGAAGATCTTCCTCTCTGTCTCTCCTCTCTGTATATCCTCCTTTCCAATAAAATAAATCTTTTAAAAAAATTTTTATTTTTAATGTGTTGCTTTGAGAGACAGAGGCAGGGATAGGTAGACAGTTCCCATCTGCTAGCTTGCCCCCACGTGCGTGCAGTGGTCTGCTTAGGGTCCTAAACCAGGAACTGGGGAAGCCAAATCTCCGGAGTGCTAACCAGAGCTCGCCCCGGCTGTCACCAGCATCCCCTGAGTCTGCAGTAGCAGGAACCAGGAGACTGCTCAGGTTAAGCCCTGGGACTCCTGTGCAGGTTGTGGGTGTCTTAGCCACTGCGTGACTAGGGGATTACCCTGATCTACATAGCATTTATTTTATTTTAAAGATTTATTTATTTATTTTTATTGCGAAGTCAGATATACATAGAGGAGGAGAGACAGAGAGGAAGATCTTCCATCCGATGATTTACTCCCCAAGTGAGTGCAACGGCCGATGCTATGCCAATCCGGAGCCAGGATCCAGGAGCTCCTCCGGGTCTCCCATGTGGGTGCAGGGTCCCAAGGCTTTGGGCCATCGTCGACTGCTTTCCCAGGCCACAAGCAGGGAGCTGGATGGGAAGTGGAGCTGCCAGGATTAGAACTGGCGCCCATATGGGATTCTGGTGTGTTCAAGGCGGGGATTTTAGCCGCCAGGCCACAGCTCCGGGCCCAAAGCTTTATTTATTTGAAAGAGTTAGAGACAGACAGAAAGAAAGAGTTAGAGAGAGGGGTACCTTATATCCACTGGTTCACTCCTGAGATGGCTGCAGCAGCTGAGGCTGGGCCAGGATGAAGCCAGGAGCCAGGAGTTTCCCCAGGGTCCCTCGTGGGGGATGTAGGGACTCGGGCAGCTGAACTGCATACAAAGCAGCAGGGCTCCGGCTGACAGCCACGTGTGTTTGCAGGCATCACAGCAGAGCCAAGCCAGTCACGCCATGCGGTGTCCGCTCTGTGTAGCATTTTGAATTGATGGCTCACTCACGCACTAAAGCAGAGTATTTCTGCTTTTGTTGTCCTCATTTATAGACGAAATTTGAAGAGGTGGGTTTAAAGGGTCATTTAACCAACACTGCGTATATTCTAGATTGGTTAAGTGTGAACCCTTTAAATTCAGAATTCTTTCTCACATACCATATCAAGGTGTTTATTGGTGGTTTTATTTGAACCAGAAAGTAGACTGATATAGCCAGGAAAAGTGAACCCTTCTCTCCCCTCTCCAACAGGATGTGATCGACACAGCCTGTGAAGTCTTGGCAGACCCTTCTCTTCCAGAACTCTTCTGGGGAACAGTAAGTGTGGTGCGGTGTGCTGTGACTCCCGTGGGCCAGCGCGTTGGTCACTTAGTGTGTGCTCCATGCTGTGTGTCTTCCCCTTGGAGCTTCCAGCAAATCTGGTGAGAGGTGCGGCCTGCAGCTGTGGCTCGCTCAGCCAGGGCCTCCAAGCCGGGAGCCACTTCCACCTGACATCGGTCTCCTGCCCACATCGTCAACCAGTTAACCAGTTGTTGTGTCCACCACTTTCGTTTTCTTCTTCTTAAAGAAGAAAGACAGATCAGATTTACTGAGAGAAGGAGAGACGGGAATAAATCTGCTTGTTTATTCCCCAAATGGCGATAACTTCCAGAGCTGACCAATCGGAAGCTAGGAGCCTGTTCCAGGTCTCCATGCGAGTGCAGGGTGCCAAGGCAAGATTTATTTTGATTGGAAAGTCAGATACACAGAGAGGAAGATCTTCTGTCTGATGATTCACTCCCGAAGTGACCGCAACAGCCGGTGCTGCCCCGATCTGAAGCCAGGAACCAGGAACTTCTGGGTCTCACACGTGTGCAGGGTCCCAAGACCCTGGGCCATCCTCAACTGCCTTCCCAGACCACAAGCAGGGAGCTGGATGGGAAGCGGGGCGGCCGGGATTAGAACTGGCGTCCATATGGGATCCCAGGCACTTTCAAGGCAAGGACTTTAGCCGCTTGGCCACTGCACCGGGCCCATACATAAATCTTAAAAACAAGATTCCTAGAGGATTGTAGCTATGTTACCAGTCCTTGTAGTATTCTGATGTGTGAGTGAGGACGCGGTTTGGGAGAGGAGTGATCCTCACCAGGGCCTGTCCTAGCAGTGACCCCCGTGTGGCTGGCGAGCAGGTCCGAGTCTCCCTGTGCGCGGCGGCACTGCACTCCTGTGTGTGCTGCCCTCGTTTTTCTGAGGGGTGGCTTTGTGGTCCAGACGTCATTCAGTGGGCCATCATGTTGTGTCTGCTGCTGGCTCACTGCTCACGTGCCACAGCAGCCTGGCCTTGGTCCTTGAGAAGTTCTGCGCGCGGGCTTCTGTGTGAATCCGCAGGACCTGAGCCGTCCTTGGCTGCTGACCGGAAGCTGGGCTGGAAGCAGAGCTGGGAATGTAACCGCTTTGGTTTAGGAGAGTGTCCTGGGTGGCATCTGAGCAGCTGCGCCGCCTGTCTGCCCCAGCAGTGTTGTCGTCTTAGTGACTCAGTGGGGACCCTGACAAACAGTTGTCTAATGTCCTTTTCCAGTGGCTTAGGAAGGGGACCGTGTGCCTGAGGGAGTAGTGAGGCTAGACGGTCAGTGACGGCTGGGCCGCAGGACCCACAGCGACTTCCCTCTCTCGGCAGGAACCCACCTCTGGCCTCGGCATCATCCTGGACAGTGTGTGTGGGATGTTCCCTCACCTCCTCTCCCCGCTCCTGCAGTTACTCCGAGCCCTCGTGTCTGGCAAGTCCACTGCCAAAAAGGTAAGGCGTGCGGTCGGTGCCTCAAAGGGAGCGGAGAGATACTTGGAGCGCTCGTTGGGGTTCCGTTGTACCTTCCGGGCTGAACTTTTGTTAATGCCAGAGTTAGTCTGAATCTGAATGAGGGATGTTAAAAATGCAAAAATGTAGTGCCCTGATTGAAAGGCAAAGATATAAGAGGCAGAGGAAAATCTATTCACTAGGTCATTTCCCAAGTACCTAATATGTAGCACGGTTGGGACAAGTCAGAGCCAGGAGCCAGGACCTCAGTCCAGGTCTGACTCTCACCATGTGGGTGTTGGGGACCAAAGTGCTCGGGCCGTTGCCTGTTGCCCGTAGGGTTTGCATTAGCAAGAAGTTAGAATTAGAAGCAGAAGGGCTGGTGTGGTGGTGTAGTAGCATAACCCTCCACCCGCGACATTGACATCCCATGTGGACACACCAGTTCATGTCCCGGCTGCTCCACTTTTGATCCAGCTCCTTGAAGATCGCCTAGAGAAGCAGCGAGGCTGACCCGAAGCCCTGAGGCTTTGCATGGGAAATGCCTGGAAGAAGCTCCTAGCTTCTAGTTCTGAATTGGCTCAGCTGTGGCTGTTGTGACCTTCTGGAAAGTAAACCATTGGAGGGAAATTTCTTTATCTCTCCTGTAATGCTACCTTTCAAAATGAAAATAAGATAGATCTTAAAAGAAATTAAAAGCAGAAATGGATAGCAACTTTTATGCTGTGTAATGTAGGATGTGGCTGTCCCAGAAGCATCTTCCCTGTTGTGCCAGTGCATGTGGTGTATCTACAGCTAGAAGCACACAGCAGATTGAAGACTAAGGGGTGATCGCCAGATGATGCGTGGCGTGTGGCACTGGGCGCGTGAAGGCCGTGCAGTGGACAGGACAGCTGCTCCCGGGGGCAGGGCCACCTTCCGGAAGGCTTCCCCAGAGAAGCACGTGCTCTGGCCGGCAGCGCCTGGCCGTTGTGTCCGTGCCCAGGGTCTGACTGTGTGTCTCTGCGCGTGGCAGGTGTACAGTTTCTTGGACAAGATGTCCTTCTACAATGAACTGTATAAGCACAAACCCCACGACGTCCTCTCTCATGAAGACGGCACGCTGTGGCGGCGGCAGACGCCCAAACTCCTTTATCCCCTGGGTAAGAGAAAGGTTCCCTGGGAGGAGCCTCGTCACTGCCGCTCCTCCCTCTGCTCTGTGTGCTGACTGATGAGTGAGATTTTCTTCTTTACTTTTGAAAATATCATTCCACTGTTCGTTGCAACAAAGTAATTGACCTGGAAGTATGTCTTTAAAACTTGGACTTTCTTTAATCTTGTCTTCTTCAGTTAATATTGAGAATTTGGTAAATGTCCTTTCTCCTATTTCTTTACTATTTCTTTCTTTTTTTTCAATTTTTTTTTTTTGGTTATCTATTTTATTTATTTATTTTTAAACATTTATTACTTTTTATTACAAAGTCAGATATACAGAGAAGGAGAGATAGAGAGGAAGATCCTCCATCCCATGATTCACTCCCCAAGTGAGTGCAATGGCCGGTGCTCTGGAGCCAGGAGCTTCCTCCAGGTCTCCCACACGGGTGCAGAGTCCCAAGGAATTGGGCCTTCCTCGACTGCCTTCCCAGGCCACCAGCCGGGAGCTGGATGGGAAGTGGAGCTGCTGGGACTAGAACCGGCGCCCATATGGGATCCTGGTGTGTTCAGGGCAAGGACTTTAGCCGCTAGGCCATGCCGCCGGGCCCTCTTTCTTTCTTTAAATTGTAAAGGCCTCCTCCAAGGTCAGGTGCGTCAGCAGGGAACTGCATCGGGAGTGGGGAAGCTGGAAACCTGAATTGGCATCAGCCCCCTAAAGAACTTTAAAGCAGCAGGGTTTTTGCCACCATAGAAAATACCATATTATCCGGGTCTGTTGCCTTGGAGTAGCAGAATAAGCCTACTCCTATGGCCCAGCATCCCATGTGGGCACTGGGTTGTCAAAGGCTTTATTTCTGATCCACTTTCCTGCCAATAGCCTAAGAACAGGTAGCAAGGATGGTACAAAGCCCTTGGTCCCCTGTACTCAGTATCGGAGACCTGGAAGAAACTCCTGGCTTTGGACCGGGCCAGCCCCGGGCATTACAGCCATCAGAGGGTCAGAGGATGAAAGATCTCTCTCCTGCCCGCTCTCCGCTTCTTACTCTGTGGCTTTGCTTTTCAAATAAAATAAATCTTTAAAAAAAAACAAAACAAAAACAAGCCACTCGGTTTCAGACACTGTTACATACTGGTGCCTTTTTTTTTTTTGGCAGATAGTTCCCAGCGTGATATTTTTGGGTGGTAGGACATGTACACAGTCGGAATGTTAGAAAGGCTGGCTGGCACGGCGGCTCAACGGACTCCCCATCCCCTCGCACTGCCGGCATGCCGCAGGCGCCGCTTCTCATCCAGCTCCCTGCAGTGCAGGCTCCTGCTCCTGGTTTCAGCTCAGCTCAGCTCTGGCTTTTGCAGCCATTTCGGGAATGAGTCAGTGGTTAGAAGACTTGTCTTTCTTGTCTGAAAATCTGCTTTTCAAATAAAAACAAGTATTTTTAAAAAAAATTTTAACGGATGTCCATTGAGAGATTAGTCGCTACGCACAATGCGGCATGTACATACAGTGGGATATTATTCAGCCTGAGGAATTGTGACATGCTTTACAGTAAGACATGTGAAGTGAATCAGCTAGTCAGGAAAAGACATGCACCATGCCAGACTGCTCACATGCAGTGCTTGGCGTAGACAGAGAGGAAGTTGATGGGTGCCTGGGGTTCAGGGTGGGAACAGCGGGGAGCTCGTGGCGAAAGGGACAGAGATTCACTGCAGATGGGCCGGTCGGTGTTGAACCTTGACCGCTGTGCCCGAGCGTGCCTGTGCTGGTGCTGCTCACCTGCAGCCTGAGAAATGGGCAAGCAGGTCAACCACAGAAAATCAGAATCGGGGGCCTGACATGATAGCCTAGTGGCTAAATTCCTCACCTTGCACATGCCTGGATCCCATATAGCACTGGTTCTAATCCCAGCAGTCCTGCTTTCCCATCCAGCTCCCTGCTTGTGGCCTGGGAAAGCAGTGGAGGACGGCCCAGGGTCTTGGGACCCTGCACCCACATGGGAGACCTGGAAGAGGCTCCTGGCTCCTAGCTTCGCATTGGCAAAGCTCCTGCCATTGCGGGTGCTTGGGGAGCGAACCAGAGGACTGAAGATCTCTCTGTGTCCTCTCTGTATATCTGCCTTTCCAATAAAAACAAATAAATCTTTTAAAAAAAAGTGATTAAAAACTTTCGGAACAGATTATGCCCGATTAAGTTCTAGAAGAAGGTCATGATGTCTTCCCTCCTGTGCGGGGTCGGTTCCCGCCTTGCGCTGTGTGTCCCCGGCGTGTGACAAGGCCACCGCATGCTGGCTTGTTATGTGTCAGGGTTTGTTTGGAAGGCAGAGTGAGGCAGAGGGGGAGATGGAGGAGAGGCCTCTCATCTGCTGCTCACTCCCCACGTGACCATGAGGGGCTGACGTCAGGACCCAGGAGCTTCTTCCAAAGGTGGGTGCGGGGTGGGGCAAGGCCTGGGACCATCCTCTGCTGCTCCCCCAGACCCATCAGCGAGCTGGATAGGAAGTGGAGCATCTGGGAACTTGAACCAGCACCCGTATGGGAGGCTGGCCTGCAGGGGGCAGCTTTACCCACTACACCACAGCATCTGGCATACTTTTTTTTTTTTTAAAGATTTATTTATTTTTATTGGAAAGTCAGGGCAGCGGGGGCTCAAGCACTGAACCATCCTCTATTGCTTTCCCAGACTCATTAGCAGAGAGTTGGGTTAGGAGTGGAGCAGGCAAACCTTGAAGTGGCAGTGATGCAGGGTGCCAGCATCTGAGGTGGTAGCTGAAGGCACCATGCTGATGCCAGCCCACAGCCTGACTCTTGCTCCTCCTGTCATCATGACTGGCTGACTGGTCCTGCTGTCCCCGGGATGGGCCTCTTGGGGCTGTCACTGCCATGGAGAGCCATCCTCTGTGCTCAGCTTCCCCAGGTGGCAGGAGAGGCTTTGCTTCAGTGGAGTCAGCTGTAGGAACTGCAGCTCCTCAGAAAAGGTCTGTGGATCCCTGTGTTTAAACATGGCTGTCCGGTGCCAGGAAGAAGTGCTTCGTCCTGCTCGGCCTCAAGTGGTGCAGCTGTTTCTCTTCCCCCCTCAGGTGGTCCCACCAACCTTCGCATCCCTCAGGGCACCGTGGGCCAAGTCATGCTGGATGAGCGGGCTTACCTGGTGCGCTGGGAGTATTCGTACAGCAGCTGGACCCTCTTCACCTGTGAGATGGAGATGCTGCTGCACGTTGTGTCCACTGCAGGTGCAGTCCCGCTGTGGGAGGCATGGCCGTGGGAGGGACGAGGGCCTACAGTGCAAGAATGTCAAAATCCAGTTCGGAGCCACAAGATTGGGGTTTGTCTGGTTTTGCTTACGCCATAATCTGAAAGGGGCGTTTGCCCTAAGTCCTAGACTGTCTTTCCCCAGATGTGATTCAGCACTGCCAGCGGGTCAAGCCCATCATTGATCTGGTGCACAGGGTCATCAGCACCGACCTCTCCATAGCGGACTGCCTCCTGCCCATCACGTCCCGCATCTACATGCTGCTACAGCGGTGAGTCCCCGGGCAGAGCACGGTGCTTGCCCGCAGTCAGCTGGGCTCATGTCAGGTGTGCTCACCTCCAGCAAGCTCTGGCATGACAGCTGTTGGCTTGCGTGTTTAGTTTTTATCTCTGTATATGTCAGAGGGACGGAGAATTTCTGATCAGATTCTCTCCCCAGATGTTCTAGCTGAAGCTAGGGACTGGGCGCTGAAACACAGCCCAGGTCTCCGTTGGTGGCAGGGAGCGGGAGGTGGGACTGGAGCTGGTACCTGCCCTGTGCTGCGCGATGCAGTTGCTCGGAGTCCACCCCTTCTTCACTGGTTTATGTCCCTGTTGGAGGAGGGACTTGAGAAAAAAGAATGGAAAGATGCTTGGAACCAATGGCATTGTTCATTTTGTTGAGTAACCTGCCCTCCAACCAGGCTAGCGACGGTCATCTCCCCACCTGTGGATGTCATTGCTTCTTGTGTCAATTGTTTGACTGTCTTGGCGGCTCGGAACCCAGCGAAGGTGAGCCCGCAGGCCCTCCTGCCGCCGCGCGTGGCCGTGCCGAGTGCCAGGAGCTGTGTGGACGCTGTGCTCACCTCTCTTCCTAGGTCTGGACCGATCTTCGTCACACAGGCTTTTTACCTTTTGTGGCCCAGCCTGTCTCCAGCATGAGTCAAATGATTAGGTGAGCCATCTCTGTGTAACTTCATTTCACAGAAGTTTCTGTCCATTTCTTCTGTGCTGAGTGTGGACAAGGGGAAGAGAGGGCACATCCAGAGCCGCTGTCCTGGGGCAGCTCTGGTGGTTTCCTTGTCAAAGCCTGAGGGGAGAGACGTTTCTTTTTCACTTGGAGCCACTTTAGGTGTGTGCAAGTTTTCTTTCCAGCCTAGGGAACCGCTGTGTCGGCGCTCAGGCATCGGCCGGGGTCCAGGTGTGCTACCCTGTCCGTGGGACCCCTTTCCCTCAGTGTCCTCTCGTGCGTGACGCAGAGCCCGGCTCTTGGGCTTGAAACTTCTGGTGGTTGTACATCACTAAAGGATGTGCTTCATGTTGACTGGGCCATCAGTCACCCAGATGTTACTAGTTGCTCTCTGGACTCCTTGCCATGAGCCATCCTTCTCTGCTCTGCCCTGTGGTCTTTCTCAGTGCGGAGGGGATGAACGCCGGAGGGTACGGGAGCCTCCTGATGAACAGCGAGCAGCCCCAGGGCGAGTACGGGGTCACGATGGCCTTTCTGCGCTTGGTCACCACTCTTGTCAAGGTACGGCCTGGACAGGTTCTGATGGCTCTTCCTGCGCCTGCTCCTGCTTTCGTGCGCCCGGAAGTTAGAGTAGCAAATTCCATGTGTTAAGGGCCACTGGCTGCTGTAGTGCTGCCTAGCTGAGTTCATTCATTCCTTAGAAACTTAGGAGCTACAGCTGAAGAACCACACGGGCAGTGTGCTAACTGTGAAGCAAATAGTTTGACTATAAACCATTTTATATTAGATCCCGGTGTGCACACAGTGCTTCAGAAGCCAAGTGTATGAATCACATTTCTTCTATAATATGCTTTTTTTTTTAAAGTTTTTATTGGAAAGGTAGATGTACAGACAGAGAGGAAAGTCTTCTGTCTGATGGTTCACTCCTCAAGCAGCCGCAGCGGCTGGAGCTGAGCCAGTCCGAAGCCAGGAGCCTCTTCCATGTCTCGCACGCAGGTGCAGGGTCCCAAGGCTTTGGGCTGTCCTCGACTGCTTTCCCAGGCCACAGGCGGGGAGCTGGATGGGAAGTGGGGCAGCCAGGATTAGAACCGGTGTCCATATGGAATCCCAGTGCATTCAAGGCGAGGACTTTAACTGCTATGCTACCGTGATGGGCCCTAATATGCACTTTTTTTTTTAAAGAAAAGAATTTAGTTGAAAGGCAGAGAATTAGAGATAGATCTTCCATCTGCTGTTCATTCCCCAAACTGTCCCAATCCTGGAGCGTGTGCAGGCTGAAGCCGGGAACCCAGAGCTCCGTCTGGGTCCCCATCATGGGTGGCAGGAGTCCTAGCGCTTGGGCCTCTTCTCTGCTTTCCCAGCCACATTGGCAGGGCCTAGAATTGAAAGTGGAGCAGATGGGACTGGAACTGGCACCCGTATGGGATTCCAGTGTCAAAGCAATAGCTTCAACCACTGTGCCCCAGTCCCAGCCCCTTTGCCATTTCTTATTCAGTTCATAGTTTGTGTGTTTTTTTTCTTTTTTAAGTTGTGAACTTAAGCAACTCATGTAATTAATTCGTGTATCACAACTCAGCTTGAAAAATATTGTGTAGCTTCAATGCCAGGGTTTTCGAGGCAGCTTGCTAGCGGCATAACCTCCGAGTCTCCCATACAGGAGTGACCTCGGCCCCGCCTTGTTGGCTGAGAGTCAGATGAAGATGGCCAGAAAACTTTGTGCTTGTAGAACAGTGCTGCTTACAAAGGCAGAAGAGAGGAAGATGGAGACAGAGTGCCTTTAAACAAGGAGTCTCTGTTTTTAAGCTCAAACTGCCGTTGGCAGGTACTGTTGGGATGAGGAGCTTAGGGGGCTGGTCCCCATGCTGGGCTTGAGGCTGGCACAGCTGACAGTCCTGACAGCCAGGCTGGCATCCTTCAGTCCCAGCAGTCCTCTACCGACTTCTTCACTGCCCGTCTTCAGTAGACCTCTTTTAGTTGCTTTTTGCAGAACCCACAATTTGAGCCACAGTGATGTAGGGCAGTCCTTGTTTTCACTGATGGTCATAGTTTGCCCAGATTTCCTTTGGACCCGTCGGTGTTTAGGGCTAAAATCTATGTTGAATGACAGAATCTCTCACAGCATGGTTTCTCCCAGGGCCAGCTTGGTAGTACCCAGAGCCAAGGACTCGTGCCCTGTGTCATGTTCGTGCTGAAGGAGATGCTGCCCAGCTACCACAAGTGGCGCTACAACTGTCACGGAGTGAGGGAGCAGATCGGTAAGGCGTGGGCCGGGGAGGCCTGGGGCTTGCTTTCTCTTGGTGTGTGGGCCGCATCATTCCTTGGGGCTTTCTTTGAGTCCAGGTTGCCTGATCTTGGAGCTGATTCATGCTATCCTGAACCTGTGCCATGAGCCAGAGCTGCACAGCAGGTAATGCGGAGGCGGTTGCTGACGCTCGGGGTTCGCCGGGGACAGGCGCCGGCTCCAGCAGGGTGAAGCCATCCCAGTACTTCCCAAGGACTCACTTGGCAGGGGCCAGAGCTCAGTCATTGCAGGATTATGGTTTGCTTCCCATTGGTCTGGTTATTTTTCGCTATGCAAAGAGAGGAACAAATACAGTGGGACTGAGCCTGGACGTGTGTACACGTTGTTCATCATTGTCTCTGACCTTTACGCCCACTGGCACCATCATTCAGTGCAGAATGCCTTCCTGAAGGAACTGATTTTGACTGCATTGTGACTCTGTTTCGAGGCTACCACATATAGGTCTTGTTTTACGGTTTGGTGCATCCTATCCTATAGACTAGCTAGGATTGTTTCAGTACGTGTGTCCATTAGCGGATGAGCATTTACGTTGCTTCCTGGAATGGCCTTTGGCCCAGGAACTCTCACCTGGAGAGAGCTGAGGTGCAGGAGTCCTGTCCTGGGTGCGCTTCCCACGCCAGCCAGCTGTGCGGCTGTGACCCAGGCAGCTCGCTGATCACCTCTGTCTTGCAGCCACACGCCCAGCCTGCAGTCCCTCTGCATCTGCAGCTTGGCCTACACAGAAGCGGGGCAGACGGTTATCAACATCATGGGCATCGGCGTGGACACCATCGACATGGTGATGGCTGCTCAGCCCCGAAGGTAGGCTCCCTTCCCCCTTTGCTGTGGCTGCATGTTCTTAGAATGCCAGTGTAGTTTAACTTGTCGTAGTAGCTCTGTAAGATGACCCTGTTCTTTCTAAGAGGTGGTTTTCCTGTGTAGGCTGCACGTAGCTGGGGGAGTCGGTTGCACTGACATGGTCACATGGGGCCCTGACAAAGCTGTCGAGGTCTGGGGTTGTTACTGGAATCTGAATCATAGGAACTCCCACGTCGCCAATGAGGTCCTTTGTCTGACTCGGCTTTGGTTTCCATTTGTCAACCTAGTGATGGGGCAGAGGGCCAGGGGCAGGGCCAGCTGCTCATCAAGACTGTGAAACTGGCCTTCTCCGTCACCAACAACGTCATTCGGCTGAAGCCTCCTTCCAACGTGGTGTCCCCCCTGGAGCAGGCGCTCACGCAGCACGGTATGTCCTTGTGTCTCGGCGAGACCATGCCTGCCCGTGTGCACAGCTCTCTGCAGTGCGCTTCAGCATCACAGTACTTCCTGAGGAACTCCTTGGGCAAGTTTTCCTTGCTTGCTTGCTTGTTTGTGGTTTGATCCTCCGACCGAGACAGCTGCAGAGAGGGCTTACTGTACACATGCTGCCCTAGGCCACGACTGGGGGCGCAGTCTGGATGTCGCGTGCTGAGACACCCTGGAGGGGCAGCCAGGTGGGTTCTCGGAATTGGCAGGCAGTGCAGGGCTGTGAGCGGTGTCGTCCTGGTCCCCTCGTCCTCTTGCAGCGCTTCATGCTGCGCTCCCACTTCTTCCACTCGGCTCTCATGGCGCGGAGGGGGCCAAGACAATGGCGCTGGAGCCGGGGAAGGGAAAGTTTTATTTTGATTAAGAGTGTGTGTTTGGGGGACAGGATTCCATACAGATGCTACTTGCTACATCCATATTCTATGTCAGAGTGCCTGGGTTTGAGTCCCAGCTATGTCCGCTCTCAAAGGCAACAAGAGTGGCCCATGTCATTGGGATGCTGAAACCTGTGGGAGTCCACATCTAGTCCTGGGCCCTGACTCCACCTGGCCCAGCCCCAGCTGTTGTGAGATGTAGAAAGAACTCTGGCGGCTGTCTCTCTTTGCCTTTGAAATAGGTTTTTTTTTTTTTTTTTTTAAAGATTTATTTATTTTTATTGCAAAGTCAGATATACAGAGAGGAGGTGAGACAGAGGAAGATTTTCCGTCCAAAGCTTCACTTGCCAAGCAGCCATATCTGCTGGAGGTAGGCCGATCCAAAGCCAGGAGCCCAGAGTCTCTTCCATGTCTCCCACACTGGTACAGGGTCCCAAGGCTTTGGGCCATCCTTGACTGCTTTCCCAGGCCACAAGCAGGGAGCTAGATGGGAAGTGGAGCTGCTGGGATTAGAACTGCTGCCCATATGGGATCCTGGCGTGTTCAAAATGAGGACTTAAGCCACTAGGCCACCATCCCAGGCCTGTTTTTGTTTTGTTTTTTAAAGAAAGAAATGAAAATGAGGATTTTAAGTACCTATTTTCTCTGAAGTGTATCTTTGCCGTTAATGGATTGGATCTATTGACTCCCAAATCCTGACTCTGCCCTTGCTCCTGGTAAAAGCACAAGATGGCTGCCTGGGTTCACTGTGGCCCCCGTACACAAGAGCCAGTCCCTGCAGCCCTGTGAGCCTCTTGGAGGGACACCTCAGGAGCCTGCAGCAGGCAGCAACAGCAATGCTGTTCTGGAGCTGTCTCCACTCTGTGTTGGAGCTCATCTGTCGGCCTCACCTGTGTCCTGTGCTGCTTCAGGTGCCCACGGGAACAACCTCATTGCTGTTCTGGCGAAGTACATCTACCACAAACATGACCCTGCGTTGCCACGACTTGCCATTCAGCTCCTGAAGCGTCTGGCCACGGTAGGGTCCCAGTGAACCGGGGGAGGGGGGGAGTTCTTCATGCTTGGCGTGTTTCACAACCTTGCCCCAGAGGCTGACTCGGAGGAACATGGCATGGACACCACCCTGTGTGTCTTTTGATTACAGTGGCATGCACACCTGTTGTGGCTAGTTGAATGTCGTAGATTAATGTAGCAGAGCAAACTGAGGACCCTTGTGGTCCCCTGCACACGTAGTTCCAGCTTGCTCCTTAGGTGTACGCTTGTATTCAGTAAGGAGTCCGAGTGTGCACTCCTCTTGACAAGCACGGGTGTCCGTGGCCTGGAGTGTTTCGAGACCTGCTGCCGTCACAGTGCTGTGTGTGCACACGCTTGCGTGGCTGCTGTGGAAGGGAGACAGCCTGCTCTGTGCCGGCGGCTTGCCTTCGTTATAAGCAGCGCTGCAGCACACCTTAGAACCGTGTAAGCTTTTATTTACAGCCGCTCCAGGACAGGCATAAGTGACAGTTTAGTTCTTGTTAGAGTTCTGCAAATTGCCTTCCAGGAAGGAACACAGCTGTCAGGTTCTTGATACCAAGTTTTATACCCTTGCCACTGACACAGCATCATTTTTTTGACATTGCCAGTAGGCAAAACAGTTTCCCATGGGTTATCTTGTATTTATTTCTTTTTTTTAACCTTGCATTTAACTGTGAGAGGTTGAGTGCCTTTTTCTATTGTTGCTGTGTCTTTAGTGAATGTGGACACCATTGGCTGCTCTCGGGATGATGTCCTGTTTGGCCCAGAGCCTTACGTCTGGGCCTTCTTGTCATTTCCTGTGGCTCTCCAGGGCCCTTCTGCTGCAGCTTTTTGAGGTTTCCTGAAATAGCCCTAAGCCTGTGTGTCCTGGTCTCCCCCAGGTGGCCCCAATGTCGGTGTACGCGTGCCTGGGCAATGATGCAGCAGCCATTCGCGATGCCTTCCTGATCCGCCTGCACAGCAAACTGGAGGACATGCGCATCAAAGTCATGATTCTGGAGTTCCTCACCGTTGCGGTGGAGACCCAGCCAGGCCTCATCGAGCTGTTCCTCAACCTGGAGGTGAAGGACGGCAGTGACGGCTCCAAGGTATACCGCGAATGGAGCCAGGGTTGGCTCCCAGATGGTGCAGCTGTGGTGGCAGCCGTGGGACTGAAGCCTGCCCTACTCCCTTGCAGGAATTCAGCCTGGGCGAGTGGAGCTGTCTCCACTCTGTGTTGGAGCTCATCGACACACAGCCACAGGACCGATACTGGTGCCCACCCCTGCTGCATCGCGCAGCTGTTGCCTTCCTACATGCCCTGTGGCAGGACCGTCGGGACAGTGCCATGCTGGTCCTCAGAACCAAGTAGGTCTGCCTCTGGGCTCGGCCCACTGCTCGCTGTCGGTAGGACTGCCCATCTCTGAGGTCTGGGGTCATAGTTTTTTTCCCAACACGCATTAAAAAGCACTAGGTGCCTAGTTTAATATAGGAGAGTTTTATACTTTTTTTTAAAAAAAATCTTGCTACCAAGAAGTCTTGTCTTCAACTGGTTTTGTGTTCCCGCCTTCTCCTGACCCCATGAAAATCCACTGGCTTTTAGGCTGCTGGGTTGGTATGAACAGCATTCGTCCATTCATTTGAAAGGCAGAGTGACACAGAGAGAAGTCTTGGATCCCTTGATTTACCCCGTCAGATAACCATGGCAGCTGGGGCTGGGCCAGGCCGAAGCCAGTAGCTAATGACCTCCTCCCTGGGTCTTCTGCATGGGTGGTGGGAAATTAGGCATTTGAACCACCATCTCCTGTTTCCATGCATGTTAGCAGGAAGGTGGATTGGAGGCAGATAGCTCCAATACGGGATGCTGGCATACCACATGGCAGCTTAACCTACTGTCCCACAATACCCACCCCAAGGCTCATTATCTTGTGATAAACAGTATATGCCTGTAAAGTGGCCACAGCTGTTGCCTTGAGCCTCACAGAGCACAGGGAAAGATGAACAAAAAGGCAAACCTGGGGCATGAGTGTTTGGCCTAGCAGTTAGGATGCCTGCAGCCCATAGTGGAGTCCCTGCATTTGAGTTCTGGCTGAGGTGTATTCTGAAAGACAGTGGTGATGGCTCAGGACTCCTGTGCAAGGCCTGGGTTGGGTCCCTAGGTCCCAGCTCTGAGCTGGCCCAGGCCTTCGTGTGTCGGTGTCGGGCTGAACCAATGGATGGGAGACTTCTCTCTGCCTTGCTATATGTATACACACTTACATCCATCTATAGCTAAATCTTTAAAGGGCCAGCTTTGGGAGTCATTCTGTTCCCCTTTCTTCTTGGGAGTCTTTCAAAGATGTGCAGCAGAAGGAGTTCATCGGTTTGTTTCCTAAGAGGAGAAATGCCATGCTGTCTGTGGAACCCCTTCCCTGCGTGTGGGAGCAGCTGGCCCCTGTGACCACGTGCGGGTTGTGGCTGGAGACGGGGAGATGCCTCTGCAGGAGGGAAAACAATGGGGTTTCCAAGGTGTGGTTTTTTTTTTTTTTTTTCCTAGGCCCAAATTTTGGGAAAATTTAACAAGTCTGCTGTTTGGAACCCTTCCCCCTCCCTCAGAGACGTCAGAGGTGAGGTGCAGGAGAGGCCGGACAGCTACTGCGAGTCCCTGGGGGAAGGCCGGGCTGGGGCGGGGGTGGACAGAATGATGCCTGCCCAGCCAGCCCAGGGCCGGGCCTGCGGCTTCTCCCTGTGCCGTCTGGCTTTGGGAAGAAAGTGGCCTGCCTTGATCTGACGGGTGGCTCGGAGGCAATGTGGCCCTGCAGCTGTCTCCTTCCCGAGGCTCCACCACATGCTGACTGCTGTGCTTTCCCTCCACAGCCCAGCATCCTGGAAACCTGTGCCCTCATCATGAAGATCATTTGCTTGGAGATCTACTATGTCGTGAAGTGAGTCCTTGGATCTTGGGAGAGATTCAGTAAAAGTCGGGCAGTGGGGGAGACAGCAGTGGCCTACCACTGGGCACATGGCTGTGTGAGCCAGGGCAGAGGAGAGAGCTGGTTTGGAGCCATTTGTGGAGGGCCGGTGAGTCCTGGCCAATCCATTGATGGCATTTGTGATTGTCAGAAAGAGTTATTGTGAAGCAAGCTCTCTGTGACCGGGATTTTCTGGAGGAGGAACCCTGGAAGGGCCTCAGCCTAACCCATTATGTTGAGCAAGAAGTGTGAGCCCTCACTGGAGGTGATCCTGGAGCCGCTGCCTTAAGCCCATGTGAGGTTGCTTTCCCTGCCTCAGCAAGGGTCTGTGCCCCTCATGCTCCCGTCTGCTGGACCCTCACCGTGCGTTCTGTTTCCTCGGCATCCCAGGGGCTCCTTAGACCAGTCACTAACAGACACACTTAAGAGATTCTCCGGTGAGAAGCGCTTTGCCTACTGGTCAGGATACGTGAAGTCCCTGGCCATCCACACAGCTGCCAGCGAGGGCAGCAGCTGCACCTCCTGGGGAGAGCACCAGCTGCTGGTGTCTGCCTGGCGGACCCTGCTCATCATTGCTGCCAGCCACGTGAGTCACCCCGTCTCTTAGCCGTGAGGTAGTGGGGTGCCCGTGGACACAGCCCCTGAAGGGGGAGGGCAAATCGGGCATGACCGTGCGAGTCACAATGTTACTGGTTCCTTGCCAAGAGGTGTCAGTTCCAACAGGACACTCGTGGATGTGTGGAGATGTAATTTACAAAAGCCTTATTAGTGACCTCTGGACCTCAGGTAGATGGACAATGCTCTCCCGTTCCATCTGCCACTCGTGCCATTGCCCAGCAATGGCCTTTGTGGCCTGTGTGCCCCTGAGGACCTGGGAGAGTCATCGTTCTCGCTGGTTCTAGCACCTGGACTCAGTCCCCGGAGGAGACTAGGGCCGCCGTCTGCACGTGTCTGCTGCGAGTAGGAGGGAGAGGGAGCGTGCGTCCCTGGCGTTGGTGGTTTGACCCTGTCCTGTGGAATATAGGAACCTCGTGTCAAACTGCCCTGCTGGGTTGAGGGGAAATGCAATGTAGCATCAGCTTCAGAGGTCTCCTTGCTTCAGGCATCTCAGCATTCTCTGTGAGATGTGTCCCCAGTGCTGGGCTGCCCACATGCTCAGGGCATTGGGCTTGAGGGCACAGGCTTGCCAGTGGGCGGGGTGTGTGGTCCCGGGGGCTGCCTCAGGCTGTGAGCACTCTTGTTCTGGAAGCAGCCCTTGCAAGTTGTAGCTCTCCGACTTCCACCTTGTTTTTTCTCCCTAGGAAACATAGCTAGTTAGATCCAGAATATCAAAGAATGACTCATTCATGTATTCACTTAATGACTGTGAGCTGCTTACCATGGGACTCCCTGCAGCCTGGCCCAGCTCTGGGTGATGGCGAGCATTTGGGAATGAAGCCCAGCGGGTGGAAAGTCTGTCTCTATTTGTCTTTCATATAATGACAACCTCTTGTGAGGGAGATAAATGGTGAACAAATTCATAAATGAAGAGTATGGTTTTAGACTATGGCCCTTTGGTGGGCAGGAAGTAGTCCAGGTATGGTACCAGTGGACTGGCGAGGCAGGAGGAGCAGGCAGCTGGAGAAAGCTGCTCTGAGGAGGCCTTCCTGGGCAGGCTGTGGAGCAGGACCGTCTAGGCAGATGGACTCAGAGGCCCAGAGGTCCAGAGGGGGGTCAGGTGAGCGCGAGGGTGGCGGTCATAGCTGCCTGGCCTGGATCCCAGAGCCCCAGTCAGGTGGAACAGGTACCCGGGGAACAGTGGACTTCAAGCTGGAGATGATGGATGACCCCTTGGCACTTGAAGTGCTATATGCAGAGGAAGGACAGGAATGAAGGGGGGCTTGTTTCTGACCAGAGCTTCAATGCCGAGAAGTCCCATGACCGTCATCGCCACAGTAAGGCTTTCTCTTGCTCCTTGCAGCCAGATGTCATGCAACTGACCGACTCAACAGTGCGCCGTCAGCTCTTTCTTGATGTGCTCGATGGAACCAAAGCCTTAGTGAGTGTCCCTGGGGGGCGTTCTCTTTCTCACAGGCCAGCCGCCGCACAGGTGGTCAGCTCAGGGCTCTGCTGCTGCCTTGCCATCCTCCTCTCCTGCCCCGTGTTCCATCTCTGAGCACTCACTGCTGGGGAAGAAAGCATGAACCCCACAGGTGCTCAGTGGCCAGAGCCCAGTCCTCCCACTGTCTACCCACAGGAAGCCACTCTCCTCACTCAAGCAAGCCTTGGGTCCCGACAGCTTCTTTCATAAAATGATCAGCTGAAACATTAGCCTACCTTGGGTTGTCTTGGTCGGGCCAGGTGTCTCCCTAACCCTGTGGTAACTGCTCTGTCATTGCCCAGCTCCTGGTCCCCACCTCGGTGAACTGCCTACGTCTCGGCTCCATGATGTGCACCCTGCTGCTCATCCTGCTGCGGCAGTGGAAGAGGTGAGCGCCGAGGCAGGGCCCTCTCCTGTGCCTCTGCCTTGCCATGGGCTTCCCTTGCAGCATAGCATGCAAACAGCCAGGTGGGTGTCCTGGGATGGAGCAGGGCTGGAGTCGCTGTCCCATCCCATCCCTGCCACACCTGACCGCTTTCAGAGAGTTGGGTCCCGTGGACAACATCCTTGGGCCCTTGACGGAGATCCTGGAGGGAGTGCTGCAGGCAGACCCACGGCTCCTGGAGAGGACCAAGGCCAAGGTGTTCTCGGCATTCATCACTGTGCTGCAAATGAAGGAGCTGCATGGTGAGGGCAGCGGCAGCTCAGCGTGCCAGCAGCCAGCCTGCTGGGCCGCCCTGGCTGGGACCACGTGCTTCTCCTGGGACTTTTCTCACTATTGGGATTCTCGACCCACAGAGCTCCTTTTCTTTTCCACCTGTCTTCCCCACACATGAGCCAGCCGGCCTGCTTAGCACCTGCTGCAGCCCAGTTTCTTGCTGGTGGCCTGTTGAGCTGAGGGTGTCCCCTCCCCCACCTGCCCTACAGTTGATGACATCCCCCAGTACTCCCAGCTGGTGCTGAATGTCTGCGAGACTCTACAGGAAGAGGTGATCGCGCTCCTGGACCAGACCCGCCATGGCCTGGCAGCGGGCAGTGCCCCAGAGGACAAGGACAGCATGGAGACTGATGACGGCGTGAGGCCCCGGCACAAGGACCAGCGTGATGGGGTGAGGGCATGTCCCAGCATGCTGGCTCTGGGTGACCACTGAGCAAGACAGCTTTGTCACTTCGCTTAGGGACTGCAGAGCCAGGTAGCAGAGCAGACAGGGGAGACAGGTGCTGGGAGAACCCAGGCTTAGGATCTGCCGGGATCTGGAGAGGATCAAGTCCCTGTTTGGGGATGTCCTGGATGATTGGAGGAGTAGGGCAGGTGGAGGGTCCTGGGAAGAAGCAGAGAGCGAGAGGAACGTGTGGCAGCTCCTCTGCGGGCTGGACACATGTGGGGACTGATGATGACAGGCTGCCGGAAGGAGAGGGCCGAGCTCCAGGGGCTAGCCTCTGCTCCGGCGGTGCTCAAGTGTGGTTGTGGAGCTAGAAGTTATGACCTGTGGCCCTTGACATTAGCTCATTTGATTCCAACCAGCATTGTTTTAAAATGAAATAGGATAAATTATAAAGCCTATTGTCCTTTGCATAGTAGAAGAGACAGATGTAAGCATGTGCACAGCTCCCGGAGGGATCAAGATGTGTGGCTGTGGTTTGCAGCCTAAGGTGAGGGTCCTCTGGCTGCAGCAGGGCTGGGTGGGGTGCCTGGATGGAGCCTGGGGCCGACACGCCAGAGTGGAACGAGAGGGAGGAGGCAGAGGCGGCTCCTGTCAGGTCAGGGGGACAGAACTACGGACAGGATGACACAGGCAGGGTTGTGTGACCAGGGAGATTGGACAGCCAGCCCAGACTGACCCACTTGCTCGCCTCCTTTTTAATTCACATTTCCTTCCTGGCTCAAACAGGTGTGTGTTCTGGGTCTGCATCTGGCCAAAGAGCTGTGTGAGGTGGACGAGGATGGGGACTCGTGGCTGCAGGTGACCCGCAGGCTCCCCGTCCTGCCCAGCCTGCTCACCGCCCTGGAGGTGAGCCTCCGTGTGAAGCAGAACCTGCATTTCGCAGAGGCCGCCTTACACTTGCTCCTCACACTGGCTCGCACCCAGCAGGTAAGAGGCCAGCTGGAGGCCAAAGGGCCACGCCTGGGAGCCCACTGCAGGCCCGGGCTCTGGCTCACTTTCTTCCCCCCTCAGGGAGCCACGGCAGTGGCTGGAGCTGGTGTCACACAGAGCATCTGTCTGCCTCTCGTCAGTGTGTACCAGCTCAGCTCCAATGGTTCGGGACAGGTGAGTGACCGTCCTGGTGAGAGCAGGCCTGACCTCTCTGCCCTGCAGGGGCCATGCTCACCCCTCCCCTGGTGCTCCCACCTGCCCGAGTGTTCTTCACTTGTTGGGTGTACATCTCCCCAGTCCTCTGGCGGATCTCTCACTAGGGACACTAGCTACTGACAGCGCCAGCTGGTCCCCAGGCACAGCTTTGAGGAGTACCATAGGAGTGCCAGGCCAGATTGAAGGGGGTGCCTGGGCCAGCCCGTGGCCAGGGCAGCTTTCCTCCCTGCTTCCTCCCAAGCCCCATGCATGTGACTGAGTGCTAGCTGGAGCCTCTGCGCCCAGCCTCTTGTGTGCCTTGCTTTTCCTTAGTTGAACAGGCCACTCCACATTGCAGGAGCCATCTCCCCCACCCCTTGCATGCCCCAGAATGGAGCCTGTGGTCTTTCAGTGCAGCCACCTTGAAGAGGAGACACAGGAGGGCCAGAGCAGGACAGTGACATGTCCACGTTCATACATGTTCATAGTGCTACATCCGCTGGCCTTGGACCCCTCTTGGCCCTGTCCATCACCAGCCATGGCTATGTCCAGTCCAGGCCCTGTGTTGGCTAGGTCTCTCTGATGCCGTATCCTGAACGTCTGTCCTAGGCACCCAGCACCTCTCGGAAGTCGCTGGATGCCCCCTCGTGGCCGGGGGTCTATCGCCTGTCCATGTCCTTGATGGAGCGGTTGCTTAAGACTCTGCGCTACAACTTCCTGACTGAGGCACTGGACTTCGTGGGTGTCCACCAGGAGCGAACCCTGCAGGTGAGCAGCTGCCTGCCTCCCAGGGCTGTGGGCCACTGTGCCTTCCTCTCGGAGGTGCCCCTGGCTGCTGCCCTCCAGCCTTTCAGCATCTGCCGAGCGAGAGGCTGGGCTCAGCTCAGCTCTGAAACCTCAGGAGTCCAGGCTTGCCACCTCTCGCACAGCCACTGTAGTGTGTGGGGCCTGAGGGGACCTGCCGGCCCTTCCCTGACGTCTCCTCTGTCCCCAGTGCCTCAGTGCAGTCAGGACGGTGCAGAGTCTGGCCTGCCTGGAGGAGGCTGACCACACGGTGGGCTTCATCCTGCAGCTGTCCAGCTTCATGAAGGAGTGGCACTTCCACCTGCCACAACTGATGCGTGACATCCAGGTAAGGCCTCAGACATGAGTCCTTCCGATGCCGGGGAGGCCATGGGCATGCCCAGGGCCCCTCCGGTGGGTGTGGGCTAGCGGTCATTGCTGAGCCAGGGGTCTTCAGCTTGGCAAGCACGCAGGGTTTGGTTTCTGGCTCTTGCTTGTCCCTGTTCTGCCCCTGCTGGAATTTTCCCTCCACGATGCAGGGCAGCTGGCTCACTCGCGAGCAGGGCCTGTGCCAGCTAAACCTGGCTTCAGAACCGTGGGGAATAGAGGCCCTGGGCATTGGCTTGTGACTTTTACTGGCTCGGGGAGCTTGGCTGACTCACCTCACTTCCCTCGGAGCCTGTTTCTCTGTCATACGAAGACATGATCTTCCCTCCTTAGGATATTGGTGTGTGCCACACTCTGAGGCCCAGGGAGTCGGTCCTGGCTGGAGCCCTGGGGAGCCAGGGTTTGCCCCAGCACCAGCAGGCTGGAGTGCTTGGATGGGAAGAGGCGGTGGAGGAGCACCCTGGAGGCAGGGCGGGTGGAGGGATGTGTTCTGTGGGTCTCCTGGCTTGCCCAGGGCTGTAGCCATTAGAGCGCTCCGTCTCCCCGCCATGTCCCAGGTCAACCTTGGCTACCTGTGTCAGGCCTGCACCTCCCTGCTGCATAGCCGCAAGATGCTACAGCACTACCTGCAGGTAGTAGCCCCTCCCCCCGGGGGCCCGCCCAGGCCGCTCGCGCCAGCTCCCTGGCCTACACTCATTTCCTTCTCCCCAGAACAAAAATGGGGATGGCCTTCCCTCAGCGGTTGCACCTCGAGTTCAGCGACCCCCCACTGCCTCCACTGCCGTCCCTTCCTGCCCCTCGAAGCAGCCTGCCGCCGACCCTGAAGCCTCGGAGCAGCACGCCTTGCATGCAGTCCAGTATGGCCTGCTCAAGATCCTCAGCAGGACCCTGGCAGCCCTGCGCCACTTCACCCCCGATGTCTGCCAGATCCTGCTGGATCAGGTACCCGCCGTGCCGCAGCCCCCGTGCCGTGCAGCCTGCCCAGGCGCTCGGCCAGGCTGTGCAGCATGCTTCTTCACCTTGCAGTCATTGGATCTTGCTGAATACAACTTCCTTTTTGCCCTGAGTTTCACTACTCCCACCTTTGACTCGGAAGTGGCCCCCTCCTTCGGGACGCTCCTGGCCACAGTGAATGTGACCCTCAACATGCTCGGGGAGGTAAGCCGAGGCTGTCGCATGCGGGCCCCCACCTGGCTCTTGCCTGCCAGGCTCCCCCTTCCCAGGGACCTTGCGCACTTTATCCAGCCTTCCTGCTGCTCTACCTAAGATGAACTTGACAACCTTCCTGTAACAGCCACTGTGAGGAGGAAATGAGGTCACCGGGAAGCTGTTTAGCATAGGCCCTGCCAAGTCGGGCACGCTGTCAGCGGGCCATGACTGAGCTGGGATTCTCAGCTTGCTTCTCTTCCTCCAGCTGGACAAGAAGAAGGAGCCCCTGCCGCAGGCCGTGGGGCTCGGCACGCAGGCAGAAGGCACCAAGACATTAAAGTGAGCAAGGCCTCCCTCTGGGCTGACTGAGGGGCTGTGCCGGCCGGGCCTCCCTGACAGCGCTCTGCTCCCAGGTCCCTGCTGATGTTCACCATGGAGAACTGCTTCTACCTGCTCATCTCCCAGGCCATGCGCTACCTGCGGGACCCGGCTGTGCACCCTCGAGACAAACAGCGCATGAAGCAGGAGCTCAGCTCCGAGCTGGTAGGGCTGGGCAGACGGGAGGAGCCCCGTGGGGCCAGGCGGGGGGCTGCGGGGGCTGGGCCTCAGCAGGTGGCCTTTTCTTGCAGAGCACACTGCTCTCCAGCCTCTCGCGCTATTTCCGCCGTGGAGCTCCCAGCTCTCCTGCTGCTGGCGTCCTGCCCTCACCACAGGGCAAGTCCACCTCTGCCTCGAAGGGCGGCCCCGAGAGCCAGGAGCCACTCATCCAGCTGGTACAGGCCTTTGTCCGGCACGTGCAGAGATAGGGTGGCAGCCACTGCCTACTACCACCCTCCCCACAGTCGCCAGGACTCTGCCACCCGCCTGCTGACGCTATTTTTGTAATGCATAAAGAGGTCAACAGCAGGACGGGAGCCATGCGTCCACTGTGCTCACTCGGCTTTCTTGGATGCCAAGGAGGGGCAGTCCTTTCCATAGAACATTCCTCAAGCTGCCAGCCAGGGAAGCCAGCCCCAGTCCCAGCCGTCCAGAGCAGAGCTGGGTGCCTCAGTTGAAAGACATTTTCCAGGATCTGTTGTTGCGGTTTTTTGGTAACACTGTGGTCTATTTATACAGATAATAAATGCTGTTCATACACAGCTGTCTGATGGTGCCTTGGAACCCTGCTCGCTGATAGGCTCCCCAGCCTGGGATGTTCCCTTCCTTGGCCTGCCCAGGTCCTGCCTCAGCTGGCTATGCCTGTCACTAGATGTGGTCTCTCTATGAATAGCTTGGGGACCTGGCTCCCCAGGGGCGGGCATCTCAGACAAGGCTGCCTGGGCTAGAGTGCCTGCTAGGCCCTCAGCTGGTTTGCTGCTTTGAGGAGACCACGCTTCTTGTGTGTGCTGGGCAAGGCCATGGGCAGATGCCCAGGCACACCTGGTAGGGGCGAACAGGAAAGCATCCCAGAGCCCTGAATACAGCCCCGGCCTTGGCCCCTGCTTCTGGGAGCCTACAGAGTCTGAGTGTCACCATCAGCCAGAGGAACAGGCCCTGGGTGAGGCCCTGGCTCCCTGCTCGTATAAACCGTCGTCCCCAACAGGAGCCCAGGCGACGTGCACACGGAGCACGGTTTATTCTTTGCCATCAGCTGAGAGCAAGCAGACAGGCAGAAGTAAAAATATCCGGTAAAAAGTGAAGAGGCTGAGGCTGCAGCCGCCAGCTTGGCGTGCGCTGTGAGGTGGGGGAGAGGCCAGCTCCAGCCCGACCCAGCCTGTCTCCTGCCAGGCTGTCCCCTCCTGGGGGCTGTCCCTTCCTGGGGAGCACTGCCATCCTTGCTGCTTTCCTTCTCGGCGTTTGGCAAACAAGAATGTCCTCACCCCTCCCTCCCCCAATTTCCTAGGTACTTGACAGCTGCTCCACTGAGTGCCAGGGCCCCTCCCTCCGTAGCAGGAGCTGGGGGTTGGGGTGTTGGGGTACAGGCAGGGTCCGAGCTCCAAAACCACGGGTCAGAAGCAGGACTGGCAGAAGAGCCTCCGGTTCCCTCTGTGCAAGATGACCAGGGGCCTGGGTGGCTGGGCTGCTCCGTGTGCTCTCCTGCCCAGGCCAGGAGGGGGTGCTTAGCTGAGCAGTTCCAAGTAGGTGACAGGGACCTTGCCCTTCTTGTTGCCTCTTTCACCGATGAGCCAGTCAGGGTCCATGCCAGGCAGACTGTAGACCGTGATGAGCTGTGGAGGGCGGAGAGGCCAGCTCAGGCCCTGGCCACAGCTGAATCAGACTGGGGTGTGTGCACACCTGGGCTGTCACTCCTCAGCCTCAACCCCCCGCCCCCTCCGCTCCTCCCTCAGCACCTGGGTCAGCGACACCTAGTGCTCATCCTAAGCAAGCCCTCTCTGCCCCACTGCCCCAGGCCCACCTCATCAGCCAGGAGGGCCAGCTCACTGCTGTCAGCCGCCTCGTAGTCGTAGAGTACTCGGGCCTTGCGGGTTCCGCTGGCCGGAGGAGCCACCTCCTCCAGGCAGAGTGCAGCCTCCCCCGGAGGGGCCAGGCCGGCCACTGAAGGCACCACTGGCATGGTGGCTGCAGCAGTGGTGGGCGAGGTGCTGCTCAAGGGTGGGGATGCTGGCTCTGTGGTGCCCACAAAAGTGCCTGGAAATCTGTGGGGGTGGGGTGGGGGTCTCAGGCCAGATCCCTGGGTGTCCCCCACACCCAGCGCCTTCCCAGGTACTTACATGGCGCCCTGGGAACTGGCAGCAGGAGGAGAAGCAGAGTGGGCAGAGGTGAGATGGCCCCGCCCCGTCCCTGTGCTCCCCCACAAAGCCAGCCACCCTGACCCGATGCACCCTGGGGACCCGGGTCCTGTCCACACCTGCCCAGCTGCTTCTGCAGGTCCAGCATGTGGCGGTAGCACTGTGCGTAGTAGGTTGTCTGCGACTTGACAAACTCATGCAGGCAGCGGAGGTGGTTTACCTGTGGGGAGGAGGCCCCCAGGGGTTGAGAACTCCCAACGTCCCGGTGTTTGGTGGCAGGCCCACTCAGGAGCGGGTTAGGGGTAGAGGGCAGACTCACGTGGGTGCTGCTAATTCCCTCCAGCAGCAGACGGGTCACTTCTGCCTGCCGGTCAAACTCGGTCTGGGCCACTCGGAGCTCCTGCTCAGCCTGGGTGGGTGGGCAGTGCGAGGTGAGTGCCATGGGACACCGGCTTCCCACCCAGGGCCCGAGCGGACCCTGTGCCCCGCAAGCCCTGAGCCCTCAGAACATCGGTGTCCTACAAGGATTCCCACGGGCAGCCATGGCAGCCAACGTTCCCTCTCCCATGTCCAGCTGATGCCCCGAGGGCCGACTGCTGTGGGGTGACTCCCCGTGGAGAGGGCTCGGGCACAGAGGGACAACAATAGCTCCTGGTGCATGCAAGGCCAACCCAAGCTGGCACCCAGCCCACAGCAGCAGGCACGCCTGGGCCCCCAGCCCTCACTCCCAGCACCCAGCCCCACTCACCTTGTCTACCTCATCATTCCAGAGCTGCAGAGACCACACAGCACAGTCAGCAGGGAGGCAGCTGGGGCCCAGGGACCCCACCCTGCCCTGCCCATCCCCCTGCCCAGGAGCTGGGGTTGGCACAAGGCCGGGCATGGCAGCAGGGGCTGGCATGCCACATGCAGGGAGGGGACAGCTGGAGGAGTCCTGCTGGCATCAGCCCTCTCGTCTGGGCGGGGCCTGAGAATCCTGGCTGGGGGCGGGATGTGTGTGAACCTGTCTGTCCTCCGGCAGGGAAAGGCAGCCTCGGGCCTGGGTCGCACTGGGGACCAGTGGCCAAAACAAGCCACAGGGCGGCCGCCACCCTCCAGGCTGCTGCTCCTTCCGCTCGGCCCGGGGAGGGGGACGGGCAGTGTCCTACAGGAGAAAGACCCCCCTCCCCAGCCACAACTCAGGAGACGGCAGACCCAGCCGTCCAGGCCCCCTAGGGGAACAGCCTGCACACACAGCTCCTTGCCTAGCAGCACAGAGTGGCTGCACAAGGGACTCGGGCACACTCGGGAGGGGCAGTGTCGTGGAATAGGCAGAGGGAAAGCTAAACATGGACCCCGACCGGACTGACACCTCCCCAAGCCAGGCCTGTCCACTGCTGCCCTTACCACTTAGCACGTGCCTGGGGCCCAGGCCCTGACAGTGTGCTGGCCCCACCTGGGCACCCATGCCTGCACAGACCTCCCGACACCCTCTGAGTGCTGCAGAGCAGCTGGCTACCTGTTTCCTAGTGCCTGCCTAGGAGGCTACAAGGTAGAGAAGGCATTCGGAGATGGGGCGTATGGAGGTGAGCGTGCCAGGCAGACACTTGGGTGTCCCAGGGAGGGGAGAGGGCTATTGTGTGCAGCTGCCCAAGGTGCCATCTTCAGCATGCTGAGGCGCTGGGGCACACAGGCAGGGGCTGCTTCCCAAGCCTGTGGACAGTGCCAGGTTCCTGCGGGGGTGGGGCGGGGCGCTTACCGCGGAGGCGCTGGCCGAGAGAATGTAATTACGAGGTCTAGTCTCCTGAAAGTCAGGCACCGTCTGGCAGGGAAGAGTTCAGTGGAAGGGGAGGGGGTCACCTGGGGCTGGAGCTGGGGGTCAAGGCCAGGAGGCTGCCCCGGGGTCTCCCTGGGTAGCTTGCAGAGGCCCAGCCCCAGAATATGGGGGAGTGGGACCAACACCATGGAGACCCCCGTGCCCAGGCTGGCTACCTGCAGATGAGGCACATGTAATGGTTCAGAATGGCCAAGCAAGGCCCCAGCAGGTGGGCGTGCCAGGGAGCACATGGCACTGGCTCGGTGTGCCCCATCCCCAGTTAGGCCCACAGGTTCCCGCCCACAGCCTGCCCGCCCCAGGCCCTTGCTCACACAATGAGAGGGAACAGACAAATGCATGGATGGACAGACAGGCTGTCAACATTTGCAAAAAGCTGCCTCCCAGGCTCCAAGGCCTGCACCCCCAAACCAGACTCCCCACAGCAGGGGCTCTGCGAGGAGGCCAGCTGCTTGCAAAAGGCCTGCAGGCCTGGACTGTGGCAGGTGGTCCCTGGGAGACCAGAAGCAGCACAGCACGTGGGACACATATACTCACATCTCCCTCACACTGAGCCATGTTACCCAAAGCAGAACGAAAGGAACAAAAACAAAGAGTTAGTCCACAGCGCAGGCAGGAGAGGAGTCCCGGCCGGCAGGAAGAGGGGGTACATGGGTGGACAAAGGGCACACAGTGCCCTCCAGCCCGTGCGAAAGGCCCCTGGCACCTACATGTGGCTGCAAAGCACCGGGGGCTGCCCACAGGTTAACTAGAGTGGACAGCCTGGCCTAACAAGGCAGGGGCAAGGCGGTGCTGACGCAGGCCTGGCTGGTGGAGGAGCGGCTGCTGACGTGGGGTCGCCCTGGCCATGCCGTCCTCGTCTGGCCTCCACACAACTGCCGGAGCTGAGCACCCACCACTCTTGCTAGGGGCTCTGCAGACCCTTGGGCAACCTAGGGCTCCATGGCTTTTCACAGGTTGGGAGGACGAAGACTGGGGACCTTCCTCGGTGGGGAATGAACATGGCGGCCTGCAGCGTCTACAGCCTGACCTCGGAGCTGCGCTCCCCGCCTGGCCCATCCGCCCAGGCCATGTCCCTAGGCCTGGGCAGGCTGAGCAGGTCTCTGTGGGCCGGGAGAGGGAGGCCTGAGCGTGGGGAGGTGGGGGCCCGGCGGGGAAGCAGTAGGTGGGGGAGTTAGTCAGCAGGAGCATGCTCGGGCTGAGGTGGGGAGCATCCAGGGAGCATTGAGGAGGCGAGAGTCCCAGCTACTGCTGGGGGAGAGAGAGGACGCCTGCACCTAGCTGGGCCTGTGGGGAACCCCCAACCCTGAGTTCTGGGGCCACCAAAGTTCCCTTGGGGTAGGCACCAGAGGAAACACCTGAGTGGCTAGCCTAGTCCAGCCCCCTCAGGGCGAAGAGAGGCATGCCACACTGGGCCCCCCGCATACCCCAGCTCCAGCAGAGCCGGGGGCCAGGAGGGGACCGGGACACACACCGTGGCTTTGGCTTCGGCAGCCTTGGCCTTCTTCAGCCGGGCCTTGCAGGCATCCAGGTCCAGACGTCGGTTCTGTAGAAGCCGCCTCTCCTTCTGGGGGCCGGAAGGAGGGGCGGGAAAGGTGAGCCACCATGGTGCAGAGCTTGGGCAGCCGAGGGCCCAGGGCAGGAGCTGGCCGGGTTGCTCACCGAGATGGTCCTCCAGTCCCCCTCCAGGAAGTTGCGCAGCGGCGTGAGGAAGCTGAGCGAGGCTGTGTGGATGAAGTCCCTCTCAGCCGCTCCCAGGCGCTTCTCGGCCTCGGACACCTTGAGCAGCGTCTTCCCTGCGGAACGGGTCGCAGCTGAGCAGGGGGTGACTACCGAGCAGCAGGGTGTCCAGTGGGGATGGGGTCCCACAAAGCAGCTCAGCAAACACCAATGCCGGAGCTGCCCCCAGCTGCAGGGGCAGACGGGGATGCTGTCCACACACAGCACAGTGCCTGGGACCCACACTGACACCTGACCCCGCTTCCTGCTCACGTGTACCCAGGCAGGCAGCTGGGGACGATGAGTCCCTGCCACCTGTGGGCAAGACCTGCAGCTTCTGGCCCCACCCAGCTGTTGTAATACTGGATGGGAAAGAACCAGTGGATATAAGAAACACCTCTGGGCCTGGCGCAGTAGCCTAGCAGCTAAAGTCCTTGCCTTGCATGAGCTGGGATCCCATATGGCCGCAGGTTCTGATCCTGGCAGCCCCTCTTCCCATTCAGCTCCCAGCTTGTGACCTGGGGAAGCAGTCGAGGACAGCCAAAGCCTTGGGACCCTGCACTTGCGTGGGAGACCCAGAAGAAGCTCCTGGCTCCTCACCTTGAATCAGCTCAGCTCAGGCCATTATGGCCAATTGGGGAGTGAATCATCAGACAGAAGATTTTCCTCCGTGTCTCTTCTCTCTGTATATCTGACTTTACAATTTAAAAAAAAATTTTTAAGAAAAAGAAACACCTCTCTATCTTACAAATAAAAAATAAATAAGTAAATTTAAAAAGGGGGTGGGCCTGGCACAATAGCATAATGGTTAAAGGTCCTCGCCTTGCACGTGCCAGAATCCCATATGGGCACCAGTTCTAATCCCAGCAGCTCCACTTCCCATCCAGCTCCCTGCTTGTGGCCTAGGAAAGCAGTGGAGGACGGCCCAAAGCCTTGGGACCCTGCACCCACATGGGAGACCCAGAAAGAAGTTCCTGGCTCCTGGCTTCGGATCGGCGCAGCACTGGCCGTTGCGGCCACTTGGAGTGAATCATCGGATGGAAGATCTTCCTCTCTACTTCTTCCTTTCTGTACATCTGCCTTTCCAATAAAAATAAACAAATCTTTAAAAAAGGTGGGGGGGGGGGTTGGGATTGCCAAAAATGCCATTTCTGAACTTTGAGTGGATCAAAGGCCAAAAGCAAAGGGAGAAGCATCTACTCCAGAAAACGCAGAGAACCTGCAGGTGGAGGCCGCCCGCTCGGGCTCCAGGGCGGCTGCGGCTCGGTTCTGAAGAACCCACGGAACCCACGTGGCTGAGCCAGAGTGGCGGTGCAGGCAGGTCGGGAGGGGGCAGCCATCGGGGGTGGGGCGGGCCTGGCCAAGCACACTTAGGAGCGAGGCAGTCCGAGCTACCTGCCCACCCTCAGCCGGCAGCGCCCTCACGCCCCTGGGGTGACAGCTGGGCGGACGCACCAAGCACCTCAACTCCAGCTGTGCCTCCCGTTCCCATGCTTCCTGGCCAGGCCCCGGTGGCTACAGGAGTCTCAGTCCTCTCTGACCATGCAGGGGCCCACGCTGACGCCAGGATGGGCCCTGGGAAGCTAAGGTTCAGAATAAAAGGAATAGGATTATTTTAGAAAGTTTTTGGGGGAGGAGCAATACAATAGCCTAGTGGCTAAATCCTTGCATGCGCTGGGATCCCCTATAGGCACCGGTTCGTGCCCATCTCCTCCACTTCCCATCCAGCTCCCTGCCTGTGGCCCTGGTAGGCAGTGGAGGATGGCCCAAGGCTCAGCTCCAGCCATTGCAGCCATTTGCGGAGTGATCCAGCTGACGGGAGATTTTTCACTCTTTGTCTATCTTTTTCTGTGTAACTACCTTTCCCGGAAAAGATACAATCTCACTCATCCCCTTGCACATTCAGAATGAGCTCAGGGGAGGCAGGCGGCCAGCTTCAGCCTGGTTGGTGGCGGGCGACGATCGGAGGTGCTAGCAGAAGGTGGTAGGAACAGCAGGCCGACCGTGCTGGTCGCCTGGGAAGGCCCGCTCACCATAGGGGGTGGTGGGCCCCAGCTCGCCAGCCGCTTCTGCCATGTACTGAGCCAGCAGCTCCCCATTGGTGACCCGCGAGGGGACCTTCCTGTCCAGCTTCTCATACAGGAACTCCTCCACACGTGCACCTGTGGGGAGACAACAGCCTGAGCCCCAGGGAGCCCGGCTCTGAGTCTCCCCAGCCCAGCCCCCGGCTGGTGCCCACTCACTGGGGTTGGGCTGTAGCAGCACCTCCGTCTGCCGCAGAATCTTCTCTGTCCAGCTTTTGGTGCTGTCTGCCCGGGCCAGGAGGTTCTCAAAGTGGGCATCCAGCTCCGTCTTCTCAGCCTGGCCGAACTTCTCCTCCGTGAACTATTGGGGTACAGGGTGGAAGGCGCTCAGGAGGAGGGGAAGGAGGACGCTTCCTCTGTCCCCCACACCCTGCTTCTGCCCCTAGAAGGCAGGTGACAGGGTCAAGGGTTTTGCCCTGCACATGATGCCCAGGGCATGCCCAAGGCTGGCAGGCCTGTTGCAGGCCTTGGGGTGTCCCTTGAGGGGCCCTCTGTAGCTGAACCTGGGCCTGGGATCATGACCCCTTTCCCTGACTCCCCCCTGAGCATGCACCTGGCCTCACAATCTGGTACCCCCTGTAGGGGAAATGGACCTTGGGAGACACAGGGATATGAGGGAAGCCCCAGGCTCCCTTAGTGGGAGGGGCGGGATTCTAGAGTTATTTCTGGGACCTCGGATGGGGGTGGGGCTCCCCCACTGAGCTGAGAGCTGGGGCTAGCAAGAGCACCTGGGCCACAGGCTGAGGGCACACCTAGCACCCCAGGGTCTGGCATGCTGGCTGAACAAGGTCATTAATGCTTTGCAGTGCCACATCCCCTGGATACTGGTTCTAGTCCCAGTGGCTCTACTTTCAGTCCAGCTCCTGCTTACGGACTGGGAAAGCAGTGGAGGTTGGCTCAAGTCCTTGGGCCCCTGCACCGCCAACGCACATACAGCTGGTGGGCAGGAACACCTGGGGAGGGAAAGAGGGTGGGTGGTCTGGGCTTGCCACCAGCCTATCAGGGCACACCCAGGACCTAGGAGGTCACATGGGTACCACCGAGGGCAGCAGCACCCATACATGACCACAAGGGTGAAGACTTGCAGGAGCTAGATAAAGGGTCACCCCTACCCCAGGCCCGATGATGGTGGGCTTGGTGTGGTCTGAGGACCCTTCCTGGAAGGACTCAGTGCTTGGCCTCGCGGCATGAAGCAGTCCAAGGCTGCAGGGAGTCCAGGCAGCAGAGCCGCTCAGCACCATCAATTATGGACCAGGGAGGGTTCGGGTTTCTCGTTGCAGGGCTGGGCGTCGGGGCAAACAGGGTCCCGCCTCCCACACCTCCCTCCCCTCCGGGGCCAGCTGGCCCAGGCTGCCGCAGAATCTTCTCTCCTGCCCGGTCCCCAATGGGCTGCATCACGCCTCATCGCTCCAAGCCAGACCCATCTCACCCTCAGGCTTCCCAGTGGCACCCAAGAGAATACAGTCAGTGTGGGGACATCACCACCCCAGCTTCTAAAGCCCTTCCCTGGGCACTCAGGAGCCGCTGCCCCTCAGCATTGCTCCCCCAGCCCCTAGGCTCCCGACCCCGCCTCCCCACCCTACTATTACCGCTCTTCCTGCTAGCGGTACCCGCACCCCGCTCTGGGGCTCCCAGCCCTCCGCGGCCTGCTGCTGCCGCCACCTGCACCAGTGCCATAACTTCTCCTTACCACGATGCTCCAGCTTTCCAGGCTCTGTTCAGTACCCAACCCCCCGAGCCAGGAAAACACCCCACAATCAACAGGCACTCCCACCAGGGGCTGCCGCCTCGGCAGGGGCAGGTACCCTCCATGGCCCCTGCCTCCCTGTTCCTGGCAGGAGGATGCTGGAGTCCAGGCCTGCTCCCTGCAGGATGGCAACAGCAGGGGGTGGGCGTGCAGAGGAGAGAAAGCCTCTATTTATAAAGCTTGTGGTTCCCTCCTCCACCCTGTAGCCAGGGCCGGGGCGGCCGTGCCACCCGTGTGTAGTGACCCTGTGGGTCTGTCTGTTCAGGGCGGAGCCAGGCTCCACTGTCTGGGCCGACCGGCATCCACAGCAAACTGGTGGATCAGGTTCTCCCCAGAGGCCGACAGTGCGGCTGCCATAGCAACACTCCCCAGAGGGAAGGGGCTGGGGAGGGGGAAAGGGTGGCCTACGAGGCTAGGGACACCGGCCCAGGGCGCTTTCTAGTAAACAGGGCCACACGCATGGGCTTCTGAGGGACTGGCTGGTGCCCGGGCAGGCAGGCCCACTGGGGACAGAGCCAATGACCAGAGCAGGGACACGGGCCAGCCCCAGGCCTGCAAATCCTACAGAGGCCCACGCCCAGCCCTGGGGGGCAGGCGGAGGCTGGCCCAAGGTCACGTGCAGCCCAGGTAACCCTATTAGCTGCCACCACCTGCTTCTCCCTGTGGACAGCGTCCCAGGCTCAGCCCACCCAGCCTGGAAGACCACCCCTCCATTTTACAGACTGGGACACCGAGGTGCAACAAACCTAAGCCCCTTTCTCCCAAGGTCACAGGAGGATGCCTGGGTCTCTGCAGCCCCCTCTTTTGCCTTCACAGTCATAGGGCAATGTCCTTATCATCAGAGGCCAGAGGACCTCGCAAGACACGCCATCCCCCTTGACCCCGGCCTGTGCCTTAGCCCCAGGAGCGAAGGAGAGGAGGCAGGCCGGACCCTGCAGCCGCTAGGAAGGGACTCCTGACCACCCCAGAGGGTCGGAGGGTCCTCAGGGAGTCGCTGCCACACCGCCACCCCTGGCACAGGGGCAGAGGCTGAGACTTCAGGCTGTGCCGGGGGCTTCAGTCCCGGGGCCCAGATCTCCGCACGCCCCGTCGGGGCCACCGCGGGAATAGGACAGGGGGCTAGGGCAGCCATGGAGGACATTCGGCGGGGCGGCCCCCCACAACACACACAAGGCCTGGTGGGGGACCCCGGGAAGCGCTCCCTGGGGAGCCTGGACTCCCAGCCCCGCGCCGCGGGGCGCTCCCCGCCGCCGCACATCCGGGCCCCGGGCGCACGGCGCCGGCGCCACGCCTCACCTGCACGGCCCGCGTGAAGAAGATGCCGGCGTCCGAAGCCAGCTTCTTCATGTTGAAGTCCATGGCGCGGCCCGAGCGCAACCGGCAGCCCCGGGCCCCGCCGCCGCCGCCCGCACCCCGCCCACCTGCTGCCGGCGCGGTCCCCCGCGCTCGCCCGCCGCCCGAGCCGCCCAGCGGGAACCGACGCGAGGCGGGGCGCGACGGCCCGGGGCGGAGCCTGCAGGGCTGGCCGGAGCGGAGCCGAGCAGAGCTGGGCAGAGCCGAGTGGAGCCGAGCCGGGCCGAGCCTAGCCGAGCCGAGTCGAGCCGAGGAAAGCCGAGCAGGGCCGAACCGAGCCGAGGCGAGCCGAGCCGAGCCGAGTCGGACCGAGCCGGGCAGAGACGAGTCGAGCCGAGCCGAGCCGAGCCGAGTCTAGGCGAAGCAAGCAAAACAGGGCCGAGCCGAACCGAGCCGGGCAGAGCTGGGCAGAGTCGAGCCGAGCCGAGTTGGACCGAGTCGGGCCGAGCCGAGACAAGCCAAGCCGAGCCGGGCAGAGCCCAGTCGAGCCTAGTCGGGCCAAGGTGAGCCAGGCTAAGCCCGGTAAAGCCGCAGGAGCTCGCTGCTCTCCACTGCCGGCCACTGCTGCTGGCCACCACCACCTGAGCCTGGCTGGTTCCCCTCAGTACTAAACCCCAGACCACAGGTGCACCTGACACCTCACTACAGGTGTACACCGAGCTGAAGTGCTTGCCATTTTACTAAGGTGTCTTGAGTTCTATTTCTTGTGGACAATAATTCAGTGTTTTAATGGGGCCCACGGTAATGTTTGGTTTTGTGTGCAAGGATTTCAAAATCTATTTGTGCTAAGGTAGACATCTCTCTTTTTTTTTTTTTACATCTCTATATTTTTTGGGAAAGATTTTATGTGAAAGAATTTCAGAGACTGAGACACACACATTGAATGGGCACAATAGTTGGAGCGGGGCTGGGCTGAAACCAGCAGCTTCATCCTCTTCTCCCACGTGGGTGCAGGTGCCCAGGCACTTGGGCCATCTTCCACTGCTTTACTGGACACATCAGCAAGGAGCTGGATGGGAAGTGAAGCAGCCAGGACAGAAATCAGCTGCCTACATGGGATGCCAGTATTACAGCCTTACTTGCTACGCCACGGCACCCCCATTTCCAGCGCATCTGATGGCTCAGGAATTGGGTACCCTGCACGCAGTCCAGGACTCCTGACTTGGACAGGTGAGGACCTGCGGAGGGCAGGACAGGGCCTGGACCAACACTGGGCATCAGAGGCATTTGGGCAGTGAACCAGTGGACCACAATCTCTGCTTGGGTCACTGTGCCTTTCAAATGAAGCTGAAGAGACATTCTTTTGAAACACACCTAACTTTCAGCAATTTGCATATCCAGGTTATTGGTGTGGTCCCTGCAGTCCTGGAGGGCCTGTCTCCCAGGGCCTTCTGCACCCTGGCCCTGCAGCACGCTTCTGTCTCCCCATTTCCTCCACAGGCTTCCCACGGGACTTCTTTCTTTCACTTGTCTCCAAGCTCTAGCCTGGGGGCCACTGAGCCAGGGACCCACCAGCTGGGGCCTTGCCCTCCGCCTCTAGAACTCCCACTGGACATTCTGGGAAGCTGACATCAGGCTAGTGGGGGTTGTCGGGAGGACTGCAGAAACATCATGACAAAGAGGGGGTTCAGGCCTGGCGGCCCCCTGCTTCCCATCCAGCTCCCTGTTTGTGGCCTGGGAAAGCAGTTGAGGACAGCCCAAAGCCTTGGGATCCTGCACCCCCATGGGAGACCTGGAGGAAGTACCTGGCTCCTGGCTTCAGATTGGTTCAGCTCCAGCCGTTGCGGCAGCTTGGGGAGTGAATCATCGGATGGAAGATCTTCCTCTCTGTCTCTCCTCCTCTCTATATCTGCCTTTCCAATAAAAATAAATAAATCTTTAAAGGCGGGGGTGGTTCCTGGGGCCCAGAAGGGTGGGGCGAAAAGGAGGAGGAGACACTGGTTTGTGGGATGGGGTCAGAGGGCTGGGAATTTGGAGAGCAGAGGAGGTGCAGTGAGGTTACCACAGGCCAGATAATGAGCCGCCCCCGCAGGCTGGGGTCTCCCCTGCACACGTTAGGGTGGTGTTTGCTCCAGCCAGGGCTTGACCCAGTGGAGGCAGGGTTTGGGTGGGGCTGAGGGGAAGGAAGTGAGACAAGGAAGTGCGCGTGGCCCCCACTAAATCGCAATCCTGAAAGAGAGTTGGGGAGGGCAGTGGTTGCCATCATAAGGGGAGAGGAGGGGCTCTGCCAGGCTGCAGCGAACGGGCCCACCTTGCAGCCAGCTGCTCCCAGTTCAAAAGGTCAATGATCATTAATGGCATTGTAGTTATATACATGTTTATATATATACATTTATTTACTTATTTATTTATGAAATATTTATTTTTATTGTAAAGTCAGATACACAGAAAGGAGAAGAGATAGGAAGATCTCTCCTTGGGGACCTTGGGGTTCCCAAGGAGAATCTTGGGGTTCATTCCCCAAGCTGCTGCAACAGCCTGAGCTGCGTTGATCCGAAGCCAGGAGCCAGGAACTTCCTCCAGGTCTCCCACGTGGGTGCAGGGTCCCAAGGCTTTGGGTCGTCCTTGATTGCTTTCCCAGGCCACAGGCAGGGAGCTGGATGGGAAGTGGAGCTGCCGGGATACGAACCGGCGGCCAAATGGGATTCCAACATGTTCAAGGACTTCAACCGCTACGCTATCATGCCGGGCCCGATTTATTTATTTTTATTGAAAAGACAGATCTACAGCGAGAAGGAAAGACAAAGATCTTCCATCCTCTGGTTCACTCCCCATGTGTCTGCAGTGGCTGGAGCTGAGCTGATCTGAAGCCAGGAGCCAGGAACTCCTTCCAGCTCTCCCACATGGGTGCTGGTTGGGGCCTGCTTTCCCAGGCCGCAAGCAAGGAGTGGATGGGAAGTGGAGCAGCTGGGACATGAACCGGTGTCCATATGGGATCCAGGCTGATGCAAGATATGTTGAACCAGTGCGCCAGACCCCACGGTAACCCTTGACGATGGGGTGTCACTGGTGGTTGACGCGGTCACTGGCTCCCTCACCAGTGGTTCGTCCGGCCACATCTACGCAGCCCTCGGCCACATCTGCCTGCCTTTGCTCACTCACACTGGGCACTTCTTTGTGGGGGCTGTCCTAGGTGCTGGGGCACCCCTCTCTCTCTTCCCAGACACATCAGAACACAGCAAAGGAGCACTCGTGGGCAGTGGGCGTGTTACCACCTGCTGGCTTCTGTCCCAGCACTGTGTTTGGTATTTTGGGGGGGTGGTGGTGGTTGTGGTGGTGGTCAGGGTGAACTGTGACAGCATCCAAGGTCACATGGGGAGACGTGGATCCAGGCAGCCCAGCTGTGACAAGCATGTTCTGTCTACCTGGCTCTGCTGCCTCTCCTTCCAGCTTCCTTCTCTGTGACTTTGCCTCTCCCATTCCCGGAATGCTGGGTGCCCTGCTCTCTTCTTCCCCACCCCCATTCAGTGGGTCTCCTGCCCCCCACGTGCTCCTATGCAGGTCCAGGGTCCCAAAGACTCCAGCCTTTCTCTCCTGCTTTCTTAGTCCATAAACAGCAAGCTGAATTAGAAGTGGAGCAGCCGGACTCGAACCGGCATACATATGCTGGCGCTTGAACGTGGAGGATCAGCCTATTGAGCTGGCCCCTAAGGGAATCCTAGAGCGCTCCCATGGAGGTCCCTTTAAGGGTGGCTCCTCCCCCTCTCGTGAGCCACTCCTGTCAATTTCATCCCCGGGGCCAATCATAAGAGAGGAGAGTCTCAACCGCACTTACGGGGCGGGGCAGAAAGTAGGAGGGACGGGTCCGGCCACGTGATCCTCCTCCTGGGCCCGTAGCCGCAGCAGCAGCGCGGGCAGTTCCGGCGATGCTCATTGGCCGAGGTGAGGCAGGCAGGGCGCGAGGTCACGCCCCGGCGGCTGCGCGGGGAGCTTCAACGATGCTCATTGGCCGAGGCGGGGGCACGCCGGGCGCGAGGCCACGCCCTACCGCCTCGATGCCACGCCTCCCGGCGGCTGCGCGTTTGGCTGCGCGGAGGCCGGGGAAGGAGACGCTGCCCTTCCGCAGCGATGGGATCCCGGGTGAGCCGCGGCGGGCGGCCGGGCGGGCAGCGGGGCAAGGCGGCAGGGAGCAGGGCTGGAAGAGCGGCCGGAGCTGTCCGGGCCGCTGCCGCCGTCCGAAGGAGCCGAGAAGGGGCTCGGGGAGGAGATACCTGGGCCTGGAACGTTCGAGGGGGTCACCGCGGGAGCGCGGGCACCGAGCCCTGGGGCTTGGGGAGAGAAGGGCGCGGGAGTGCGGGCCTGTGCACCTGAGGGTTTTGCGGGGGTCACGGTCGGAGCCTGCCCCAGAGGTGCCTGAGGACCTTTGCGGGGTTGTCCAGTGCCCTGCCAAGTGCGAGCGAGCGGTCTGGGTTGGGATGAAAGGCAGAAGTGTGCCAGGGTCGGGACGTCCCTGGGGTCCGGGGTGGAATGTGGGGTCCTAGGGCGCCGGGGGCTGAGGTGTTGAGTGCCCTGGCAGGGGTGGAGCGAGGAAGGTCGTCTTTCCCAGTGTAGGGTTAGGCCAGGTGGGGCCAGCCCGGTACAGCGTCACAGGTGTCTGTGCTGGGGGAAGAGCTGACCACCTCTCTCATGGGGTCCTGGATTCAGGGGGACAGATCCCCAGGCCTGGTCAGCGGCTTGGGAAGAGGGGTGCTGCACCAGGCCTCAGGCCCCGCCTCCCAGTCCTGCATTCCAGCCATGTCCTTGCAGGGATGGCATGGAAGGGGCAACCTGGGAGACATCCTCTGTGTCCTCACTGGCTCCTTGGTGTCCCCAAGCTTGAGGTCCTCAGTAGGTGTCCTGGACGTGGGGCTACTCACTGGGGGCCGACTGGGAGCCTGCAGGCCCCGCTGCAGTGGGCTCTTCAGGGTGCCGCCACTGCTGGGGCAGGGGGAGGAGTGTCTCGTGGAATCCTTTCCTTGACCTTAGAGGCAGCCCCCAGGCCGGAGCTTGGGGGCCGGAGCTGGACGGGAAGGTTGTGTGTGTTTGCTGCATAAGCCGCCTCGTGTGCTGGTCCGGGGACTTGGGCTGTCGCCCCAGGACATCCCAGGGACAGTGCCCTGGTCCTCTGTGTGTGCTATGCGGGGGCTGCTGCTTCTGGCCCTAGTCCTGACGGCGCTGGAGGGCTGGAGGCCACACGCCAGCTGTGCGGCCTCACTGGCTGGCCCTGTGACTTTGGACTCCCTGGGAAGCTGGGGGGTGGGGTGGGGGAAAGACGGACAGTGCTAGCCGCTCCTGGGGTGACACATCCGGACTTTGCTGGGAGATCGGGTGAGCAGATGCTTCCCACTCCCAACCAGGGGGTGGGTGGAAGAAGGCGCTCTAATGAGGCCCGAGGCCCCAGTTTTGAGGTGAGCTCCGCGTGCCGTGTGGCCTTGGGCTGCTCTTCTGGCCGCTGTGGTGGTGGTCGTGGCTGCCGCGGGTGCAGGGGCCTGCTCTGGCTGAGGCCACGCCCTGCCATGTTCTTGTGCCTCAAGTGGTCATCTGTCTCCCAGCTCTGTGGGGGCACCTTCTGGGATGCGAGTCCCTATCGTGCCGGGGCGTGGCCAGTGCCCGAGACCCAGCCAGCAGCCAGGTGAAGGACAGCTTCTTGGACCAGCTCTCGACTCTCCGGGCTCTCGTCTCCGGGGGTGCTGGGCCCGCCATGGCGTTCCGGCGGACGGAAGGCATGTCCGTGATCCAGGCCCTCGCCATGACCGTGGCCGAGATCCCCGTGTTCCTGTACACGACGTTTGGACAGGTACAGCCTCTGAACCCTGGGTCTTTGGGGGTCCTGGAGAGCCGGGCCTGCTCTTTGCCTCTAGGCTGTGCAGACTCAGTCTATAATGGGGGTTGATTCCCTGCCGTGCTGGCCATGGATGGTGTTCGTGGTGCCCAGGCCTCTGGCTGCTCCCACATCCAGTGCTCCCACAGCCCAATGCAGTGGGCAGCATGGCGGGAGCATCGAGGAGTCCTTCAGGAAGTGGGGGTGGCACGATTGGTTGGAGCTTGGTCCCTGTCTGCTGAGCGGGTGTGTGCCCCCTATGAGCCGCGGGTCCCTCCTTCAGGGAGGGAAGCACAGGGCCTGGCTGCTCTGAGCCTTGTGACGGACGGTGTCAGGGACCCAATGCCCCCATCCTCTCGGCGAGGGCACTTTGCCACCCTTCAGAGGGGAGGCTGCTGTGTCCCTCACCCGCTCAGCCATGGTCCCCTGTCCCTGGGTGCCCGGGCCTTTCCTGAGGGAGACATGACCGGCCACCACCCCCTCTCCCGCACAGTCAGCGTTCTCACAGCTGCGGTTGACACCTGGCCTGCGGAAGGTCCTCTTCGCTACTGCCCTCGGGACCGTGGCCTTGGCCCTGGCCGCCCACCAGCTGAAGAGGCGCGGGAGGCGAAAGAAGCAAGTGGGCCCTGAGCTGGGCACGATGCCCCTGCCCATCCTCATGGCCAGGAAGATGCCCTCAGCGAAGAAAGGTGGGTATGCGTGGGGAGGGGTTGGTGAGTGTCAGGCTGGGGCTGTGGCTCCAGGCCTGGGGAGGGTGGGGTCTTCACACCCCTGTCCCCTCCCTTCTGCATGCGAAGGGTCAGTTTGCAGGCAGCTGGGGCTCCCTGGACTGGTGTGTGTGTGTGTGTGTGTGTGTGTGTGTGTGTGTGCACACGCATGCACAAACATGTATGGACACGTCAGCCCGCAGTGCTCACAGGGGAGAGAGCTGTTCTGTTGCCCCTAGCCTTGCCGGGCCGCACCCTGCGTTGCCCTGATGATGTGGTAGCGCAGCTGGTGGCCACACCTCCACACCCCTCTGCCTCTTGCCAAGGTTGGGAGGGTCCTGGGGCAGGTGACAGGGGCAGCAGCGGTGCCCATGGAGGGACATTTTGCATGCCAGTTGTCATGGCGCAGGAAAGCCCCTCCATGGCTAGGAAGGGATGACTTTAGATAGGTGGAGAGTGGCCCCAGGCACACCAAGGAGCTGCGCTTGCACCTGTGGCGGCCCCCTGAGCCCACAGCCTCTCGCTAGCAGCTGCCGTGCTGTGCCACTGAGTTCTGCTTGGCCTCGTCCCCTCCCCTCTCAGCGAATACACTGTCAGTTGGGCATTTTCAAATGCTGTTGCCTTAGACCCCTTAGGAAGGGTGGGGTGGCTGAATGATGAGGCAGGACGTGGCCGGGTCTGGTTCTCAGCTGGACCCCTCCTTTGGGGTGACCCCCGCCTGTCCTCCGCCTTCCCCGCAGGCTACTCCAGCCGCAGGGTGCAGAGCCCGGGCAGCAAGAGCAACGACACCCTCAGTGGCATCTCCTCCATCGAGCCCAGCAAGCGCTCCGGCTCCTCCCACAGCCTGGCCTCGGTGAGGGCCGGCCTGTGCGCCTGCACTGGGGGCTCATGCCAAAGCTTCCAGACTGGAAGGGAGAAGGGGATTGTTACTGGCCTGGAAGTGTGGGTGACCCCTGGGGAAGAAGCTGCTCGGTGAATTACTGTCAGTCATTTCTCCTCCCTCCCTCCCTCCCTCCCTCCCTCCCTCAATAAGCCCCCAGTCCCAGCTGCGAGCCAGGCCCTGCCGTGGGGACCCAGGAGCAGCTCAAAGATGGCCCCTCTTCTGGGGGGCCCCCAGCCTGCTTGGGCAGGGGGTCATTCCCGTGGCTGAGAGGCTGGCTTGCAGCCAGAATGTGGGATGGGTGAGGGGCTGCTGCCAGCCCATCCCACTTGGTGGTCTCTGAGTTTTTGGTGGGTCTGGCTCTCCTGGGGCTGTGGGCCTAGTGGCTGGGCTAGCTCAGGGCTGGTGCTTGGGCAGGCTGGGTCTGCAAAAGCTTTACTCCTTGACCTTGCCCCATGTGGTGCCCAGATGGCAGCCGCGAACTCCTCCAGCCCTACGTGTTTGGGATCATGGGACGCCCGAGGGATGGAGGAGTCTATAACTACCAGCGATGGCCATGCTGAGAGCCTCTACATGCAAGGTGCGGGCTGGGCGAGCGGCCTGGGCAGGGCAGGGTGGCTGGGAGGAGTGAACGGGTCATGGTCCTGGGTGCTGCCCTGCCCTGCACACACTGCCCCTGCCCAGGTTCCGCTGGGCGCTCCCACCTTGGTGCTGCCTGGGGCCTGACTCCCTTCTCCCCCACCTTGCAAAGGCATGGAGCTGTTTGAGGAGGCCCTGCAGAAGTGGGAACAGGCTCTGAGCGTGGGCCAGAAGGGGGACGGGGGCAGCACCCCCACACCTGGCGACAGCCTGTGGGACCCTGAGACTGCGTCGGCGGCCCTGTCTGAGGTAGGTGGCCCGTCCCTTCCCAGCAAGCACTTGTCCTGTGGGGCGGTCACTGTCCTGCCCTGGGGGTTTTATTTTAATGAAGTGTTGTTGCCTGCGCTTGGTGAGTGGATATCGGGGGTCCTCCCGGAGGGAGAGCCGGCTGCCAGATAGACCTTTTTGATTGCATTGAGGCCGTCTCTGGTTTCTGCACGAGTTCATCAATATCCTCGCCAGAGGCTCCCGCCAGACTGCCTGAGTCTGAGTATTCTTCAGTGCTATCTCTGCCTTTTAAGGAAGCTTCTTCCTGCATTGAAGAAGTTAAATTGCCCATGTTTCTAACACCTCTGATCCTCACTAACCTGCGAACTTGACTGATCGTTAAATCGTGAAATTGAGCGATCGTTAACCGATCATGAATGGGTCGCAAATGCGATCTTGAATGGGCAGTAAATGCGATCGGGAATGGTGGTAAACCCGGTAAACCGCGACCCTGGATGGCCGCTAGACCACAAGCCTGAATGGTCACTAGACCCTAGCTTTAATGGTCGCTACCCCGTGAACTTGACTCGTTGCTAGACCCGTGAACTTGATGTGCACGTCCCCGCCTAGTGCGGCTTCCTGAGCAGAAAGCTCAGTTGTAAACTAATTCCTGCCCTAAGTGGCTCCCTGAGCAATCTGCTCAGCTTACCTTCCTGGTGTTCACCAGCTGACTTCTATCCAAGTCACAGCGCCAGTTATCTGGGGTCTCCCGTCCCGCGGAAGAAATCACCCGACACTTGAGAGAGTCTCCGAGGCGCTTTATTCCGATCTTCCGTTAAAAAACTGTTATGTCCGTTACGCTGACGCCCCTCCCCCACCAAGCCCCCCACTTATCTGTCAAACCTGTCCAATCAGCTTAAAGATACCCAAGGCACACCAATCAGGGCAAAGGGCCAATCACAGGGCAGGAAATTGTCAGTGCCCCCAACAAGTGGAGCCCTGTGGTGTGTGGCCCCCTGTGCTCCCAGGGGAGGCGTGGAGGAGGCGTGTCCCCGCTGGTGCTGCCTGCCTCAGCCTTGTGGGGTGTGCCCTCTAGAGGCGCATGGTGTCTGTGTGCACACACGTGTGGCATGTACCCCAGCATGAGGACAGAACAGTGCGCCCGAATGTAGGCAGAGCCTGCCACGCGTATGTCATGGGCCATGAGGAAGCTGTGCTGCGTCTAGTCAGCAGAAGTGGGAATGGAGCTGTGCCTGTCTGTGGGCTGTGGGGGCCTGCAGGTGGGATCGCGAGCGACGGAGTGTGCCAGAGCCTGAGGGGGTACGGCAGCAGCAGGCTGTGCATTCCTATTCCTGTCATGGCACCCTCTGAGGGCAGGGCTGCAGGGAGGGGGCGCCTGTGTGACCTCCCAAGACCCCTCTGCCTGCCTGGGTCTCCAGGAGAGGCCGAACAGGACACTTTAGCCCCAGTTATGAGAGAAACCGTTTGCTTCCTCACTGCACAATTGCTGGGTCTGGGTCAGACCTGTGATTGCATCCGGAAGTGTCATGGGGTGCAGGCGCCCAAGCACTTGGGCCGTCCTTGGCTGCATTCCCAGGTGCGTGAACAGGGAGCTGGATCAGAAATGGGCAACCAGGGCTTGAACTGGGATGCTGGTGGTGTCCTGAGTGGTAACTTAACCTGCTGTGCCACACTGCCAGCCTCCGTGTCATTCTGTGCGTGTTTCTGTGCTGAAGGGGAAGGACAGGAAGCGCCGGCCCCTGTCCCACCCTGACACCTGCGAGGGAGGGAGCCGCTTGTATCAGTGGAGGCCAGTCAGGGAGTGGGAACACCTCGGTGTTAACTCCAGGGGCAGCTGAGCCCTGGGGCTGGCTGCACAGGTGAGGGTAGGCCTGCAGGGGTGTGGTGCCCAGGCCTGGGGCAGGGGGCTGGCCTGTGGGAGTGTTTCTCTGCCCTCTCCCTTACTGCCTTTACCCCTGCACCTGAGCTGCCCAGGAGCCAGCTGGCAGTGGAGCCTGGGAAACCGTTTGCAGCCTGAGGGTGGGGACGTGGCCAGCCCACACAGGCACAGACTGGAGGTATCCAGGCCATCTACCACAGCTGGACGCGACTGCTGGAGGCTGGGGTGGAGTGAAGGGCAGGGAAATGCCTGGGCAGCCTGGTATGGCCTGTATGTGCTACGGCCCATGTGTGGCTGTGGCACGGTGGCTTTGTGTCTGGTCTGCACGTGGGCAGACGACAGGCACTTGCAGGGGAGCATCGGGGACAGGGCACCAAGGAAGGCGGTAGTCTCTCCAGATTGTATGTACTATGGAAAGTGGATCCCGTTACTGTAAAAGCGATCAGATAGTCTCAGAATGGTCAGCACTACACAACTGGAAGGGAAGAACCTAGTCTGAGCGTGGGGCATTGGCCGCCAGCTGCCTGCAGGCCCAGAGGAGCCCAGTGGCAGCCATGGCATGTGCCTGTCACCCAGAGCCAGCCAGAACCACCCTGTCTCCCTCCAGGCAGCTTTCTGCTTGTCATGGAGTCCACGTGCCATGAAATACACCCCTCTTTTTTTTTTTAAGAATTATTTATTTTTATTGGAAAGGCAGGTATACTGAGTGCTGGTTCTGCAGGCTAGGTCTGCAGTCTACAACCTGATGTGACCAGCTTCTCGCCCTGTGTGCCACGCATGTCTGCATTTTCTTCATGCCCCTATCAGTCAGGCACTAAGTCTCAGGAGCATTAGCAGGAAGTTGGATAGGAAGCGGAATAGCTAGGATTTAAACATCCGTAAGGGATGTGGGTGGCCAAGGGCCTGACTTGACCTGCTGCCGCATGTGGTCCTGTGTTGGTGGGGCAAACATCCGTAATGTCAAGTGTGTTTTCAGACGTGCTCACTGGGTGTCCTTGGGCCTCCTGGAGAGACCCACAGAGACCTTGTTTGGGTTGACCCTGTTGCCTTGAGTGTTGGCCCGGCTGGCCTGGGGTGCCCCTCCCTCATCTGGTCACCAGTCCCCATCTGCGAGTCTCTTTTTTACCTTTTCCGTTGTGACATTGAGGCTTTATTCATTTACTCTGTAAGATATATTTAATTTGAAGCTCAAAGTTAGAGAGATCTTTCATCTGCTGCTTCACTGTGATGGCTCTGACATCCAGGGCAGGGCCAGGCTGAGGCTGGCAGCCAGAAGCTTCTTCCAAGTCTCCCACATGGGTGTAGGAATCCAGACTCTTGGGCCATCTTCCATTGCTTTCCCCAGGCCATTAGCCTGGAGCTGGATCAGAAATAAAGTACCCAGGACGTGAACTGGCACCTGTATGGGATGCTGGTGTCACAGGAGGTGGCATTACCTGCTGTGCCATGTGGCCAGCGCCACACAAAAGTGTTAACTACAAGTTTACTGGTGGTGTCGGTGTGTCTGGTGTGTCACCTGCCCTGCGATCGTTTCAGGGGCCGGGAGAGCTGCACCCCTTGATTGGGAGTGTAAGGCTCTGCCGGCCCTGAGAAGGGGGCCATCCCAGCCAGAGAAGCCAGCCTGGTGGCCTCCAACCCCCCCCAGCCTGCTTGGGTTTGCTCACAGAATGGGTCGCTGTCTCAGAGGGATGTGTTGAGGCTGAGCAGCGAGCTCCCTGACTCTGGGTGGCCCACGGTGACCGGCCACTGTTAGCCCCAGCCACCTTCCCCCGCCCTCCGGTTCCTTTCCCCCAGGGCCTCAGGCTGGAGGCAGCTTAGGTCTCCTCCCTGGAGTCCAGTTACGTTCAGGTGCAGGCCCTGGCAGCCGTGGTGGAAAACAGATAAGCCAGGTCAGCACTCACCTCTCCCTGGGGACAGCAGACGGCAGGGGTACCCCCCTTTCTTCCCATGCCAGGCCTTGGACCCCAGGACAGTGCCAAGGCCTCAGAGGCCACCAGCAGACACACTGCCCAGTGACACTACAAGCCCCTGCCTGGGTCTCTGCTGTGGTCCCCCTCACTTCACACCCCAGCGCTCCTGCCCCCCTCATGCTGGGCCTGTGCCAGTCATTGGCATCAGCTACGGGGAAGTCCTGGGGTTCCCAGGGCTTTGCCTTGGAGCCGGTTGGCACTTACAGTGGATTTTAGCATTGCCCTGGCTGCTCCCTCGAGCTGGCCCTGGGAGTGATTATGGTGGTTAGCAGAAATACTTGCATTGCCTGGCTGCTCACATCTCGTCCACAGGAATCTGCCACACCACAGTGTCACCGAAGCTAGTGACACATAAAACACCAAGCGTGCCCAGGAATGTGCGAGCCGGAATTGGAGCTGGGCGTGCTTGAATCTGGAGCAGGGAGAAAGGGAACTTCCAGCTGCTGGTTCACTGCTGGACCAGGTCCAAGCCAGGAACTTCTTTCATGTCTCCCACATGGGTGCAGGGGCCCAAGCACTTGGACCATCCTCCACTGCTCTCCCAGGCACATTAGCAGGGGGTTGGATCAGAAGTGGAGTAGCTGGAACACAAAGTAGCACCATGGGGACGCAGGCGTCATAGGAGGTGGCCGAACAGACTGCACTGTAGCACGAGCCTCTGCTGGAATGGTTTCTGGATCCTGTGATCAGAAAAGCGAGAGGGGACAGGCTGACAGACTTCACATAGCTTGGATCATCCAGAGTCGGACTCTTTCAACATGCAGTCAAGAGGAAGTGTGTGGGGCCCCCGGTGTGCTTAAACACGGGGCCCCTTTGGGTCCCTGAGCCCTCTCTGGTCCCTGGGAGCCCAAGGCCTGAAGGTCACCTTCGCTGTCCTTCCACAGCCTGAGTCACAGCGCCGGGAGTTTGCTGAGAAGCTTGAGGCCCTGCTGCACCGTGCCTACCACCTGCAGGAGGAGTTTGGCTCCACCTTCCCCTCGGACAGCATGCTGCTGGACCTCGGTGAGCGGCCGCGGGGTGGGTCCCTCCATGCTGGGCTCCCAGGCACTGCTTCATCCTCGTGCCCCGCCCCTAGCACACGGCAAGGACAGGGAGCCGGGCTCGGCACACTTGCGTGTGCGGGTGGGCGTCTTGGCCCTTGTCCCTCTTGCCACCCCTCACCCCCTTCCCCAGAGAGGACGCTCATGCTGCCCCTGACCGAGGGCTCGCTGCGAGTGCGGGCGGACGACGAGGACAGCCTGACCTCGGAGGACTCCTTCTTCTCGGCCACTGAGGTGAGTTGGGCGGGCCGAGGGCCTGCTGCGCTGTGGGGCCAAGGGAAGGGCGCTGTGGGGCCGTGGGAAGGGCGCTGTGGGGCCAAGGGAAGGGCGCTGTGGGGCCGTGGGAAGCAGCATTGGGCTATCTCCAAGGGCTGCTCCTGGGGGACTTGGCACGGTTGCTGGGGACAGGGACGTTGGGCTGAGACAGCAGAGGCCCTGCCCTGCTGGCGTGGCCTTGTGTTGCCCCCTTGCTGCTCTCTACAGCCAGCCTGCACCTGGCATGAGTTTATTCAGGTTCCTGTGCTGGGACGGGAGGTTTGGGCTGGGGTGTGAAAGGCCCAGGTGTAAAAGGAGTTGGCCAGCCCGGGGCCCAGTCCTGTGGTCCCTTAGCTCAGCCATTGTTCCTGCTGACCCTCTGAGAAGGTGGTCGTGGGCAGGTGCCTTGGGCCGCCCCCTCCCCGGGCTTGCTGCTCACACTGGCCTCCACTGCCCCCTTCCCCTCTCCAGCTCTTTGAGTCCCTGCAGGTTGGGGACTGCCCAGTCCCGCTGTCTAGGCCCGCAGCCGCCTACGAGGAAGCCCTGCAGCTGGTGAAGGAGGGGAAGGTGCCATGCCGGACCCTCAGGTGTGAGCGTGGGCAGGTGGTGGCGGGTGGGGAGGACCGGCCCCAGGGAGTATAGGCAGCTACTTCCTGCCGGGATGGCTCTGAGCCTGGAGACTGGCACGCTCACCACTTGGAACTGTTGGTTTATCACTGTTTGCCTGTGTTCCTAGCAAGCCTTGACCGTGCAATGCAGTGGGTGCTGTCCCTAAGCCCGAGTCTCCACAACCTCTCTCTGGCAAGGCCAAGGAGCCCAGGGGGATGGGCAGACAGGGTAGCCTGGGGTCCTGCACAGCTCCTTGTCTCAGCTGTGGTCTCCTGACAGTGGTTGGGGGAGGAAAAAATTCATGGGAAGGGAGCTTTGGAAATGCATGCAGAGTTGACAGTTTTTATTTAATTAGTTACTCTGAGAGACAGAGGCAAACAGAGGGAATTCCCCCAAGCTGTGGTCAGCCCCAGGTGCCCAACGGACAGAAGCCGGGAGCCAAGAGCTCACTGCAGGTCTCCCCTGAGCGTGGCAGGGACCTGGACCCTCAGCGTGTCACCTGCTGCCTCCCAGGGCCTGTGTCAGCAGGGAGCTGGACCCTGGCATTGAACCCAGGCCCTCTGACACGGGCTGGGGGCATATTAACTGCTGGGCCAGTGTCTACCCCGTGCGTGGGGCTGTCACAGAACATACTAAGATTTGTATAATTTGGATTTGTATTTTATTCACTTACTTATTTGGAGAAAAAGTCATGAACTAGAGTCTCTGTCCTACCTCTGAGTGCCAGCAGCCGAGCTAGGACTGCCCTGTGTTCCCACATGGTGGTGGACCCAGCTGTTTGGCCAGCTGCTGCCGCCTCCGAGGCTTGAGAACAGAACCCAGGCCACCTCACTGGGGGATGTGGGCGTCCTGGGGCGGCCTTGGCTGCCGTGCCTCCGTGTGAGGGTGTGGGAGTGCTCATGGCTCGACAGACCCAGCTCAGCCTGGAACCCTGTGGCCAGCCCTGCTCCCCATGCCAGTAGACCCAGCCACCCACTGCCAGGCTGAGCCAGGGCTCAAGCCAGAGCCTCCCAGCACCATCCAGGGCCAGGCAGTGTGATCCTCTGCTCCCCCTATCTCCCTGCCAGGACAGAGCTGCTGGGCTGCTATGGTGACCAAGACTTTCTTGCCAAGCTGCACTGCGTGCGGCAAGCCTTCGAGGTGCGTGTTCCCTGACCCCCTGTGCCCCAGCCTCCATGGCTGCCCTCCGCCCCGCAGCTCACATCCTCCTCCTCCTCTCTCCCCAGGGTCTTCTGGAGGAGAAGCAGAACCAGCTGTTCTTTGGGGAGGTTGGCCGGCAGATGGTGGCGGGCCTGATGACCAAGGCTGAAAAGGTAGGGCTTTTGTAGCTGAGTGTGTGGAGGGTCATCTGTTTACCTGAAAGGCAGAGTTCCAGAGAGGAGAGAGGGAGAGGGCGAGCTTGTATTTGCTGGCTCTATTCCCCAAACAGCCGCAGTGGTCCAGGCTGGACCAGGCCAGGTGCCAGGAACTCTATCTGGGTCTCTCATGTGGGCAGCAAGAGCTCAAGTAATTGGGTCATCTTCCAGTGCTTTCCAAGGCACATTAGTAGGAAGCTGGAGCAGAAGCAGGGCATCTGGGACTTGAACCAGCACCCACGTGGGATGCTGGCTTAATTCACTGAGCCAGGATGCTGAAACCAAGTCAAGGATCTTTGGCTCCAGTCTTGGGTCACAGAGGAACTGGAGGGGGCTGAGACCCGCCTGCCTCTGCGGAGGTGGAGAGTGACAGATGGGTGTCGCGTCTTTGTCCTTAACTCCAGTGTGACATTTCCATAAAACCCACCAGTGACAAGATGCACCCCCTGTTTGCAGAGGTCCCCCGTGCCCATCCATGCTTGGTGACACAGATCCTGTCACCTTTGAACATAGTCACCCAGTTGCCCAAGCAGATGCCTACTCGCTGGCCTGTTGCCCTGCCTCGTGGCCTGACAGCCCTTCTCACCCATCTTGGCCAGCTCGCTGGGTGCTCTCCACCAAGGGTGGTTTGTCTGGTTCTCTGGCAGGCGAACATTCAGATGGCACCTGACACTTTGCCATCGTGGCTGTCGTCACCCCTGTTACCCTTGTACAGACCCTGTGGGCATGCTGAGGTATTCTTGGGCCTTGATGTTGAAGTATTCTTGAACTCAGATGTTGGGCCTTGCCCGCTTGCCCTTCCCGGAGGCCCCGCCTGCAGCACCTGCTGCTCACAGTTGCTTTTAACTCGTGCTGCCTGGCCGGGGCTCTGTGACTCTCTGGTCGCGGGCGACGCTGCCCTATTTGTGGGTGGGCCACCCTGTGAGTTCCCTTTTGTGGATCGGAGCCAAGCTTTGCACCAGACCTTTCCACTCTGTTTTCTCCTCACATGCCTGGGGAGTATTTCTAGAACACATAGCCCCCCATATCACTCATCCCTCAGCCCATGGTGTGAAAACTGGGGTCTGGCTGCCACATGCTGTGCCCCCCCTTCCCCTGGGCGCGCATATGTGCACCCCTGGCTTCCTGCCAAGTCAGCGCCTTTGCGTGGCTGGTTCCTCTGCATCTAGAATTCTGTCCCTCAGGTCTTTTTGTTCACACACTTGTAGCAGAGTATGAAAAATGCACAGGGTTGGCTGAGAGCTGACAGGGCACTGAATCAGGAGGCTGAGCTGGGTGACCCTGGCAGCCCCTGGCACCCTCCCTGTCCCATGTGAGCTGCTTATTCTGCAAAGCTACAGCAGCTGGTCTCTCCCGCCTATGCCTGTGTGTGGCCTGCTCCCTGTGGGCCAGGCCCAGTGCCCAGCCAGCAGGAGCGTGGTCCTCGTGTTCCCTGAGTGATGGGTCCCTGGCAGCTACCCTGCGCTCTTGCTCTCCTCCTGGGCTTCCAGTCACCAGTGTCTTCTGGGCTGGTGTGGAGGCTGAGCCTGGAGCCTGTGTGTTTCTGAGGAGCCGGCTTAACACGCTGCTGGCGCGCCTGGGTGTCCTGGCAGGGGGCCATGTGGTGGGTGGGAGTTACTGCCCTGTCTCAATGTTCCTGTACCTGCTGCTGCCTGGGCAGGTTCCCTGTGGCTCCCGAGGCCTCCCCTGTGACCTGGACGGGCTGTGCTTGTCCCCACAGAGCCCCAAAGGCTTCTTGGAAAGCTATGAGGAGCTGCTGAACTACGCCCTGCGGCCTGAGACCTGGGCCACCACCCGGCTAGAGCTGGAGGGCCGTGGGGTGAGTGTGCAGCCCAGAGTCCGACATCTGTCCTGGGCCCTTTGCACCCAGCCCTCTGGTGGGGAGGTGGGGCAGGCATACTGGGATCCATTTCAGCTCGGGGAGGGGGCTGGGAGGATACCCTCACTGCCCAGTTCCTGCCAAGGCCCAGGGTGGTGGCAGGGGTGAGGCCAGTGGCCCCTGGCTCCTGTTCACTCACGGGCCGCCCTATTCAGCTCTTACTTTCTTCATGCCCGCCCCTCCTCCAGCCCTTCCGCGCAGGCAAAGCGGGCATCAATCTAGACCATGTGCTTCACCCCCTCACGCCTTCTTCCCCACCCCTCACCCCCTCACCTCCTCTCCCTACCTCTCTCCCCCTCACGCCCTCTCCCTCGCCCCTCCCCTCACGCCCTCTCCCCCTCACGCCCTCTCCCCCTCACGCCCTCTCCCCCGCCCCTCCCCTCACGACCTCTCCCCCTCACGCCCTCTCCCCCTCACGCCCTCTCCCCCGCCCCTCCCCTCACGCCCCCTCCCCCGCCCCTCCCCTCACGCCCTCTCCCCCTCAGTACCTCTCCCCCTCAGTACCTCTCCCCCTCAGTACCTCTCCCCCTCAGTACCTCTCCCCCTCAGTACCTCTCCCCCTCAGTACCTCTTGCCTGCCCCATGCAGGTGGTATGCATGAGCTTCTTCGACATCGTGCTGGACTTCATCCTCATGGATGCCTTCGAGGACCTGGAGAGCCCCCCGTCGTCCGTGCTGGCTGTCCTGAGGAACCGCTGGCTATCAGACAGCTTCAAGGAGACGGTGCGCCCCTCCCGCCCCCAGCCCCTGGGCACCCCACAGGAGGCACCCTCTGCTCCAGTGCGCATGCGCTCTACTCCTGGCGCCCCTCGCTCCTGGAATCCTGCCTGTGCGTGCTGCTGCTGGTGCTCCTCGTTTCCATGAAGCCAAACCAAGTTAGAGAATAACCCGACAAGGAGGCACAAAGGAGAGCGGAGTCAGCAGGGCCTGCCCCGGTCACCCACACACCCACTGGGGGCGACCAGCTGTTTTGTGGCAGTGGGAGAGGCACCTCAGGCTGACTGTGGCTCTGGCCAGGGACCTCAGTGGCCAGGGTCAGAGCCCAGGTTCCAGTTTCCAGATCTGATTCCACATCCAGGGGAGGGAGATGTCTGTACCTGGGCGCTGAGGCCCTGGGGTGAGCGAGGGCTGGGGGGCATGCAGGGACCACGGGGCAGGCATGACTTGACAGCAGGCGGGCATCCTGTCTCTTTGATGCAGGCCCTAGCCACTGCGTGCTGGTCAGTCCTGAAAGCCAAGAGGAGGCTGCTGATGGTGAGTGACAGGCAGGTTCCAGGGTCCCTGGACTCCTCTGCCTGGTGCCCAGAGCCCCTGGCCCACAGCCTGCTGCCCCTGTCCAGCGTTGAGCTGGGCGTCTTCTCCCCCAAGGCCCAACATGGAGCAGGTGCAAGAGTGTGGCCAGGCCCCGGGTAAGGGAAGTGGCTCTTCGAAAGGCAGGGCTGCTCCCTGGTAGCAGGGCATCTGCCATGTGCCTAGTCCCCACAGGTAGTCCTGTGGTCCACAGAAGTGAAAAGTGGGGTGTCCAGAGTCCTTTGCCCTGGCTTGTCTGGCCGGCTGGAAAGGAATCCAGATGAGCCCGACCTTGGCCTTGCCACCTGTTGCAGGTGCCCGACGGCTTCATCTCTCATTTCTACTCCGTATCGGAGCACGTTAGCCCTGTCCTGGCCTTCGGCTTCCTTGGCCCCAAGCCCCAGCTCACCGAGGTCTGCGCTTTCTTCAAGGTGAGCCGAGGGGAAGCTATTCTCCTCCATGGCGCAGGGTCCACAGGAGGAGGGGCTGCGCCTGCTCCTGGGGACCGAGGGGATGGACAGCACATGGCCTAGACTGATGCCCGCCTTGCTCGCCTACCGCCAGCACCAGATCGTGCAGTACTTGCGTGACATGTTCGACCTGGACAACGTGCGCTACACGTCGGTGTCGGCTCTCGCTGATGACATCCTGCAGCTGTCCCGGCGCCGCAGCGAGATCCTGCTGGGATACCTGGGAGCGCCAGGGGCCAGCAGCGTCGCCCTCGATGGGGCACTGCCCCAGGAGAACGGGCCCCTCGGGGGGGTGCAGTAGCAGGCCTAGGTGCCCGCGGGAGCGGTGGCCGTGAGAGGCTTGGCCCAACCTTCTAACGTGGGGTGGCTCTGACTTTGTCCCCACCCCCACCTGGGAATCCCAAGGCCCCAAGGATACATCTCTGGCAGGGCCACAGCCCCCGGCGGTCAGCAGGCCCCAAGGAGACAAAGGCCAGGCAGGGTTGGGATAGGCAGGGTCAGGATCTGGAATGTGTGTACCCCAGGGCTGCCCACAAAGGGCTCAGGGCAGTGGGGCAGAGGAAGATGGGGTCTGCGGGCTCTGCAGTGAGGGTCATGGTCTCCCATGGCTGTGTGCGCTTGGAGCCAACTGCCCTGGCAAGGCCTGAAAGCCCCACCGCCACCACACCAGGAGCTGGTGGCCACCCAAGCCTGGTGTGCCCACTGTGGCTGTGTGGGCTCTTGGCAAACGCAAGCAGCCAACCAGGATGCTGCCCCAGGACATTCCCGCGTCTTGCCAAAGACCTCATGTTTCCTCCCACACGTGCTGCAGCCCTAGACAGAGGGGGCTGCAGTGGGGGGCTCCTCAGCCCTGTGGCCCAGCAGGCTGCGTAAGGATGAGCAGGGCTGAACTAACCCCTGCTCTCTGGAGCAAGAGAGCAGGCCCAGCAAGCACTTGGCCGCCAGTTAACGCACAAGGAGCCAGGCACAGGGAGACACCCAGGGCCTGCAGATTCGCTAGTGTCCCTCACCTGTGCTGGGAACTTTAATTTATTGCCTTAAGCCTTTATTTTGAGGTTCCATCCTTTCCAGGCTGTGAGACCGGCAGGAGAAATCACTCCTCTGGTACCCCAGGCTGGAGGGAGAGGATCTGGGTGGGAGGGCACATGGAGGAGAGACGGGACCCATGAGCGTGAGGCACCCTCCCCCACCCCACATTCCGTTGGTTTGCACTCCCCCTGCGCTTTGAATGTAGCCCTGGCCGACCTGGCCTGCTCTGATTTGCTTCAGGTCCCGCGGAAGTGGCATTTCCATTTTAACTGTTTACACATCTACTTCCTGCCTCTCGCACTCAACATGTCACAGCTTCTGACTGGAGCGGGGGAGCACGGGCACCTGGGAAGGTTGCAGGAGCATGAAGGTCTGGGTGTTTGTAGTGAGGAGCTCCCTGGGGTGTGGAGTGGGCACCTGGGACGGGCTCCTACTTTGGCACATGGTGAACAGTGTAGGCATCCATGCTATGAGGCAACAGGTGATGGCCCAAGTACCCTGACACCCACAGGGGAGACAGATGGAGTTGCAGGCTCCCTGCTTGGCCTGGGCCAGTCCTGGCAGCCATGGGTCTTGGAGGAGGAAAGCAGTACGTGGAAGATCTCTCCTCTGAAAAGTCTTTGAAGTATACGGTGTAGGCTGGACTGCAGAGTGGTCCCAGCCTGCCTGGTCCTGGGTATGCTCATGGCCAGGTGGCAATCAGAAGTTGCATTGGAGAGGCCTAGCTTCTTTAAACATGTTTTCCCATGTGCAGAAGGAAGGCGAAGGAGTTGCATAAAGAACATCAACCGACACTGCAGTGGCTGCTGTGTAGTTATGTTTATTCTGTGTATTTCCCAAGTTGCAGACCAAGTTCCAGACACATTTTACCCCTGAACTTGTGAGCCAGCAGATAAAGGGGTGGGGGCCTCCTAGGCAACCCCTACAGGGCCAGAAACCAAGCTGGTTACCGCGGTGCTGGGCGCATAATGGTGTCCCAGACACATACTTGCTTGGCTGCCTCACAGTGTATCCCACAGGCATACTGGTTGCCACACTGTGGTTCTAGACTTCTGTGGCTGGTGTTAATAGCACAGTAGGTTAGATGGCTTCAGCAATGCTGGTGTTCCACGTGGGTTCTCATTTGAGTCCTGGCTGCTCTACTTTGCATCCAGCTCCCTGCTAATGCACCTAGGAAAGCAACCACTGCATCCATGTGGGAGACCTGGGTGGGGGTCCCACATGCCCCACCTCAGGCTGGTCCAGTCTCCCATCATTGCAGCCGTTCGAGGAGTGAACCAGTGGAGGAAGTGCAACCTCTGGCACTCTGGCTTTCAAATAAGCAAGTCTTGAAAAAACATTCCCAAACATCCCAGTGGCTACTTGCCAGCAACTGTTCTGTCAGCCTTTTGGGGGAGTTCTCTGTTGAACCCCTTGTTGCTTGGGCTGATCATGTAGGACAAGCAGGGCTTGAGAGCCTTGCTGTGTTGATGGGATTGCCCCTTAGGAGACCTGGCCCCCAGGGACCACGTGGATAGCTGCAGGTGCACAGCTGCCACAGGTGGTGGGGGGCCTCCAGCATCATGCCCACCATTCTCCCCCTGAAGTAGTTAGGGTTCCAGCTTGTGAGCAGCCACATGGGGCTTCTAGCACAGCTCTGCTCACTATGGGCGCAGCTGTGATGGGAGGTCTCTACAGGCTGCACCTTGCCTGTGGTACTGGCATCCTGATTGTGTGCCTGGGAAAGCAACAGAGGAGGGTTCAAACACTTGGGCCCTGCCCCCATGGGGGAGACCTGGAAGAGGTTTCTGGCTCCTGGCTTCTGGCTTCAATCTAACCCAATGCTGGATGTTGTGGTCACTTGGGGAGTGACCCTCTGTAAAATCTGCCTTTCCAATAAAAATTAATCTCTTACAAGGATTTTTTAATAAATTTATAAAATTAATCGGGCCATCCTCTGTTGCTTTCCCAGGCCACAGCAGTGAGCAGGGTGGGAAGTGGAGCAGCCAGGACACAAACCGGCACTGCAGGGTGGAGCCTGTTGAGCTGATGCACAGCCCCCAGTAAGAATCTACCTCAACAACACCAAAGCACGCTGTCCTCATCTGACATGACACCAGATGCCCCATCAGCCGTGGCTTCAGTTACTAATACATGACATGCGCACAAATGCGACAGGAAGGATGGCCGTTGCATGCACCTGCTGTGTTCCCCACACAGTACAGTGGAGGGGTGTGCTGGACGTGTGGGGCAGCCTGGCTTCAGGGAGTCCGTGTTCTGGTGTCTCTTAAGGGCCTCCCGGATGGCATCTCCAGCAGAAACCACTTATGCCATGGAGGTCAGCTGCACTTGTCCGCCCCAGCCCAGTGTCCATGCAGATGGCTGGTGCTCTGCTCTGGGCCTGTCTTACGTTACAAACTGCGTGCAATGCAGGGTGTCTTCCCCCACTCCCATTCCAGCTCCCAGTCCCAAACCCGACACCTGTCACCCGGCCCATGAACATTGTATTCTGTGGGGAAGGCAGCCCCCCACTTCCTTTCCCCGACTGAGGGGCCAGGGACCAGTCATCCCGCGAACAGACAAGCTGCAGTTTCCTTCCCGCTTGTCCCTCTGCTCCCAGGAGGTTCTTACATTCAGGGAGTCACTACAGAGCTGGGTAGGCCTGTGGGCTTGGCCAGGCAGAGGGGAGCCGGGTTCCACAACCAACCTGGAGGGACCCACACAGCTCCCGGCCATGCACCTGCTCCTGTCCGCCCCAACTCGCTCTGCAGCCTCCTCGGCACCCCATCTCTCAGGAGGAACGCAGCCTCGAAGGCTGCCGGCCTCCATGGGATCCAGGGGAGCCCAGGACTCGAGCGTTTCTAGCAGGGCATCAGATTTGCTCCAAGAAGCCGCTCTCTGCCCCTTGGCTGGGGTCACCCAGAGTGGCGAGTCGGGGGAGCTGTTTTGGGGAAGCGGGGATGAGAAGCCGTCTTGGGGTCAAGAACGATTCCAAGATGACTTGCTAAGCGGAACACGCGTTGACACGCTTGAATGAGCAAGACTGCAAGGCGCCCGTAGCCGGAGCCAAGCCTCGGTTCTGTGAGGCGACGGCAGGGCGCACTCCGCGGGTGCCCCACGAGAGGCCCCCGCGTCCCGGGTCTCTGGGCTCAGCTGCCTGGAAATGGGTCAGCCCAGACCCCGCGGGGCCCTGTGTGCGCATGCGCGGCAACGGGCGCGCGCCGGTCCCGGCCGGGTTCCCGGCACCTCGGCCGCCGTCTCTCGGGACGCAGGTCTCCGCCGAACCAAAGCTCCCACCAAAGATCAACACGCCCCCCGAGCGAGTGCCTGATTGGCTCGTCCTGCCCACATTGGGGAGCTAACTTCCTCTTGTGATTGGCTGCTCAGCCCTCCGCTCAGCGCCGGAACCCTCCCCTTCTCTCATTGGCCAGGCGCCTACCTGTGCTCGCTCGGGATTGGGCCTGGGTTGAGGGCTCTGCTCTCTGATTCGTCGCTCCACGGCCTGCACGCTAAATGGCTGCGCCGCTACCTGTCCCGGCCTCCGATTGGGTGCGCGGCGCCTCCCTGGCGTGATAGGTCAGGGCCGCCGCCCCCCTGGCTCCCCATTGGCTGCTGAGCGAAACCCGGTCTCCGGGTAAGATGGCAGCGGACGGCCAGTGCTCGCTCCCCGCTTCATGGCGGCCGGTGACCCTCACCCACGTCGAATATCCTGCAGGTAAAAGGCGGCCCGGGCGCCGAGGGCGCCTTCCCAGGGCCGGACCGCGCCGGCGCGTGCGCTCGGCTCCGCGCGAGGCCGCGCGGCGGGAACTCGGTGGGGTCGGCGTGGCGGGGACCCGGGTGGGAACTGTCAAAGCGCGAGCCGCGGAGGGGCTCGGTCGGCGCGCGTGCCGCGCAAGCGCGGAGGAGACGGCGAGGCGCCGGGCCACCTCTGGAGCCGCTGGCCCGCCGCCGTGCGCCTGCGCAGCCGGGGTGGACTCCCGGGGCGCGCGGGGGGCCGGGGGCGCGCGGGTGGGGTCCTCGGCCTGGCCTGGCTTGGGTCCGGCTGTCCCCGCCCTCCCGGGGTGCTGGGAGTGCCTGCTTCCTTCCAAGGGGTCGCTTTGGAGGGTTCTCTTGTGGCCCGGGGTGTGCCACTTCAGGCCGAGGCTCCGTGTGGGTGCCCAGGGGGCACTCCAGGGAGCAGCGGGCAGACACGCCTCTCGTGCGCCAGCGCAGTGCCACCCATCCTTTAGCCAAGCCCCCCCCACCACGCGAGGCTGTCAGGTGGAGTGGGGCAGTAGGGCGAGGACATGTCTGTGATCCGCTGAGGCCGGGACCAGAGGGGGTACCACCAAGTGCAGGGCCCAGCAGGGCACCTGCAGCTCGTCGGCTCCCACCACCCTGCCCGGCCCAGGAGGCTTGGCTGCAGGGCGAGGCCAGGGCCGCTCCTGGGCAGGAAAACCCAAGAACCGGGCCTGCCGTGCAGGGCCCCAGGGCGGTGTGCCAGAGCACTTTGACCCCCCAGGTTCTGTGCTCACACCCAGGGCGTGAGCTGCAGTGATGTGGCCCCAGCTGCTTGCCTGCCGGTCACTGTCTCTCCTCTACCTCCTGCTGTGGGGCTCTGGGTGCTGTGGGACCAGGGCTGTGCCGCAGGGTCTCAGTTGCCTTCTCATGGGCCAGCTCCCTAGCTAGCTGCGCCGGGGGAAGGTACAAGAAGGCCAGGTGTGGTTGTGCCTGCCTTGTCAGGCCTCCTTCCCTGCTTCTTGGGGGCAGCTGGTGTGGTGTTGGGGAGAACGGGGGCTCAGTGCGAGCTCCAGTGTGCACGTGTCGTGGGGCTCAGGCACAGAGCTGGGTGTCTGCCAGACTCTGCTGTGACAGGTGTCCCTGTGCACGGCCATGAGGGAGGGGGCAGGGCTTCAGCAGGCAAAGTCCCCTCCCCCAGTTCTCGCAGACATGCTGGCATGGGACCTGGACTGTGCCCTCTGACTCCAGAGTGGAGCAGGGCTCTGGACTATCCAGCCCGAGCCCTGCCCTCAGGCCCGGGGGAAGGGTGGCTGCTGCCCTCAGTGCCAGGATCGTTGTCGGGGTCCAGGCTGCCTGCCTACTGGGGCTGCGGCCCTGCGGGGTCTGCCGTGCCTGGAGGGCTGCAGGCTCGGCCCACTGGGTGCAGACGCCCTGCTTCAGCCAGACATGAGTACAGCCTCCGATCCAGGCAAGAGACTTGGGTCGTAGTCTGGAGACCGCCTGGTCATGGCCGTGCCCCCTCCCCCTGGTCTCCTCATCCGTGGTTTAAGTGCAAGGAAGCTCTGTGTGCTGCACAGGCGTGGCTGCTCTGAGCTCCAGGCCCTGCTATGTCCTCTCAGGCTCCAACCCTGCTGGACATGGATCTTCTTTCTCTCTCCTTGTTTTAAATCTGTGTTACTTGTTTGAAGGTAATTGGTTGATTCCCCAGGTGGCAGAAGATGGGAACCTGGAACTCCATCCTGGTCTCCCATGTGGGCGTTGGGGCCCAGGCGCTTGGCTGTCCTCCACTGCTCTCCCAAGTGCATTAGCAGGGAGCTGGATCGGAAGCAAAGCAGATGGGCCTCGGGCGCTGCAGGTGGCAGCTTGCCGTGCTGCACTAGCCACTTGTCTTCCTGCGACACCTGTGCTGCATCTCCCTCAGGTGATCTCTCTGGCCACCTCCTTGCGTACCTGAGCCTCAGCCCTATGTTTGTCATCACTGGCTTCGTGACCCTCATCATATTTAAGCGGGAACTGCACACTGTGAGTTTGGCCCTGCCCCCAGGCCCCATCCCCTCCACACCGCCTGCCTTGGATGTGGCAGCCTCCCTGGCTGGCTCACTGGTCAGGCTGCAAGAGCCACTTGGAGGTCCTGGGCCTCAGGCCTGGGTGGCAGCTGGCAGGTCCCCAGGGCCCCAGCTAAAGTGCCCACCCTCCCCTGCAGATCTCCTTCCTCGGGGGCCTAGCACTGAACGAGGGGGTCAACTGGCTGATCAAACACATCGTCCAGGAGCCTCGGCCCTGTGGAGGTAGGGCCCAGGCTGGAGGGCCTGGTGGGGTCCCTGGCGGGGCATGTCCCCCGTGACGCTCTGCTCTGCCCTCTCCTCCAGGTCCCCATACAGCTGTGGGCACCAAGTACGGGATGCCTTCCAGTCACTCACAGTTCATGTGGTTCTTCTCCGTCTACTCTTTCCTTTTCCTGTACCTGAGGTGAGTGTCTGCCCTGATGCGGGGGGGGCTGGGGGCTCCCTGCCCACCCTGTGAGCCTCTGCAGGGGCCCCAGGGCCATGCAGACAGCCTGGGCTGCAGGCTGAGGCAACCCTGGGGCTTGGCCTCTTTCCCAGGATGCACCAGACAAACAATGCCAGGTTCCTAGACCTGCTGTGGAGGCACCTGCTCTCGCTGGGGCTCCTCACCGCAGCCTTCCTTGTCTCCTACAGCAGGTAAGGAGGGAGGGCGGGAGATGGGCTCCCCACACGTGGGCTCCCGTGGGCTCCTGGTCCCTGTTGGACATGCCCACGGACCCTCGTCCTGGAGCCTGGAGGCAGGCCTCACTGCAAAAGGGGCGGGATTCCAGCAGTGCCTCTAGCTGGTTCTAGTGGGACCCCTGGTCTGCTCCCAGCGTCCTGTGGGAACCCCTTGCAAGCAGACCCAGGTCCAGGGCTAGGTGGGTGAGGGCAGACAGCAGTCGAGTCTTCTCTTCACTCCTGGAGCTGCCCTCAGGGTCCTTGCTGGCTTCTAGAAGTTAGTCTGAGGCCAAATCCTGGGAGTCTGCACTACCCGCAATTCTCCATCTCAGTGGGGGCATGCCCAGGGCCCTAAGCAACGGGCACGGGGCCCTGGGACTGCGCGGGTCAGGCCCTGGCTAGTGGGCAGTGGGCACGGGGCCCTGGGACTGCGCGGGTCAGGCCCTGGCTAGTGGGCAGTGGGCACGGGGCCCTGGGACTGTGTGGGTCAGGCCCTGGATAGCAAGCACAAGACTGCACGGGTCAGGCCTTGGCTAGTGGGCAGTGGGCACTGGGCCCCAGTTGCCGCTCACCAGCTTCTCTCCTGGCCTTGACCCAGGGTCTACCTGTTGTACCACACGTGGAGCCAGGTGCTGTACGGGGGCATCGCTGGAAGTCTCATGGCTGTCGCCTGGTTTATCTTCACCCAGGAGGTCCTCACCCCGTTGTTCCCCAGGATAGCAGCCTGGTAATCACCTTCCTGAGCATCCCAGGCGCTCGGAGCTTGATGGGAGAACCTGTGTACCCTGACCTAGCACAGACTCACTGACGGGGCCCACTGTCTTGGGATAGGGCTTGGAGTGGGCTGGCTTCCACATCCCCCAGGGCCTTGCAGTCCCAGATGCCCCAGGGCCCTCCTATGTCCTGGCGGCGGGAGCTGTGGGCGGTGCCCTGCTGGGAGGAGCAGCACTGGTGGAGGCTCATGCCCTGACCGGCTGGGCTGCCTGGGGTTCTGTCTCTCCAGGCCCATCTCCGAGTTCTTCCTCATCCGAGACACGAGCCTCATTCCCAATGTGCTCTGGTTTGAGTACACGGTGACTCGGGCAGAAGCGAGGTGAGTTCTGGGGAATGGTGATGCCCAGGGTGGCTGCCAGGCTGCCATCAGCAGAGCCCACTGTGGGCCAGCTCATGTGGCCCCACTTGATGAGGGCACCAACTAAGGCTCAGCACCGAGTACTTACTGGCCTGCCCTCCTTGGCCTTGGGGGCAGGGGATGTTTCTGACCTTTGACCTTCTGTGTCTGGAGCCCAAGGGCTGGGTCCTGGGTGTCTAGGGCACCTTGGGGTGGATGGGTTTAGATACATTCTTATCAACAGGTAAACCTCACACACAAGCCAGGAAACAATGGGGCTTGAGGCCTCCTGATTCACTCTCTCTGCATCCTGCAGGGTAGGGCAGGTCCTCCTTGGGGCCCTGGGGTACTAGGGGGCCCTAGAGGCTTCTGAGCAGTTAGAGCAAGGCCTCCTGACAACCCTGCTTCAGGCCATAGCCTGCAAACCCTGAGGGTGATGAGCCCAGGGCCAAGTGGAACCGCCTGTCAGTGACCCCCGACATAGCTGGTCCTGATCAGCACCCCCAGACCTGCCTTTGTGTACCTGAATCTCAGTGGGCACCTGTGTGTGCCTGGGGTGAGTCAGCCACAGCCCTAGCTGGCAGCAGAGCCACAACAGCCACCCCCACTCCACACCCCATCCACTCTGCACCCCTATGACTGGTGTCATAGAGCCAGGCTCACAGCCACTTGTGGGGGTGGGATGACCAGAGTTGGGCACCCCCCCACACACACTCAGGCCTGTGGAGCTTCAGAGAAGTGTTTGAACCCCTTGGGTTCCTGGGCCTGCTGTGGGTGTGGCAGGAGTTCAGGGCTGTGTCCAGCCCGAGCCTGACCCTGGCCGTGGGCCCTGCCGACCCTCCCCAGGCCTGGCACTATCAGGCTGGCATTTTCCCATTTCCTTGCGTCTGTGGGTGGAGATGGGACAGGGAACAGCTGTGGGATGACCCCCTGGGTCCCTGCTGTCTCCATACCTGAGCCCCATTCGCTTTTCCAGGAACAGACAGCGCAAGCTAGGGACGAAGCTACAGTGAGCAGCGGGCACCTCTAGGCCCGGTCTGCAGCTCTGGCCTGTGGCGCGCCTCGTGGGACGGAGACGATGGCCCGAGATGAGAACACGGACAGGCGGGATGCCGGGCAGAGGGATGAAGCTGAGACCTCGACAGACCCCGTCACCAAGTGGAGCCTTTTTTTTTTCTTACTTTAATTTGGATGAACAAGATGGACCAAAGGGCCGAGTCAGCCCCTCGCCAGGACCCTGGAGTTGCTGCTCCTGCACTGCCGCCCGCCCCTGGCTGGCTGGGCAGTGCCCTTGGTGTGGACGCCAGTGTGGGGCAGAGGATGAGAACTCTTGCCTCTGCTCTCAGGCCAGGGATGTGAGGTGGCGTGATGACGTGAGCACCTGCTATTTATTTTTCTGTTTTCTCCAAGGCCAGTGGGATTTTGGAGATTGGCCTGGAAGGGGCCTGTTCAGTGTGCAGTAGGGCCCCCCAGTGTCCTGGGCACCTTGCTTCTAAGCCCTGAGGGTGCAGCCTGCCCTGTCCTGGGCCTCAGGGTGCCTGGGTGGGGTGGGGCAGGAGGAGGGAGCACCCCAGCCTTCCCTCCCACCATGGCCATTCCAGAACCTTGTGCAGTGTTTCTTTGTCTGGGGATGGAGCCAGAGCGCGTGTGCTGTACCCTGCATGGACCCTATGCCACAAGGGCTTTCTCTGGTCCCCCATCCCTGTCCCTGTGACGACAACCCTTTTCTGACAAGTGAGCCCACGCGCGCAGGTGGGCAAGCTTCAGCTGTTTACAGCTCTCTGTCCTGCCTCTGGGGGGGCAGACACCTGCCGTCCCGTCCTCCTGCCCCTCCCCCATAGCCTGGTCTGGGGAAGGGGCTTCCTCAAGGGACCCCGTCCCTGCGTGGCTGTTGCCCCTTCTGGGTGGAGGTCCCTCTCTGCTGCTGAAGCACAATGTTCCGGTGCTTTCTTTTCCTATTTGTGGAAGACAACGTCCCAAAGCCGCTCCAGACGCCCGGCCAGGGGCTTCGCCCAGGGAAGGTAGGTCAGGACCCCCCCTTCTCCCCTGCCCTTCCCTGGTTATTTTTATTTTGTACTTTTTGCCTGAGACAAGCCAAGTGTGAGGTGGTTTGACTTAAGAAACATCAATGAAATTGTTTACTATCGTTTTCAAATAAACTCTCAAACTCGGAGAGCTTGAGCCCAAGCCTGAGAGGAGATTGTGGGATGGGCTGCAAGGAGGGCACGGTCAAGGCCACAGACCCAGGGGCTCTGGCCCCTGCAGTCCCACGCAGGGGCTCCCCACTGTTGTGGTGTGGCATAGTTCAGGCTGGCCTCATCCTGCCAGCACACTTTCTCCCCTACCAGCCAAGGCCCATCCTGGAGGTCTGGGCCCAGCCAGCCACTCATTTACCTTGCTTCTCCATGGCTCCTGCAGCGGGGGCGGGGGTGTGGGCTGCATGCTTCAGGGTGAGGCACAGTCAGGGCTGGGGGCTAACATGCTCTCTCTGCTCTCCATCACTGAGACACCCTCCCCCGGCTCCTGGGGCCCCCACATGTACCGCAGAAGCAGGTACTTGCCTGGAGTGGCCATGGCACCCTGACACGTACCTGGCACACCAGTTTTTCTGTTCTTAGACTGCCTTGCCAGTTCTCCCGTCTGCCGTGTTGGAGGCTGAGCAGATACACGGTGGGCATGGGTTGTGGCCTGGTCCTCCCTCCTGCTTTGTGGTCAGGACCTCCTGGCTCAGCTCTTCCCCGAAGGGCACAGGTGTTGTGTGTGTTGGTCCCTGCTCCGGTGTTAGCATCCTGGTGACCTGACCCTCTCAGACATGGCCGGGAAGTATGGGGTGGGGGGATAAATGTATCCTCCAGCCCTGAGCTTAGTTGCCTTGATGTCCAACCCACCAGTCCAGGGCCTGTGGGACTTGGGACAGCCCAAGGCAGGGCTGGCAGGGAGTTGCTGGTGAAGCGTGGAGCCTGGCTCTGACACCGTCCCGGGCCCTCAGATCCTGCCCCACTGAAGGCTCCTCCTTTGGGGAGCCCTGTTGTGGTAGAAGTCCAGGGTAATGTAGGGCAGGTGAGGTGGCTATCCGCTGGCAAAAACACTTTGCCATTCCTGTTGTACTTTTCCTTTTATTGTCACCTTGTTGCGGGGAGAGGGGGGCCTTTACAACCACATATACAGTTCGGGGTCCAGTGGAGTGCAAGCTGAGGCTGTGAGCCCTGTTGTCCAGAAGAGCAGGTGGCTCTGTGGGCATTGGTGGCAGCGCAGCCCTCCAGTGTGAGTCAGGGCCAGGCCTCGGGGTCCCCTTTACCAGGAAACCTCGTCTCCAACCCCTTGGGCCCCCTGGGCGCCTGCCTCCCCCCGACCTTCTCCCATCTGTGGGAGCTAAGCTGGTGGGGCACAAACCACAGCCCAACTGGCCAGCGTCAGCCCAGTCTGGGTCACGTTCCTAGGGAAGATCTGGGCGGGTGCCTGGGCCCGAGGTACTGTTCAACCTCTGAAGTTGGCCTCAGAAGCCAGGCCACAGCTGGTCCTGTGGAAGGCACTTGGCTTGGGCTCGCAGACCCCACCAGAGATGTCCTGAGCCGGCCCTGGCTTGGTCAGGCCTGGTGAGGGGTGTGGGGGGGTTGAGGTGTGGCGCTGGCAGCCTGAGCAGGGGTGCAGGGCTCAGAGCTTGGCACGGGGGTGCTGTTGTAGCAGTGCCCGCATGTCCAGCAGCGCTTTCTCCAGGTAGTGCGCCATGCGAGCCGCGTTGGTCTCCGCACAGCTGTTGTAGGCCGACACAGAGAAGTTGATGTGGGTCTCCATGGGGTTGTAGCAGACTCCGTAGCCATCTGGGACCACCGGCCCAAAGAACATGATACAGTCCGTCTTGGCAGGCACCTGGGGACAGCAGCATCAAAGCTTGTGCCCAGCACCCCTGGCCCCCAGTGCCCACTGCCAGCTCACTCTGTCCGTCTGCAGCAGAAGTCTCGCTCCCTGACCGCTCTAAGGTCACCTTCTCTGAGGAGCTTCCAAGACATGACCCGGGGGACCTTGCCTGTGAGCCACTGGGGACAGGGGACCCTGGCCTGTTCTTTTCTGCTTCCTAGTACCACCTGGCACAGTTCAGCATTCCAACTGAACCTGTCGCACCACTGAGGGAGGGGGCCAGGAGGGTGTGGATGTCTCCGCACACAGCTCCCTGGCAGTGCCCACCTGGCTGGTGGAGAGATTGAAGTGCATGGCAATGGCGTAGGAGGTGTCCATGAAGATGTCCGGCATGCTCACCAGGTCCTCGATGGCCTGCAGCTTCAAGCCCAGCAGGTGCCGGTCGAAGGCCTCCCCGCGGATGGCCTGCATGGAGGAGCAGGAGCTGGAGCCCTAGGCCTCACTTGTGTGGCATGGGTTCGGGGGCAGCACTGCCCTTCCCAGTCACAGGTCCCTGGAAACCATAGACCCTGGACAGCAGGAAGGGGAGCTGAAGGTCCAGGGAGGCGGGACGCCTTCCTGGCTGTGGGATTTGGCAGGTCCCTTGGCTGCTGCTGGTGGTGGCGGTGGGGAGATAGAAGCAGATGGGGTCTATGTGTAATGTGCACAGGGCACCTGGCTCCGATGGGCACCTGGGACGGCTCGCAGGGAGGGGTCCCTGGAGCTGCTGGTGGCCGGAAGCCAGCCTTTTGCAGGCATGTACACACCCTTGGCATCAGGCTGACCCAGGGCCGGAGCAGTCAGTGGGTCCAGCCTGAGTTTCTTCTGACTGAAATGGGAGTATTCAAACAATAAATATGGAAAAAAATTGTTAAAAATGCAATAAGCAGGGAGGTGCTCCACTGCTTGGCAGAGAGGGTGACTGGTCTAACGAAGTCACCATCTGCTGCAGGAAAGAGGACCGACCGGCAGGTGGGGGGCACTCACGCGGTCAGCGTAGGCTCGGTGTGCCTGGATGGCTTTCCGCAGCAGCTCCACCTTCTGGTGCTCCTGGGGACAGCAGGGTGACAGGAAGTTGGAACCCTCCCCAAGGGCGTGGCATGTCAGAAGTGTCCCACAGGCTCCTGCTCAGACACGGGCCTCTCACCGTCTCGCTGGGGTCATCCATGGCCTTGACAAAGGCTAGTGAGTCCATGGAGGCCGAGCGGATGGTGTCGGTGCGGCCCAGGTGGAACATGCGCAGGGAGGCGCTCTCGTAGGTGGCGCACACCTGCTTGTACATCCTAGGGGTCAGGGAGCCAGGGCTGAGTGTGACCCTGCTGGGTGTCACTCCCCTCAGGCCCTGCCCCCCTGCCTGGCACAGGAGGGCAGCGCACCGGAAGTAGGCCAGCTGCAGCGCCATCTGCACAAAGCCGTCAGGGCTCAGCTTCTGTGACTTGGGGAAGTCCTTCCCAAAGTGGTGGAACACCATGACGGTGATGTCCAGGTCCTGGATCATGCTGGGGGCGGGGAGAGAGGAGTGGGTGGGGTGCAGGCGCTAGCAGCCCAAGGGAGGCCCAGAGCGGTGTGTCAGCTCAGCGGTCTGGGGGGGGTTGAGGGGTGGGGACAGGAGGGTGGCCAGGGCCTTCTCACATGCTCAGGTTCTGTTTAGCCTTCTCGATGTCACTCTTGATCTCAGGGGTGATGTTGAACCGGAGCTTCTTGGGCATGGGCAGGGGAACCATGGGTGACCGCACCAGCTCTGGCTTCTTCCTGCAGGGGACAGAAGGGTCCCAAGCTTAGGTTGGGTCCCTCCTGGAGGTGGGGATGGGGGGTAAGGGTATTGCTCCCTGCAGTGGGTGAGGGCCCAGGGAGACTGAAAACAGCCTTCCCTCCAGCACTCAGCTGGCACCGTGTAGGAGGCCTGCAGAAGGCAGGGCACTGTCCAGGTCTTCAGGGCAGCTGGTCTGGACTCAGCATTTGAACCCAAAGTCTCCTGGGCACTAAAACTCTTGCCTTCAGCAGGCTTCCTCAGAAGAAACATTCCCCAGGCCAAAATCCAGTGGCAGCATTTTCCCCCACAAGCCAGGGGTATCACCTGGGAGACACCTGTCGCTCGGGGGTGGGAGAGGGCAGCCCCACTCACGTGAAGTCCATGACATAGTCCACGAGGGTGACAATGGGGGGCCCCTCCGCAGCCGCGTGCTCATACACAAGCCCACAGGAGCCGTCCTCTGCCACAATGAACTACGGGAGGGTGGGGGGAGCCCCATTAGCCCCAGGCAGAGAGCAGGGGACTGGGGAGGGTGGTGGCTCCTGTCTCAGCCACTCTTGTTGGGGACCAATGGAAGGGTCTCCCTGAAGCCGTCTCAGGAGTTTGCTGAGTTAGCTGTAGCCCTAACTCCGACACCTCCCGCCATAGAGCTGTTCCAAGTATGTGCTGCTTTGCTGAGCCTTCAACCCACTGTACTGGGCGACCCACTGCTACCCTCTTGCACAGGTGCAGGGAGGCTGGGTCCCAGGCCAGCTCTGATGGCCAGAAGCGTGTGTGTGTCAGGGTACCAGCAGCTCCTGAGTCTTGGAACAGGCTGGGAAATGATGGGGTATCTGCCCGGTGATTACGGCCGCGTCCAGCCTGCCGGCCGCTGCACGCCTGCTTTACAAGCGGTGGGGAGACCGGAGGATGCGAGGGCGGGGCAGGAGGCAGGCTCACCTGCAGCGTCTTGTCGAACCAGCGGTTGCCGCTGTTGAGCTTGCTGCCGCCCCCGTGCAGCATCTGCCCGGCCACGTGGTTGCGGTAGACGTCCTCTGAGACCCTGGGCACCGCGGCGTCCAGGCACACAGTGAAGATGCTGTTCTGGATGGAGCGCACGGACTCCCGGTTCACCTTGTCTGGGGTGGGCGGGGGGTGAAGTGGGGCTGAGCATCGGGGGTGGGGGGACCTGGAGGGAGTTCGCCCCTGGGAAGGGCAGCTCCCCACCCAGGGGCGTTGGGTGTGTGGAAAGTGAATCCCAGGGCTGTCCCGGAGGGGCTGCAAATGATTCCCCCTGGCCAGCAGAGGACTTGGCTGCTTGGGGCCCCATGGTGGGGGGAGTGGAGGCAGGGTAGGCTTCTGAGACAGAGAACCCCGGTTGCCAGCACCTTTGATGAGGGTGTTGTAGGCCTTGGCCCAAGAGTTGCGGTGGTTGGAGGTAAGGATGCCCACGGGCTCCTTGTTGGTCTGCAGGGAGGAGTTCCAGATCTTCTCCAGCTGCACGAACAGCTGATCTGAGGTGAGGGGCGTGCCGTCGCTGTGGTAGACGTCCAGCTCGAAGAACTGCCAGGCACAGGCAGGAGAGGGGTGGACTGGGTGCAGGCGTCTGACCTGAGCAGCTATCATCCCCTAGCACCCCCTTTCTGCACTCGTCTGGGCCGGTTCCCCCCTCTACCCTCCAGACAGCTACCTAGGACATGGAAGTGGGCAGGGGCTCCCTCAGCAGCACGCCCACCCTGCGGGGTGGGAGTTTGCAGCCCTGCAGCCCCGCAGCCACCGCAGCCACCACAGCCACCACAGCCACCACAGCCCCACAGCCCCACAGCCCCGCAGCCTGCAGCCACCACAGCCCCACAGCCCTGCAGCCACCGCAGCCCCACAGCCACCACAGCCCCGCAGCCTGCAGCCACCGCAGCCCTGCAGCCACCACAGCCCTGCAGCCCTGCAGCCTGCAGCCACCACAGCCCCACAGCCCTGCAGCCACCGCAGTCCCGCAGCCTGCAGCCACCGCAGCCCTGCAGCCTGCAGCCACCACAACCCCGCAGCCCTGCAGCCACGGCAGTCCCGCAGCCACTGTAGCAGCATGCCCACCTGGTAGTTGTGCACCACCGTGATGTGCATGGGTGGCTTCTTGGTCTTGAGGAGGTTGATGACTGAGTCCTGCTTGGGGCCTGGCACCCGGCACGAGGATAGGATCTGGTAGTACTGGTTCATGCATAGCGGCTTGCCCCCGAGGTACTCCACGGGCAGGGTCTCGCTGCAGGGCAGAGGGCCGGGGTTCACAGAGGGGTTTGGGGGGTGGTTAAGTAGCATGAGCTCCCCATGCCCTGTTGCTTCTGGGCCACTTGGGAACTCCCTCCCTTCCCCTCTGGGGGTGGGGGAGCAGCGAGCAGTGGGAGTGAGGCATCCATGAGGTTGCTGAGTTCAGGAGGGACAATGCCAGCCAGGAGGAGGAGGCCATGACCAGCAGCGCTCCTGGCAGGAAATGAAAGTGACTGAGCCTGCACGGGTCAGCAGAGTCTATGGGAGGAGGCCTGGGTGGGGGCCGGGCTGCTCACTTGTCAATCATGGTCTTGAAATCCAATACACCCTCGATGAGCTTGGCAGCGAATCTGGAGAGATGGATTAGGGATTAGAAGCTGTGTGGACATCTGAGGCAGGCTCAGGGACACGGCATACCTGCTGGGCCTGAGGCAAGGCAGGGACTGCTTGGGTGCCCTCTGGGCTCAAATCACAGCATGAACCATGAAGTGACCAGCAGGGCTGAGGGTAGGGTGGAGGTGTCTCAGTTCACAGGGCAGCCTCAATGGGGTTGGTACCACCTGAGCAGTGACTCATGGGGTCTGCTCCATGAGGGTCCCTCCCCCAATTCCTGGGCCTCCCCTCTGCTGCTCTGGCTGACTGACACCCACCCTCTGTGCTGCCCTGGCCCTTTAAGACAAGCAGGTGTCAGCACGAGAGGCTGCTCCTTGGGCCGGAGATCCCTTCTCTTCCCCTGGTATTTTTATCTCCCAGGGTGGTTGAGGCTGCCAAATGTGGAAAAGGGAACTATGTATAAAGGTCATGTTCATGGACAACCGAAGGGAGCAGAAGGGAAGGAGGCAAAGCTTGGGTAGGGACTCCTGGAGCCTCGCGCCACTCACCGTAGCTGGCCCTGTAGGTCCACGAAGTCCTGTTTAGGTAACATCACGCCCGGGCTGGAGTAGACGACCACAGGCTGGCGGTACTGCAGGTAGGCCGACTTGAGCCACCACTCAGACAGCTGTGAGGACCAGAGCCCGTCAGGACCCTGCCGAGCCCCGCCCTCCCGAGTCCTCCAGTGTGGGCTGTGCTACACCGATGTTTGCAGCCACCAAGCCTGCTCTACCCCCACCCCTTGTCCCCCTGTCCCCCAGGCCCAAGCTGCTGGAGGCAGAGAACACACAGCCCAAGAGAAGATTCCAGAGAAAAGCTTGGTAGAAAACCTGGGGTGGGGGGCAGGGAGAAGTGGAGGTGAGCATGTGCCTCGCATGTGTTCCTGCAGGAATTGGGAAGGCACTGATTGAGGGATGTGTGCCTGGAGACAGAGGTGAGGGCAAGAAATCTACCGCCGAGCCCAGAGAATGTGGTTCTGGCCTTATCCCCAAGAGCAGACAGGGGAGCTGGTGGCATGGTGGCCATGGGACCCCTGTCCTTCTCCGTCAGACCCAGTGGACACCTGCTTGGATCAAGGTCACCCTGAGGGCAAACTCACTGCCAGGCTAGTTCCCTGCTCATGCCACAGGCAGGCAGGATATCTCTTCAGGGGACTGGACTCTGTGTTCAGCAGCTCCGACCTGGGGCTGTGCACACTCCCAGGGACCCCTCCCTGGCATAGACGCTCCCCTGCCTCCAGTGGCCCTCACATCCTCCTGAGCCTGGAGGGGGCCTGTGCTGCCCGTGGTACTCTCTCACCCATGGCAGTCAGCAGCAGGATGTACCTTCTCCCTGTGCCTCCCCTACAGGCGCCAGGGTCTGGTGGCACCTGGCCACTTGCCCCGGGCCCTTGGCAAGGGCTGAGACAAGCAGCTGGGAGCAGGTTGTATAGCAGGTGACTCGGGTCTGCTGACTCATGGTCTGAGCACTGGGCCTCCTGCAGCGCCACTGAGCTCTCAACCTGCCTCTCAGGCCCTCAGTTTACCCACTGGGAGATGAGGGAGGGGCAGACAGGTGCCCCCTCCCCTCAGGTTCACAGCCAGGGACCTGCACTCCACTAAGGCATCTCCAAGGCTTTCCTGGAGCTCCAAAGGCCAGTGGGGAGCCTGTGGGTGTGGGAGGTCCCCCCACTTCCCCAAAGAGGGACAGAGCTGCTCAGAGCCTGTGCGTGGAGCTAGGAGACTTACACCTCCAGCAAGAAGCTCTTGGGTGAAGGAGCCCACAAAGAATAAAGATGGGGACCTTCAGAATCTGCACTGGCTTCCTGCATCTCAGGGCCTGTGAGTGGCAGTGCCTCCCACCTGTCATGGGCAATCCCACCAGCCCAAGCCCTAGGGTCACAGCTGCACCTGTAATACTCCAGGGCCCCCTCCCAACTCCCAGCACTTCAGAGAGCCACTGCCAGCCCAGCAAGCTAGCTTCACCCTTGGCACCCATCCCCTGCAGCTGTTTCAGACCAGGATGCACGACCCTCCTCCTGCCCTGGGCCCGCTGTCACCACTGGCATTGCCTATGAAATAATCTTCCACCTAGCGCCTTCCCCACTCCCTGCTGGTGCCAGGCCCCGGCTGCCAGCACGAGCCTCCCCATCCCCTCTAGCTGCCCCCACCTTCCTCCATGCCAGCAGCGCAGGCTGGCTGCTCTTATCTTGGTGTGAAGGTGTCAGACGCATGGGTTACAGTAGCAGTCAGGGCTGTCATTTGGTCTGGCCTCGCCAAGGCAGCCCCTGCAGGTGGGATCAAAGTCAGTCTGTAGCTGGCTACTTTGTAAGTTGATGCTTTTGTAGGGCCTGCTCCTGGATGATGGTATAAGCGCGCGGAACAGCCTTGGCATCCACACACAAGCCTCCCCATTCCTCCTGGGACACAAAAGCACCCATTTTGCAATGTGAGTCACAGACTGGAGGGCAGCAGGACACCCAGTCACCAAGCTTGACCTAAAGCCATCCCTCCAAGTTCATGTGCAGGTTCTTGCTAGTTGTCCCTGCACTTGTACTGCACCCTAGCCTCTGTCCCATGTTAGTGCAGGCCAGTGCCACCTCTGCCCCCTCCTCGTTGGCCTCCTGCGCACCATAAACAGCTTCTGCCTCTTAGCCCACCAGCCTCTCACACTCCACTGCCTGGTATGACCTCGCCCGCCAACTCATTCCCTGCTCGAAACCCTCCCCCTCCTTCCTGTGACACATGCCCCCAGGGGCTGGTAGATCGTGTCCTTCTTGCCTACCCTGCACCCTACTGAGTGCCATGCAGGATAAGTGCCCAAGAAATGGGTGCAACAAGAAAACCGAATGTCCCAGCAGTTGGTACCAGAAAATGCACCCTCCCTGTCCTGGTCTCCATACTCACCCAGTTCTCCATCTTCCTGGCCCTGCGTTCCAGGCCCTTCTGCAGGCGTTCACCCACGCCCCCTGAGGTCTGGAACTCCTCCACCAGCTGCTTGGTCTGGACCCATTCCTCCTCGCTCACAATGGGCTGCAGTGCCTTGAGGTAGTGGTCCAGAGACTGCTGGAGTGGGGGCACGGGCAGCCGGGGCAGTGCATCCTGGTGTGCCTTGAAGCGCCCGGAAACCTTCATCAAAGAGGAGGGCTTTAGGAGGCCCAGGGGCTTCACCTGCAGGCAACACAACACCTTGTTCATTCTCTCCACAGCTCTGGGAGCCGGAGAGCGGCAGGTCTTATGTACCCCATCCCCGGGGTAGAGACGGCCTCCTGCGGGAGGCGCCTGCCCAGGCTTCTCAGCGCTGGAGCCGGAGGTGGCCCCGCCCTCCAGGGGCCTGGCAGTGCAGGTAGGGATGGGGGGTGGGGAGAGCATAGGGTGTGGCCATTGATATGGGCAGGGCTAGAGGAGCCAGGCCAAGGTGAATGCACTTGTCGGGTGGGGGAGGGCTGTGTCCCTCCCACCTGTGTGGGTGCCCAGCCCCACTTTTCACCGGCAGAGGTGACTGTGCCCAGGCCCCCACCTCCTCGTCGCCTGAAAACCTTTCCAGGTTGAGAAATCAAGGGAAGGAGAGGAACTCGGGGAGTCAGCCTGTGGCCCCACCTGTGGGCAGGGCCAAGGCCTTGGGGCTTTCTCTTGCTTGTGGGGTGAGGCTGGAAGGGTGTGGGGGGTACAGTGGAGGTGGCTGCGGCCAGAGACGGTGAGGGGAAACTGAGAGACAAAATGGGAGACCGGAGGTGACAGAAGGTGAGGAATGACAGGAGGGCTCCAGAGTGTTGGCAGAGCGGGCAGGAAAGCAGCCAGAAGCTCCGTTCCATACCTGCTCGCTCTGCTGCCCGTCCTCCATGGCAGCCCCAAGGTTCTGAGCCCTGTCTGCCTGTCTCAGCTGCGTCTAACTGAGCAGGACACAGCAAGAAGCAATCCCTTGCCTGGGCTGCAACAGGACGACAAGGGTCAAGATTCAGGCGGGGGCTGGGGGCTACGCGCCACCCTCCCCAGCTTCCAGGAGCAGAGGAACAGAGGTGCGGGCAGGGGACTGGCGGTGGGCTCCCCAGTCGGAGGAAACCTGGACAGACTTCCCCAGGTGGGCGCAGTGCCAGGAAGGCAGGCCAAGAGCTATTAAAAATTCCACCTGCCCAAATTGGCGGAGATCTTTTTGATGTGGGAAAGCTTGGCTGGAGGGCAGACAGTAGCTGGTGCTGAGGTTACAAACGCAGTCCTGGAATCGGGCTTAGTGTGGGGAGCAGGCACCTGCAAAGGCCGCCAGTGGACAGCGGTCGCCCGTGCCCTGCCCACCCCGTGGCCCCCCTGCAGGATGCCACCCTGCTCCCCAAGCCTCATTCTTCTCAGCTGTGCCTCCGAGAGCTGGGGCCAAGGGTGGAGGGCTTGAGGTCTCGACCAGAAGCCAGAGTTCAGAGGATGGAGGACTGGGCTGATCTGGTTGGCGGCAGTAGGGGGCTATCTGGCCATTGGGTCAGTTTGTGGTCCTGGAGGACTTAGAAGCCGTCTGTGGGTCTGTGGGAGGGACGGGACAAGGCTTTTGGCCAGCAGGAGCAAAGAGGTGGGGCGGCCCCAGGTGTTGGGACACCTGTGAGATGCACCTGCAGCTTGCTGAGCCAGCCAGGCACCAGCAGGGCTGTGCCTGGGTCACAGGAACTGAACCTGAACAGGACAGCTGCCCGAGCAGGGACTGGGGCTGCCACCTGCTGCCTCCAGCCACTCCCCAGCACTGTCCCCACGTGACACGGGTCCCCCAGCCACTCACGCATCCCCGGGAAGGGAGAGGGGGCCAACTGACAAACCCAAAGAGGCTGAGCAACTGGAGAGGGTGCAACCCGCCGGCCGGGGCCGCCACGGGGGTGACTCAGAATAACCAGGGACGCTCCGGGTCACAGTGCCCGCCCCGGTGGAGGGGCGTGGGCGTGCTAGGGGGTGCCCACTAAAGCTCACGTCCCCGCTGTCTTTTCCGGATCGTTGGAACTGCGCGTCCCCAGGACGCGAGTTCGATAAGGGACCCCTGACCTTGCGCCCCAGGCGGGAGGAAGCCACTCGCCAACCCCATCCAGGTCACAGGTCGCCCGCGCCGCTGCCAGGCCCGCGCCCCAGCGGGGCAGCCCGCCCGTCCGCCCAAGGGCCCTGCAGGCCGGGCTCCGGCCGTACTCACCATGGTCCTGGCGGCAAAGGCTAACATCTTTGCAGTCGGTCCGCCTGCAGAGCCGCAGGCCGCTCCGCCCCCTGAACTGGGCAAAGTCCGCGTGGCCGCTGTGGCCGGTGGGTCCCGCCGCTAGAGTCACAGGTCCAAGGTCGCCGAGTCACCGCCACCAACCGGTAGAGGCGGCCCCGCGCCCACCCACCGGGCCGGTCGGGCGGCGGGCGCACCGCCCGGGGTGGAGGACACCGGGGCGGGGCTTCGGTCGCGCAGCCCCGGGGCGGCTAGCCGGGAGCCCGGGGCGGGGCCGGAGCGGGCGGGGGCGGGGCCATGGCGGGCGGGGCGGGGCCAACAGCTCGCTCGGGGCGGGGCCGCGGCGGGCGGGGCGGGGCCATGACGAACGGGGCGGGTCACGCAGCGGTTTCGGGGCGGGGCCAGGCGGGCGGGCCAAGCGGGCGGGGTGGGAACCAGAGCTGTCAGCGAGCGGCTGACCGAGTGGGGCGCTGGGGTGCAGGGGCGCGGGGCTAGGGGTTAGAGGGAGGTCCTTGGAGGCGGTGATGTGCATCTTCCTAGTTAAGTGGTAGGAAGTCAAATGATGACGGGAATGTATGCTTAATCATTTTATGGTTAAGATGACAAGGCAGGACTGACTCGTAGAAACACGGCTACTGTCCCTACAAACCCCCCCCCCCACACACACACAAACTTGACGCCCCTCTCAGGTATGGCCGCCGGGCGGGTATGGCCAGTACGGGCGCGAAGCGGGCCGGCTGCTGGTGCGCATGCTCCCCGGGCGCACCAACATGGCGGCCGCCGGGAGTCGGCGCGCCGGGCGCGAGCCGGCCGTTGGTGGGCATGCTCCCTGAGCGCCCAGTGCCGGCATGGCGGCAGTGTGGCTGGGGTGACTTTAAGTCGTGATCTTTCGGTTATAGACGGCCGGCGCTCACTTCTCTTGAGAAAGCTGGGAGCCCGCGGCAGACTCGGGGAGAAGAAGAGTGGGTGCGGGGTGAACGCTTAGAGAGGGACTGCGGGCGTCCGGGCCGGCTCCCAGGAAGATGGCTGAGGGCGAGCGGCAGCCGCCGCCAGGTAAGGGAGGGCCGGCGGGGCCAGGCCGGGCTGCGGGGAGGGATGACGGGATGAGGGCGCCGGAGGCCCGGGGTCCGGAGATGGAGCAAGTCGGGGGGCGGCGGTTGAAGGGATGGGCTCGTGAGGAGAGCAAACCTGGAAGGGCCCTAAGGCGGAGCTGGCAGGAGGACGCGGGGCCTCAGAGGGGTGGTGGGTGGGGTGCGACAAGCGGGGTTCGGGGAGCCCCGAGGGGTACGTTCTCCGCACCTGGGGCCGGCCGTGCCCCCCTTTTCCCTGGCCTGGCAGAAAAGTTGCCCGAAGTGCCCGGTGGCTGCCCCCCTTAGAGCCGCTCGGGGGGTACTGGGGCCAGTGGTGCCCGCCTCGCCCAGTGCTCGCTCCCGCGCCCCCGCATCAGCCCCCACACCCCCCATGTCAGAGGTGGAGAATTTACGAAGAGAAACTTGTCGGTGTGCAAACCACTAATTTAGAAAGATTTGGTTGGGCAAGATGAGAGAGCACCCCTGTTATATAGGCATCATTGCCCATAACTCGTTATTGACACTGGGGCCTCTTAGGGGTTCCTCTCTGGAGCCGGGGTGCAGCAGAGGGAGGCGAAGGCCGTCTGCTGGCCTCTGGAGCCGAGTACTAGCTGGCCATGGAGAACCAGCTGCAGACACGGTCCGGAAACGGAGACGGGCTGGCAGAAAGCTACTGGCAGACTCCCCAGTTTTGAAAATCAGAAAGGGGCATCCCTTTCCTTATCCCCTTCCCCACCAAAAAACAGATGCAGGAAGAGCTGGATCGGCTCTGTGCTGAACCCCCCGGGACAGGTGCCCCAGGAAGTTCTGGTGGTGGTGTGGGAGAGCCGAGCGAGGGGCAGCCAGCACTGAGAGGGACAGCAGCCCGTTTCTGAAGGAGTAGGGGCAGCAGGGAGGGAGGCAGGGCCTTGCATGCCACAAGGACTTTCTGGGACAAGATTCCCTGCACCAGGGAAAGTTTGGGCTTTTGGGGTTACATGGACCTGACTGCCTGGCAAGTCCTGTGAGCCTCAGCAGCAGGGTGGGGCTAGCCTGCTTCACAAAGGGCAGGCCATGGGCTAGGAGACCTCTGTGGGGGATTGGGGGTCCACTGCCTCGTGACAGCTTTATCAGGGAGAGACTGTGGGGTCGAGGGTGGGGTGGGGAGGGCACACAGGTGGCTTTGTCCTGCGGTTGAGGCGCGGGTGCTTGTCTTGGGCACCTGTGTGTGCTTCGTGCGATGGCGTCCCTCCAGCCAACGGGCATTGCTGTCTGGACGGCCAGCTGTGGTGGGCAAGGGGCCATTCCCGCCCTGGGCAGAGGCCTGTGTTCCCAAATATCATTTGAAGTTGATTGGGATGTGGGGGCGTTTTCCCATCCATAGCCATGTGGTCGGGCTGCCAGCCGGCCCCCTAGGCCTTTATGGTTGGGATCTTACTGAAGTCGCAGTTTACTAACAAGGCCCTTAATGCTGGGCCCTGGGAGCCAGGCTGGCCGGCCAGGTAGGAGGGGCCCGCTGTGAGTGCACGAGGCAGAGGCACACCTGGCTCTTGTCCAGACTCTGCTGTCTTCCTCAGGTGCCAGCCCTCCTGGTACTTTTCCTTTCTTGAAGACCTCTCTGGAACTCTAGATGTCACATGTTCCAGAACCTTCTTAAGTTGCTGTCTCATTTTCTCCCCATGCCCTCAGAGTCATGTAGATTTTAGGGAGGAGGCAGTAGGATGCGTGCACAGTGTTTAATGGGCCATCAGTCTTCCTTGGAGCCTGCCTCTGAGAAGGGACTGAGTCTTGACCCACCACCCTTCACCCTGCCTGTGCAGAAGCCAGGGCCCAGCCGGGCTTAGGGATACAGTCTTTCACGCGCCCCCAAACAAAACAAAGTTTACCTGAACTGTGCATGCGCCCTCACTGAGGGAGGAGGTGTGTGCACTCATGGCAGTGGGTTTGTGTTTGTAATCAGCTTGCTGCAAACACTGAGTTTGCAGAGCACCAGGCTGTTGGGGTATGATGGAGGCGGTGGCAGGTTCTGTTCCCAGCATCCCAGAAGGAAGCGTGTCTTTCTGGGCTGTGTGCTGGCGGAGGGGGAAGGGACTAGAGAGAGAGATGGATCATCTGTCCGCTGGGTCATGCCAGGCCCGGGCCAGGCAGGAGGCAGGAGCTCAGACTGGGGCCCTGACATGGAACGCTGGGGTGCAGGTGGCAGCCTGCCCTGTTGCACCAGTAAGTCCGGTGTCCAGTGGGGCCCCTGTTGGCACTGATGGGACGGCGTCTCCAGGTCATCGTGGTGACCTGCAGCGTTTTCCTTTGCCTTCACCCCTGGAAAATATGGAAACTCCACTTAAAATTGGGGCTTCATTCAGGACTACTAAAGTAATAGATCCTTGGGTTTTTTTTTTTTTTTTTTTAATTTTGATTGCAAAGTCAGATATACAGAGAGGAGGAGAGACAGAGAGGAAGATCTTCCATCCAATGATTCACCCCCAAGTGAGCGCAACGGCCGGTGCTACGCTGATCTGAAGCCAGAAGCCAGGAGCTTCTTCCAGGTCTCCTACGTGGGTGCAGGGTCCCAAGGCTTTGGGATGTCCTTGACTGCTTTCCCAGGCCACAAGCAGGGAGCTGGATGGGAAGTGGAGCCGCCGGGATTAGAAGCAGCACCCATACAGGATCCCGGCGTTTTCAAGGCAAGGACTTTAGCCACTAGGCCACACCGCTGGATCCAGACCCTTGTTTTAAAAAGTAATATGTAGGGGGCCCGGCGCGGTGGCACAAGTGGTTAAAGGTCCTCACCTTGCCGCCCGGGATCCCATATGGGCGCCGGTTCTAATCCCGGCAGCCCCGCTTCCCTTCCAGCTCCCTGCCTGTGGCCTGGGAAAGCAGCAGAGGACGGCCCAAAGCTTTGGGAACCTGCACCCGCGTGGGAGACCCGGAAGAGGCTCCTGGCTTCGGCTCGGCATAGTATCGGCCCGTTGCGCTCACTTGGGGAGTGAATCATCGGACGGAAGATCTTCCTCTCTGTCTCTCCTCTCTGTATATCTGCCTTTCCAATGAAAAAATAATAAAAATAAATCTTTAAAAAAAAAAAAAAAAAAAAGTAATATGTAGGGCCCAGTGCAATGGCTCCCCTTGCACATGCCAGGATTGCATATGAGCTCGTTCATGTCCCAGTGGGGCGCAATAGCCTAGTGGCTAAATCCTTGCCTTGTAAGCACCGGGATCCCAAATAGGCCCTGGTTTGTGTCCCAGCTGCTCTACTTCCCATCCAGCTCCCTGCTTGTAGCCTGGGAAAGTAGTGGAGGTTGGCCCAAAGTCTTGGGACCCTGCACCATGTGGGAGATCCGCAAAAAGCTCCTGGCTCTTGGCTTTGGATTGGCTCAGCTGCAGCCATTGTGGTCACTTGGGGAGTGAACAGATAGGAGATCTCTCTGTCTCTCCTCTGTATTATCTGCCTTTCCAATAAAGATAAATGAATCTAGGAGGGAAAAAAAGTAATATGTAACATGGAGGTTATTTTTCCAGCGCACATATTACTTTGTGTGTGGTTTAGATTAAGATATATCCTGTAAATCTGAATTTCCAAATGTCTGTAAGAACAGCCTCTGACCGGGGCCTCCCCGGACTTGCGGCTTGGCTCCTCCTGGGGTCAGCATGGGTGGGACAGGGGAGCCCAGAGCCACCCCCGGAGCAGGCCCTTGGAGGGGACACAGGGGCCGGGCAGAATGTCAGCTCTGCAGTGTTTGCCTGGAAGGGTAGTGCTCCTTTGTGCCCTTAGAGCTGCTGCCAGCTGAACCCCCTGGCAGCAGGACACAGCCCAGCTCCGTGTCACGGCAGCACACAGAGGCTTTTACTTTATTTTTAAAATCATAGTAAAAAAGTTAGAGTAAGCAGAGCTAGAGGGAGAGGCAGAGATCTCTCACGCACTGGTTAACATCCGAGATGGCTGTGCCAGCCGGACCTGGCCACGCTGCAGCCGGGAGCTTCCCCTGGGTGTCCAAAACCTGGGTGTCTTGCACTGCCTTCCCAGGCATTTGCGGGGAGCTGGGTTGGAAGTGTAACAGCCTGACCTGAGCCAGCGCCGTATGGGATGCCAGCGTCATGGATGCCTACCTGTGGGCAGTGGCCTCCCCTGCAACGCCACAGATACTTTTAGTCTACCAGCTTCACCCATGGAAGAAGTTGCTCAGAATGTATACAACTTTTGATTTTTATCAGGTTTGTGATTTTTTAAAATTAATTTTGTTTAAGGTGATGTTAACATAGTTGATAGGTGATTTTGTAAAATATTTATTTAATTTTATTGGAAAGTCAGATTTACAGAGAGAAAGACAGAAAGATCTTCCATCTGCTGGTTCACTCCTCAAGGGGCCACAATGGCTAGAACTGAGCTGATCCAAAGCCAGGAGCCAGGTGCTTCTTCCAGGTCTCCCACGTGGGCACAGGTGCCCCAGACTTTGAACCCTCCTCTTATACTTTCCAGGCCACAAGTGGAAAGTGGGATAGGAAGTGGAGCAGCTGGCGTATGAACTAGCACTCATTTGGGTTCCTGGTACATTCAAGGCAAGCACTTTAGCTGCTAGTCTACTGTGCTAGGCCCAGGTTCCTCATTTTTGTTGATGCAGTAATTTTGTTTCCTTTTTGAATTGCCTGTCAACTTGTTTTTCCTTTTTCACAGCTTTTTTTGTTTAATTGTTAGTATTTACATAGCTGTGAGGGATGGCTCCATGTGGGTCTCTGATGGGAGAGGGGCGAAGCTTGCAGGTAGGTGGGTGAGAGAAGTGTTTCAGTTCTTTTCTCTCTCTTTTTTCCCCTTTCTCTTGTACCTGCAAGGTGGATCTTGCAAACTGTATCAGTGACCAGGAATAGGGTGTCTCTCTTGAGACCCTAGCAAGGGGAGGGATGTTCTGAGGGTGCTGCGTGAGTGGTCTGGATGATTCTCAGATGTGCTGGCGCTGTTGTATCAGAGTTGAGGTAGTCCCCCAGGCCTGCCGGCCGTCCGCGCCGCGTTCACCTCTGTGTCTGCAGGCCCAGGAACATGTTGTAAAGCTTGGCTAGGAGTTGTTTGACCTGTTCTGCTTCCCATCTTTTCATTGCTGAGGTACTCGATATACTCTTGGCTTGGATGAGCTGGCTGTCCTGTCCGCCGTGTGCCTCTAGGCCTGTTGACCTGTCCCCGTGTGCCTCTGAGCGTGTTGTCCTGTCCCCCATGTGCCTCTGGGCCTGCTGTCCTGTCCCCGTGTGCCTCTAGGCCTGTTGACCTGTCCCCCATGTGCCTCTGAGCGTGTTGTCCTGTCCCCCATGTGCCTCTAGGCCTGCTGTCCTGTCCCCGTGTGCCTCTAGGCCTGTTGACCTGTCCCCCATGTGCCTCTGGGCCTGCTGTCCTGTCCCCGTGTGCCTCTGGACGTTCTGTCCACTGTTTGGGCATCTGCAGCTGAGGAGACACAGGCCTGATACTGCACTTCCAGATTGGAGCACGTGTCCTGTGATTTTCGCTTAGGCGGGGGTTTGAGTCCAGCTGTCTAGTCCCCCAGGAAACCCTGCCTGGGTCTAGCATGATGGCTCAGTGGCTAAAGCCTGACCTCAGCAGGGGGCTGGACTACACTTAGAAAGCCTCCTGCGGGCCCTGGTGCAATGGCTCAAAGGCTGATCCTCCACCTCCAAGTGCCAAGATCCTAGAGGGGCACTGGTTTATCTCCCAGCTGTTCCACTTCCCATCCAGCTCCCTGCTTGTGACCTGGGAAAGCAGTGGAGGACGGCCCAAAGCCTTGGGCTGCTGCATCCTCATGGGAGACCCAGAAGACGCTTCTGGTTCCTGGCTTCAGATCGGCTCAGCTGCAGCCATGATCACTTGGGGAGTGAACAATGGATAAATCTTTCTCTTGGGCCCAGTGCTATAACGTAGTGGCTGAAGACCTCACCTTGCATTTGATGGGATCCCATACGGGTGCCAGTTCATGTCCTGGCAGCCCTGCTTGTGGCCTGGGAAGGCAGTGGAAGATGGTCCAAAGCCTTTGGGCTCTGTGCCCATGTGGGAGACCCAGAAGAAGCTCCTGGCTTCTGGCTTTGAATCAGCTCAGCTCCAGCCATTGCAGCCACTTGGGGAGTGAATCAGTAGATAGAAGATTTTTCTCTCTTGTCTTCTTTTCTCTATATATCTGTCTTTTCTATAATAATTTAAAATATATATATTTCTCTTTCCTTCTCTCTGTAAATCTGTCTTTCCAATAAGTATAAATGAGTCTTAAAAGCCAGCCAGTACAGGATCAGGTTTCGTTGGTCTCTTGCACCAACCAACACACGCACCGGTGGAGGCAGCTGCCTGGTCATTTCTGCCCCCAGCCTTACCTCATGCAAACTGGAGGGTGCTATGGCCCAGTCCAACCCACCACAGGCCTGACCCTAAACCCCACTGGCAGGTGCTGTGGCCTAATTGGAGCTATGGCCCAGCCTGGCAAGGTCTGCCCCCAGGCCCAGCCTGGCAAGGCCTGCCCCCAGGCCCAGCCTGGCAAGGTCTGCCCCCAGGCCCAGCCTGGCAAGGCCTGCCCCCAGGCTCAGCCTTTGCATGGGTGAGAGAGAAAGAGTGTTCCACCTGCTAGTTCACTCTCCAAATGGCTACAGTGGCTGGAGCTGGACCAATCCAAAGCCAGGAGCCTGGAGCTTCTCTGGGTTTCCCATGTGGGTGGCAGGGGCCCAAGTACTTGGAGCAGCTTCTGCGTTCCCAGGTGTGTTAGCAGGGAACTGGATCAGAAGTGGAGCAGCCAGAATTCAACTCAGCGCCCATACAGGGTGCTGGTGTTGCAGACAGTGGCTCTACCTGCTATGTCATGCACTTTCTACCCGACCCACGCTGGCCCACTGTGGAGGGCGAGGTAAAGGCATGGCTGGTTGCTGAGGGGCTGGTGGTGCTGCCCTGCTCCTCCGTCCTTGTAGATGGGCAGTCGGGAGGCCAGGCATGGGCACATGGACACGTCTTGTGAGAGGGCCGAGGAGAGGCGGGATATGTTCATCATTTGCTCTTCATCTCTCTTGTCCAGAGTCTTCAGAGGAGACCCCTCCAGCCACGCAGAACTTCGTCATTCCCAAAAAGGAGATCCACACGGTTCCTGACATGGGCAAGTGGAAGCGCTCCCAGGTCCTGGCGGGGCCTGTGCGGGGAGTGGGCCTGGGGCAAGGACCTGGGGTGCTCAGATGGTGGGAGGTGGCTATTCCTCCACTCGGGACCACTCAGACACCTCAGCTCACAGGCCAGCGCCTGACCAGGGCACCTCTGGGAGTTCAGTCCAGGGTTTTTTTTTTTTTTAAGATTTATTTATTTTTATTGTAAAGGCAGATATACAGAGAGGAGGAGAGACAGAGAAGAAGATCCTCCGTCTGATGGTTCACTCCCCAAGTGTCCACAACAGCTGGAGCTGAGCCAGTCGGAAGCCAGGAGCTAGGAACCTCTTCCCGGTCTCCCACACGGGTACAGGGTCCCAAGGCTTTGGGCCATCCTCGAGTGTTTTCCCAGGCCACAAGCAATGAGCTGGAAGGGAAGCAGGGCCGCCAGGATTAGAACCGGCGACCATATGGGATCCTGGTGTGTGCAAGGCGAGGACTTTAACAACTACACTGTCATGCTGGGTCCAGTTCAGGTTTTTGTATAATTGCAAGGTCATGGCAGAGTCACCCCATGGCAAGGGTGGGAGCCAAGAGGAGGTCTCCTCATGGAGATCTTGGTGAGGGACACAGTTAGGTCTGAAAATACCTGGGCGCTGGGACTGGAACCCTGGAGGCAATTTGGTGGTGTTAGAGGTGGCAGGAGGTAGCAGCTTGTACTTCCTGGGCTGCTGGTTCAGATTTTGGGGAGACTGGGACTGAGAGCAGGACAACCCTTTCTAGATACTGGCCCTTCACCCCTGGCTGGTCCCTGGGTGGACTTGGAGCCTCGTGCTCCCTCCTCAAGGGTGAAGACCAGAAGGCCTGCCTGGCTCCTTTCTCACCACAGGCCGCTATGTTCTCGCAGGCAGATGGTTATCTGGTGTTGTCCAAGTCCTCTCCAGGGTAAACGCTCATGGGCCAGAGCCGGCAATTGCAGCCCAAGGCCTTGTATCATCTTGCATCATTATATTCCCTGACTCTCAGCTTTGGTGCTGCTGGCACTTGGGGGACCATCCAATGTGCAGGGCCTGCCCAATACTGTCCCCTCCCCAAGTGCCGAACCATGGGTGTCTGCAGACATGCCCAGCTGTCCCCCAGGGAGCCAGTACCTTCTGCTCTTGGTGTGCCTTGGGATCAGGATGGGCTGCCACCTGTGCAGTAGCTGGGTGGGGGCCCAGCCTTGCCCTGGGCAGGGAGGTGCTGTGGCTAACCCAGCTAGGCAGGGACGCTGCCTTCTAGATAGTAGTGTTTGTTTTCCAGGGCCCGGCCCAGGGCTTATTGCGCCTGCCCTGGCAGCCATGGGGCCTGGGTAGGGAGGGAGAAGGGACAGAGAGAAGGCATGAGGCAGAGCTCGCTCCCGTGGCTACCCTTCCAGGGGCCTGGGCCCCAGTCCTTGTTTTTTTGTTTTTTTAGGATTTATTATATCTTTATTTGTAAAGCAGAGTTTCAGAGAGACAGATCCTCCATTTGTTAATTCACTCCCCAAATGATAGGAGTTTCTTCTAGGTCTCCCGTGTAGGTGCAGGGGCCTAAGAAGGTGGGTTGTCCTCAGGATCCCATATGAACGCTGGTTTGTGTCCTGATGGCTCCCTTCTTATCCAGCTCCCTGCTTGTGGCCTGGGAAAGTAGTCGAGGACCCTGCACCCACGTGGGAGACCCGGAAGAAGCTCCTGGCTTCAGATCGGCTCAGCTCCAGCTGTTGTGGCTACGTAGGGAGTGAATCAGTGGGCAGCAGATCTTTCTCTCTGTCTCGTCTCCTGACTTTCCAATAAAAATAAATAAATCTTTAAAAAAAAAAAAAAGAAAGAAAGAAAAAGAAGGTGGGGCAATCTCTGCTGCTTTCTTAGGTGTGTTTGCAAGGAGCTCGATTGAAGTGGAGTAACTGAGACCCGACCTGGGATCCGTGTGGACGGCAGGGCTGTGCCACAGTGCAGTCCCAAGCCTTTCTTTGTACACACGTTTCACTGAGACTTGTTTTATATATTTATTTATTGGAGAATGTAAAAGTATGTTTTGGGGACTTCTGCTTCATCCCCAAATGGCTATCGCACCTGGGGGTGGGGGCCCCAGAAACTCAGTCCGGATCTCCTGCACGAGTGGCAGTGACCCAACCCCGGAACCCCCGCAGCTGCTCCAAGGTCTGTGTTGGCAGGAAGTGGAGTGAGGAGCCAGAGCTGGGCATCAAAGCCAGGTGCCCCGATGTGGCACACCTGAGGGTGCGCTGCCAGGCTGCACTCCCCGGGGGGGGGTACTCGGGGAGAAGCTGAGAGGATGCGCAGGCACAGCAGCTCCTTCCGGAAGCAGAGCCTCCCCGTTGGCCCCTGGCCCCCTGGTGACATAGCCGTGGGCAGGCGCTGGCAGCCCGGGTTTTTTGTCTGTAAGCTGGGTGCCACAGCAGTGTCTCCCTCACTGCTTGTCTGCAGGCAGTGCTTGTTGGCAGGAATGCTAGCCGGGCTGGAGCTTCCGCCACCGCCATGGGGAGGGGACCGGTGGCCACTTGGAGCTCTTTGGGGAGCGCCCAGGATCTGCCAGGTCTGACCACCCCACCCCCGTGGTCCTCTCCCTTCTATGCGGCAGGCCTATGCTGACTACATCGGGTTCATCCTCACCCTCAACGAAGGTGTGAAGGGGAAGAAGCTGACCTTCGAGTACCCGGTCTCCGAGGTAGGCGTGGGTCTGGGGAACCTGCCGCCACTGCCACAGGCATCGCCTCCTGGCTTGTTGCCGGGTGCGCTGGTGGTGTTGGGCTGTGGCTTGGTGACGGTATGACACAGGTCCTGGTGGCTGGTCTGTCGCGGATCCTGCCCTGTGGCCGCTTGGTGTCCTGTTGCCTTTTGCAATGGAGGTGACAGGACAGAGTGGCAAGTGGGCTCCCGGCAGCCCCTGCGGCCACCCTGGCTCTCCCGCTTGTGCCCTCGTTGGGCCCTGAGGCTGTGGCCCTGTGCATGGCTGCGCTGCCCAGCCTGTGCCCAGCTCCATGGGCCTGGGTTACAGGGATTCATCTGAGAAATAGAGGTGCAAGTTCAAGGGTGCAGGTGTCCCTGATTGGGGAATCGCTTCCTGGGCTCGGGATGGGGCAAGCACTTTTCAGTGGCTGCGGAGAGCCCGTTTGTCAGAGTGGGGAGGGCGTGGGTGTGGGCTTGCTGTGACACTGCCTCCAGAAACTGAGGCTCAGACTCCAGTGGCCTTGGGTTCACATCCCAGTTGGCCAGGGGCCACCTTGAGTCTCTTATCTCAGGCACCAGGGCATAAGTGGCCTGTCTCCTGGCTTGGCGCACCCAGCCCCGAGGCTGCAGCCGGTTGGGTAAGGCCTGGCCCTGCCCTGGCCCAGTTTCCTCACCTGAGCCCGAGGCTGTTCTTACTCCTAGAGCTCTCCTCCCTGGTTCCAGCCAGCAGCTTAGGCCGGCCCTCCGGTTCTGCCTGCCCAAGGTAGGCAAGCCTACCTGGTGCTTGGGATGGGGTGACTACAGAGAGGGGCTTCTAGGCATGCTGAGGGTGGGAAACCGCAGCACACTGTTGCCACCAGATGCCTCCCAGGTGCTGGGTAGTCCCTGAGGGTGGGCTGGGCAGGGGTGGGGTATTCATCCCACCAGCTGTGGTCTCAGCGCGGGTTGTTCTGGCTGCACTCGATGTCCGCTGCTTGCTGCGTCACCTTGAGGACCCCCTTAGCCTCCTTTGCAGACTCGCCCGGCCTGTGTGGAGGCCTCACTGTGACCCAGGCCACACACTGGTTGTCAGAGCGTGCTGTTGAGCATGCGCTCCATCCTGCTCTTCACGCGATGCTCTTCCTGCAGCTGCCTGGCCGAGCCAGGCTCCGTCCCTGCCCAGGAGTGATGGGCAGGGAGGCCCTCGGAGGGCGGCGCCCGGGGCAGCGGCAGCAGAAGGTGCGGCCCACCGCAGCAGCCAGGGCACCAGGGACCTCCCTGCCTGCCTGCTTAGCTGCTCGGCTTCCCACTGCCCACTTAGGGAGGGTGGGCGAGCAGGCGACCCCACTGTGGCGGCTGCGTCACTTGAGGTGTTGCTGTTGCTGGTCTGTCTAGACCTGTGTCCACAAAGCTCCCTTCTACTCGTATTAATTTTTTGCTCTCATGCTGTTCTGTGGGGGATAAAAAATTCAGACTTTTGAAAACTAAAGGTGATGGTAGATAGGTTTATCTTTGTTATTGTTCTGGAAGTGCAGTCGGCTGGTCAAACTGCAGGGTGGTTTGGCCACTCCCTGAGCTCAGGCACAGGGAGCTGTGCTGTAGTGAGATGGTTCCTTGTACCTGCCAAGCTACTGCTGCTTCCCCGACCCCTCCCAACAGACAGAGAGGCTGGGGCCCAGAGTTATTCAGGGTCCAACCCCGCCCAGCCGGCAGTGGGGTCCTCTGCTGCACTCTGCCAGCCGGCTGGGTGTATGAGCAGGTGCTGGGGACTGGCCTCTGCTGCCTGCAGCTCTCATGGGCGAGCTGCCCTTTGCCCCTGTGCCCTGGGCACAGGGGAAGGGCACGTGAGGAGTGGCGACTGCCAGGGCCACCTTCAGCTTGCACAAGGCCAGGCGGCCCATTCCACAGCCTGGGAGGCGACCTGGCCCAGCCTGCAGAGCTGCTCACCCACCCAGTACACACAGAGCCATCCGGCTTCTGTGCCTTGGTGGCCACTGTGCCCAGTGGTGGTCCTGCTTCTCCTGCTGGGTGCAGCCCCCAGCTCATCCCTTCAGACACAGACACCCTGTCCACTGGCCTGTGGCTTCCAGCCACCCTCCAGGTCTGGGCCTTGACAGTCACCAGCCCCCCATTTCTCTCTGTGTGATGGCTTGTACATTGTGCTGCCCACGCCTGTCCCCATCTCCATGGGAAGGGGGAGGCACTGGGCCGGATTGCCAACTACATTGGTGCGAGTAGTAGCAGAACAACCGGAAACAGCCCTGGAGTGCGTCACAGCAACCTCGCCCACTCCTGCTTCATGGCCGTTGCGGGATGAGGTTCCCGGGCGCCGCAGGCAGGCCAGAGCGGGGTGCAGCCCGTGCCCGGAGGAGGCCTCCTGGATGCAAAGACGGGACGTGGGGCATCTGGGCTTCTTGCTTACGGCACGTGGACTGGGCTGCGCCATGCTGACCCGGGGCAGTGCCATGGGGCGCTCCTGCAAGAGCCATTCACATACTGGCAGTGTTTGCTTCTGAGTGGCAGGGCGACATTTTCGTGTCCCATGCTGGGTAGGTGGTGTGTGCTCCCCAGGCGATTGTGACTAGAGCTGGGTGATGGCACAGCAGCCCCTCCCAGGAGGCCGGCCTAGCCCCTCGCACACGTTCTGCTCTGAGCCACCTCCCAGGGCAGCTGGGAAGAGCTGGAGAGAGGGGAAGGCCAGTGGGTACTGCTCTCTGTGACGTGGGCCGAGCACACCCTCTGCCCCCACAGGCCATTGAGAAGCTGCTGGCGCTTCTTGACACTCTGGACCGGTGGGTCGATGAGACCCCGCCAGTGGACCAGCCTTCTCGCTTTGGGAACAAGGCCTACAGGACCTGGTACGCCAAGCTCGACCAGGTGAGGCGGGCGCAGGGCGGGCGTGGGCAGTTGCATCCTTGGAGTGCCAGGCACGGCGGGCTTATTCATTGGCAGCCTCCAGCCCCCCGCCGCCAGGGTCTGAGCCGCAGCCGGGCTTGCTTGGCTCTCAGCGTCCCTGGGGAGGCTCCCCTGTGCCGGGGAGGAAGAGGAAGAGGAGAAGGGAGGTGTCTGGGAGGGAGCGTGGGGCGGGCCTGCAGGACTCTGGTGTCACGGTGAAGAGAAGTGGCCGCAGGGTTTGGCGCCGCTCCTGTTCGCAGACTGAGATGTCAGTGGGAGGGCCCCGGGGCTGGGAGGCTGTGGTTCTTTCTGAGGGGGCTGGGGACCCCTCTCTGTGTCTCCTGCGTACCCGGCAGGGGTTAGCTCAGGCCTGCCTTGTGCAGCCCAGGCCGTTGGGTCCCCGTGGGGCTGGATATCAGCCATCCAGCAGCTGTGCGATGGAGTCATAGGTCGGCTGCTGCTGCAGGTGCACAAGGGAGGGAGGGGCACTCCCTAAGCCCTGGGCCCAGAGTGGCCCCTGGGCTCTGACCACAGCCTTATTCTCCTGGAGAGCGTGTGACCTGAAAACCAGGAGGGAGCTGGCAGAGCGGCACCGTGTGGTGGGCCTGCAGGTCACTGCCACCTGCCTTCCACGCCTGCAGGGACCTCGGTGCCTCCCGTTGGTGTACCCCTCTGACTCCTCAGGTTTCTGTCCCACAAACAGGTTTTGTTTCTGAACCTCGTAGGAGTGTCAAAGCCATTCAGTTGTCCTGCGGAACACAGAGCTTGGTGTGTGGCACTCCGCTGTGCAGGCCTGGCACCATGTGTCCAGGCCCCCCGGCCTCTACCCGTTGGCTTCTCTTGGTGGAAATGTCCACACGGCCCGTGGGGTGGTGGTCCTGATCTTGCAGTGTCCCCACAGGCTCCGATAGTCCTCAGATGGGAGAGCCGCAGCCTCCCCATCCCCCCGGGTCCTTGGACATCCAGGGATGTGGCAACAGGCAGGGGCAGGTCAGCTCTGCCTGCCTGCTAGTCAGAGCAGGAGCTGGGCCAGATGCCGCCTAATCTGCTGCCACCACGTTGTGTCTCTTGCGTTATCAGGAAGCAGAACGCTTGGTGGCCACAGTGGTGCCTACTGACCTGGCGGCAGCAGTGCCTGAGGTGGCCGTCTACCTGAAGGAGTCGGTTGGCAACTCCACACGCATTGACTATGGCACAGGTACCAGCCGCTTGCGGGGTGCAGCGTTGGTTTGGCGACCCTGCTTTCTGTCCTTGGGTGCTTCCTTGTTGCTCTGAGGGTTCGCAAGGCCCTGTGAGCCATCCACAGTTCCCATACAGTGCAGTGCTGGCCACTGTGGCCAGCAGCATTCCAGGCAGCCGGGCAGGGAGTGTACAGAAAGCTGTGCTGCAGCTCTGGTATGGGCCACCAGGGGGCGCTGGTGCCACGCGCACGGTGCCTGCTTGCGCAGTGTCCGCAGTCACTCTTCCTGGTGAAGCCGCATCACCCAGCTGGCGGTCCCCGGGGCACTGGTCAGCCTCAGGTGGCTGCTGGCTGCTTACTCAGGCTCTGAGGAAGTAAGGGGCTTCATGGTGTCCCTGGCAGCTCAAGGCACACTCTCTCTGACGCTCTTGTCTCTCAGAAAAAAAATCTTAAAAAAATTTTATTTATTTGAATGGTGGAGATTAGGTACAGAGACTGAAAGAAAAATAATGAGATCCTCCAGCCACTGATTCACTCCCTAAATGGCCCCAACAGCTGAGGCCAGGCCAAAGCCAGGAGCCCGGCAGTCCATCCCATTGTCCCATGCAGGTGTAGGGCCCCAACACTTGGGCCGCCTCCACTCCTTCCCTCGCACATCAACAGGAAACTAGATGGGAAGTGGAGCAGCTGGGACTTAAACTGGTGCCCTGGTGGAGTGCTGACCTTGCAGGCAGTGGCTTAGCCTGTTGTGCCATAGCATCAGCCCTTGTCCCTTAGGCACATTGGCTGGGCTGTTCACCTAAACGTCTGACCAGTCACAGGGGACGTGCTGTGGGCCGGGAGTTCCCGTGCGCCACGGGCTCACCTCTCCTGCCGTGAGCCTGCTCTGCCCAGGGAAGGTAGGCCGCTGCGGGCACCAAGGCCCAGAGCCAGGTCCTGGACAGTGGCCCTTCTGCAGCTGGGACCTGGGGAGGCCTTGTCCTCTGGTCCCTTGCTGTCAGGGAGCAAGTGTATGGGGTATTTGGAGACCCTCAGGTAGGGGCCTTAAGACCCTCAGCAGAAAGGGCCTGGGGGGTTGCGGGTGGGTGCGGGGGAGACAGAGCAGGTATACAGGAGCCCTGGCAAGTCGGTCCTGGCTGCTCACCTGGACACAGCTGCTCGTGACAGCACACAAGGTTCTGGGACGGGATGCAGCCTGCAGGTGCATTGCACATCCTGGCCTCCCGGTGCTCCCTATGTCACATGACTGGGAGAGGTGGCAGGGCACCGTGCCCCCCCCTTTTTTTTAAGATTTATTTGTTAGCTTGCTCTGTTATATGTGAGCAAGCTGCTGCACTCCCGTCAGCTGGGCACTTTTAAAAACTGTTTATTGTAATTCATCAGTAATGCACTGCTTACACAACTGCCTACAGCAGGCCTTCACTGCTGTGTGTTATGCTTTGATATTTACTGCTGTATATTCTACCTTTAAAAAAATTATTATAAATTTTTAAGAAAGATTTATTGTTATTGGAAAGACAGATATACAGAGAGGAGGAGAGACAGAAATATCCTCTGTGCGAGGGTTCACTCCCCAAGTGGCCGCAACGGCTGGAGCTGAGCCAATCCAAAGCCAGGAGCCAGGATCTTCTTCCAGGTCTCCCATGCGGATGCAGGGTCCCTAGGCTTTGGGCCGTCCTCGACTGCTTTTCCAGGCTACAAGCGGGGAGCTGGATGGGAAGCAGAGCTGCTGGGATTAGAACTGGTGCCCATATGGGATCCCAGCGCATTCAAGGCGAGGACTTTTGCTGCTAGGCTACCATGCCAGGCCCCCACCTTGGTTCTTGGCTGGGGTCTCCCCTCCAAGCTGGACCTGGGTTTAGTATTGGTTTTCACCTGGATCCATTAGGAAAAGGGCAGTTTTGTGGCCAGGGCTGTCTTGATTCTGGGAGGGGACCTGGGGAGGCAGAGGCAGGTGCCCTGAGCCCGGGGTTGACCTGGCAGACCCTGGGAAGGCCGTGACACAGCCCCGCTGGCTGCCCTGCGCCTCCTGGAGCTGCTTCCTGCCAGCTCTTCCTGCGACCGCCTCCACGTGGGCAGCACGGCCTTCCCCAGGATCTTTGCGTGCTGCTGCTTCTGACAGAACGCACTGGTCACTTCCCTCATCCCTCCTGGCTAGATAGCTTGTCATTTCTCTGATTTCAGATTAAATGTGGCTCCCCACTTTGGGGTCCCCCCACGGCATCCTCCAAGTGTCCCCCCTTTTTCCTTCAGAGCCAGTAACACGCTAGTGATGATGGGTAAGGCCTGTCTCCCCAGGGGTAAGGACTGAGCCACCACCTCTTCCCAGCAGGGACAGGCACTACCTGTGCAGCAGGCGCTCGCTGTGTAGGGCAGGGGCGGGGCGGGCTGGGCCCTGGGGTGCCAACAGGTGCCTGGACAGAATGCTGGAGTCCCAGCTGCTCCACTTCCCATCCAGCTCCCTGCTTGTGGCCTGGGGAAGCAGTCAAGGACAGCCCAAGGCCTTGGGACCCTGTACCCGTGTGGGAGACCTGGAGGGGGCTCCTGGCTCCTATTGTGAGCTTCTGGGGAGTAAACCAGTGGGGGGAAGATTCTTCTCTCTTTTATTCTGCCTTTCAAATGAGTGAACACATAAAACTCTATTGATTTTATTGATTTGAAAGGTAGAATGACAGAGAGGCAGAGGAGAAATTTCGTCCACTGGTTCATCTTCCAGTGCCTCCCCAGGCACATGAGCAGGGAGCGAGATCAGAAGCGGAGCAGCGGGGACTCGAGTCGGCAGTCTCCTGTGGGATGCGGTAGTAGCAGCTCAGCTGGCTGCATCTCCAGGTCATCCCCAGACTTGGAAAGATGAATGGAGGGACCGGCATTGTGGGGTAGTGGGTTAAACTGCAGCCTGTAATCCCAGCATCTCATGTGGGCACCAGTTCCAGCCGCTCCACTTCTAATCTAGTGCCCTGCAAGTCATCTGGGGAAAGCAGCAGAGGATGGCCCAAGTGCTTGGGCCTCTGCATCCACATGGGAGCCCTGGAAGCTCCTGGCTCCTGGCTTTGGCTGGCCCAACGCTGGTCATTGTGGCCATTTGGGGAATGAACCAGTAGCTGGAAGATTCTCTGTGTTTCTTCTCTGGGTGTAACTCTGGCATTTAAATAAAAGTTTTAAAGAACAAACTAAGCAGAGAGGAATGGCTGGGCATGTTATAAACCTGCAGGCACAGGCATTCATTGGAATGTGTGTTTAAGCGGGTCCCAGCCCGGCCTCCCAGGAGGAGCCTTGAGGCCCTGCTGCTCTTGGGGGTTCAGGTCTCTCTGGATGCGGGGGGTGGAGATCCCCAAGTGGGATGTTGGCTCTGGGAGACCAAGGTCAGTCCCTACCGGTTTCCAGAACTTACCATGGTGGCTCTTCCTCCCCCAGGGCACGAGGCAGCCTTTGCTGCTTTCCTCTGTTGTCTGTGCAAGATTGGGGTGCTCCGGGTGGATGACCAGATAGCCATCGTCTTCAAGGTGTTCAACCGGTGAGGCGCGGCTGGGGGCTGGCTGGGGGCTGCTGGGGGCTGTGTCCCCTAGAGCTGCCGGCCGCCACGGGGAGGTGCTGTGTAAGCCCTTTGCGCAGCACTCACTGGGTCCTCACAGCTTGAGGGAGCGCGAGATAAGGTCCCTCCCCAGGGGTCACACAGCCAGCTCCAGGCAGCCCTCACCACCGGCCACCCCTTGCGTCCAGGAGCCTCCTCTCCCCCTCATCCCCATGGACCGTGGTAGCGCTCACTCACAGCCCATCCGGCAGTGCTGGGGCAACAGGCCTGGACGGAGCCCAGGGGCAGATGTTGAGGGCCTGTGGGAGATGCGGGTGCCGCTGGGAACCCAGGAGCAAGGGGCCACTCTCCTTGGGTTCCCGGGGCTTTCCCATGGCAGCCCGTGCCAGGGGAGGGTGAGTCAGTTTCCGCCCACGGTCCAGAGGCTGTTGGCAGCAGAGGGCCCCAAACCGTGATGTCCCACAGGAGGCTGGGGCCCGAGCTTGCCGCTGCCTGGCCTCAGCTTGGTCCGTCAGCTGACCATCTGACTCTGCTCTCGCCACGGAACAGGTACCTCGAGGTGATGCGGAAACTCCAGAAGACCTACCGCATGGAGCCAGCCGGCAGCCAGGGCGTGTGGGGCCTGGACGACTTCCAGTTCCTGCCCTTCATCTGGGGCAGCTCGCAGCTGATAGGTACCGAAGGGTGCCCACTGCAGCCCGCGACAGCTCAGGAAATGGGGCATCAGACGCACTGGCTGGCTGCTGTGGACCTGCTGCCACCCACAGCCGAGCCAGAGGCCACGCAGCTGCCCTGGCCAGGAAGTCCAGGCCGAGTCCCCCAGGTTGACGGGAAGTGGCCCATGCCTGGTACAGAGTGGTCTGGGCTGAGGTGCCCTGGCTCCTGGCAGCAGCTGTGGGGCTTTCCATTGGAAATGAGGGCTCTTCAGGCTGTGTGCCAGTACCATTCACGGCTGGGAGGCGTGTGAAGGGCCTGCTGCCTGTGCCCACGGGTGCCCCCATCTCAGCAGCCCTTCAGGCTCTCACCCTGGTGGCTCTGCCAGTGGAGCAGGCAGCCCCCAGGGACTGCTCAGTGCCACAGGTGGTTTTCCCCGCAGCCCCTGGAGAGATGGCTGTTAGCCACATGGGCCTCGGGGAGGCGCTGGCTTCTGCCCATGCCCGGGAGGGGCCCGAGCCTTGCCAGGGCCGCACACGGTGGCAGTCGGGTGTGTCCTGAGGAAGGGCCATGGCACTGCAGGACTCGGTGGGAATGGAATAAAAGATGGGCTCGTTTTGGTGCCAGGGAAGCCCGAGATCCATAATACACATTGTCCACAAGCTTCGTGAACCCCTGACTGTGGGGGTCAGCGTGGCAAGGCCACCAGGTGTCAGCCCAAGACCCAAGGCACTGGTCCCCCTGCTGTCGCTGCTCTAGCCGGCCAGTGAGATGGCTACCTGTTACCAGGTGCTGCGGCCTGGGCGCAGTCCCGTGTACCGCGGCTCACGCCATGCATGTCACAGTGGCCGGGGACCGTGGTGGGGTGTGGTGGAGGGGGGTGTGGCATGGTGAGGGCACCGGGGCTGCGACCACGCCCTGGGCGGGAAGGCCTGGCCCGCAGCCGTCTCGCTCCCGCAGACCACCCGTTCCTGGAGCCCCGGCACTTTGTGGACGAGAAGGCGGTGAACGAGAACCATGAGGACTACATGTTCCTAGAGTGCATCCTCTTCATCACCCAGGTGAGCGCACGGAGCCCAGGCGGCTGCGGCTGCTGCGCCCAGGCGGCAGGCCCACAGCAGAGGGAAGCCCCTCAACTAGCAGCCTTCTCCTGAAGCCCGCGGCGCTCCGGAGCAGGGCTCGGACGCAGCCCTGGCTGGCCTTGCCAAGGACGTGGTGGGGGAGCCCCTCGGGTGACACTGTCCACAGGGCACAGTGCCTGCCGCCTTGGCGTTTGTTGAGGCCTTTGGGGACCTGCCTGGGAAAGCGGGCGCCCCCAGCTCTCAGCTCCTCTCTCCGTTGGAGTGGGTTTCCTCTCAGCCCTCGCAGCACCCTGTCCCACCCCTGCTGCCCCTCTGGTCAGTGACGCGATTGTCCAAGTCAGCAAATGAGGGTGGAGTGACTGGCCACACAGCCACCACTTCCTCCTGGAAGACATGCTGCCCCCGGGGGCGCGGGCCCCGCCTGGCTCTCCGCCCTCCTGGGCCAGGTTGGGGGGCCGGGCTGGGGAGAGGGGCGCGGATCCGCCTGCTGAGCTCGGGCTCGGGGCTCCCTTGGCTGCTGGCTCGGCCCCTGCGTCCTTGTCGAGCCGGGCCTTGGGGTGTTCGTGCGCGCGCGGCTAGGCCGGGAAGGCACCCCGCAGCGTCCGCGGCGACCACGAGGTGGCACTGCAGGCACGCGGGGCGCCTGCCTGTCCCGGGTCCAGGCTCCAGGGCTAGGAGGGTGGCCCCGGCCCATCTCCGTATGTGCCCGGCCTGGAGGGCCTGCGGGGCTGCAGCCTGCGGGGTGTAGTGTTCGCCAGGAGCCCCCTCTCCTGGGCCTGGCTCTCGCACGGCGTGGGGTGCAAGCTGGGCTTTGGGCGGGCGGGGCCCGGTCGCCCTGGAGACCTGGTGCAGACGGCAGCCTCCCGGGAGCCGGGGGTCTCGGCCCTGCTCCCCTGGCAGCCCGAGCCGGCCTCCCCACGCGGGGCGGCTCCCCGTGCTGGGAAGGGAGGCAAATGCAGCCCCGGCGCCTTTAAGAGCCCGGGGCAGGCAGGAAAAGAATTTCAGTTTCAATCGGCTTCTAAATTTGGAGTTTTGGGAAGGGAGGGATCAGGTTTCGGCTGGAAGGGCAGGAGCTGACTGGAAGGCGGCGCGCCCACCCCCGCCCATCCCCCGTTCCTGACAGAGGAACCATTTACAAAAGGCCGATTCTCGGGGGAGCCGGGAGGCAGCGGCGCGGCGGCTGTGAGTAATTTCCTGCTCAACATGGCTGCTCTGACTCACACGACTCCCCTGGGCCCCTGCGGGCTGCCGCTCACGCCCGCGCCTTGGGCTCGCTCGCTCCGTTTGTGGCTAGAGGGAGCCAGGGCTTCGCTTTTCTTTCTTTATTTATTTTGTCTTCTCGCCCCCAATTCCTGTTTGCCCTTCCAGTGTTGCAGCCGCTCCTTCCTTGGTGGGGAGAGAAAGGAGGCCGCTGCTCCTGGCCTTGGCACTGGCTTGCAGCGTTTGGGGGCTCCCTCCCGGGCCCCCAGGAGCACACCAGGCTCCCCGCGCCCTGCTGAGCTGGCCCTGGCTGAACCGCCCACGCCCCGACAGGGGCGGCGTGGGCAGGGGTCTGGAGGGCCCCCTGAGGACCTGGGCCGGTGTCCCCAACACCAGACACAGGGCAGGATTTTGACTTGGGTTGCCCTCCCTGGAGGAGTCAGCCCAGTCCCCACCACGGGCCTCAGTGCAGTTTGTTCTGGAACCTTCCATTCACTCGGGGTCCAAGTCAGCCTCCCTGCCAGATTCAGGGCTGTCTGCCTTTTTCAGAGTTGGTCTGCTGGTGGCAGGCAGTGCCTCGAGGCCCAAGTCCCTACCACAGATGGTGCCTGTGTGTGCGTGAGAGAGACACACAGGGGCCTGCCGGGTTCCTTAGTGACCACGTGCTGGTGGGGTGGGACTGCCTGTGCTGGCGGGGGTGTGTCCCTCCCCGGGGCTTCAGCATTGGAGCTGTGGCTGCCCACCCTGCACTGCGGAGGACTGGAGGACCGTGCGGGCCTGGTTTGGTCGAGCCCCTGGCAGCTCTGCTGGGCGAACTGCCTTCCCTTGCAGCTCTGCCTGGGGCAGTTGCAGAGCAGTCAGCTAGAGCGTGCGCGTGGAGGGGCAAGGGGTGCACTGTGGGAGGTGCAGTCTGAGGCAGGGATTTGCGCGCCTGTGATGTAGGATTGGGGGGTTGGGGGGCAGCAGGACTTGGGCTGGTTTTTCCACTCCGGGAGAAGGGGTGATTAGGAGGAGGCGGGCAAGGGCAGTCACGTTCCCAGGGCTTAGGAAGGCTGAGGGAGTCCCAGCTGAGCCCTGCCGCGTGTGTGCGTGGACACCCGTGTGTGGATGTGCCTGTGTGTGTGTGCCTGTATGTGTGTGCCTACTTGTGTGTGTGCACCTGCCTGTGTGTGCGTGTGTGTGCCTACCTGTGTGTGTGTGCGTGTGTGTCTGTGTGTGTGTCTGTGTGTGTGTCTGTGTGCCTGCCTGTGTGTGCCGGTCTGTGTGTACCTGCCTGTGTGTGCATGTGTGCCTGTGTCTGTGTCTGTGTGTGTGCCTGCCTGCCTGCGTGTGTGCATGTGTGTGTGTGCCTGCCTCTGTGTGTGTGTGTGCACCTGCCTGTGTGTATAGCTGTCTGTGTGTGTGCCTGCGTGTGTGTGTATGTGTGTGTGCCTGTGTGTGTGCACCCACATGTGGGGAGAGGGGTGCAGGAAGGTTCTGCACGACCCCCAGCCCCACCACAGCTGCGGCCTCTCTCGCAGATGAAGACGGGCCCGTTTGCTGAGCACTCCAACCAGCTGTGGAACATCAGTGCGGTCCCTTCTTGGTCCAAAGTGAACCAGGGCCTCATCCGCATGTACAAAGCTGAGGTGAGCGGAGTCACCATGGACCTGTCCCTGCCCTGTCCGTGTTGGCCAGCCCCAAGATGCTGGCCGGGAGACTCCTGTCCCAAGTCCCCAGGCTGCTGCTCAGCCTTTCCGCATGCACCCACAGGTCCAGGCTGGTACTCCCTCCGTGACCCGAGTCATGTGACTGGAGACTCGTACCCGACCCTGCCCCCAGCCGAGTGTCCTTGGGTCAAGTGCTTGGAGCTGGTGGCCTGAGTGTAAAGGCTCTGGCTGTGGCCCTGAGGGGAACCCCGCCCTCCCCTCCTTCCTCTGGACTTCACAGCCTGTGTTTAGGTTCGAGCCCATGGGGTTCTCTCCTGGGGGAGGCTGGGCCTAGGGCACTGCCCTGCTTCCCCACCTGTGCTGGCCCCTGCCAGTCTCCCGGCGTGGGTTGCTGGGGAGCTCCTGCTAAGCCTTCCCTGCCCACAGGCCCATCCAGTCCAGGGCAGCCCTGCCCTGTGCTGCCAGCCAGTGCTCCTGGGAGCAGTTGGCAGGTCCCAGGCCAGGGAGCATCTCGCTCTGTAATCTTGAGCCCAGAAGGGCTCAGCCAGAGTGGCTGCTGCAGGGGGGCAGCCCCTCAGAGCCCCCCGCGAGGGCCTCGGCAGGAGTGGCTCACAGGTGGCCTAGTCCTGTGTGGCAGTTGCCTGCTCCCCAGGGGGCCAGCCCTGTGGTGCTACTGCTATGAGTCCCTCCCTCTCTGGGGGGACTTCCTGTGCCCCTCGTGGTGGGTGTGACTAGCCAGTTGTGTCCCAGCTGCATTCTGTTGGGGTTGGTGATGGGGAGGGCAGGCAGAGAAGAGAGGAGGGCGGGAAGCAGGTTGACCTCTGACCCTCTGGAGTTTCTGGGCCTTGGAGAGGGGGGGGGAGTCCTTTCTCCAGCTCCCACCACTTCCTGACAAAGAGGCTTGGCACTGCCTCTGCCTCTGGTCTGGATGTGGCTCCTCCGCCGGGACCCCAGCGGCCTGCTGCCCCCACCCCCTCTACACCGGTGGTGACACCTGTGTGGCCTGGAGGCTGTGTCTCCCAGATCAGCCCCAGCCTGAGGCCTGGGCCAGCCTGGCAGGACTGCTCCCCATGGGAGCTCCAGGCCTGCCCACTGCCTCTCCCCTTCCCAGGGCTGCTGGGGCACATAGAGCCGTGGATGCTGGCTGATCTGTTCTCCTGCCCAGGGCCACACCCGTTCCTGGTCCTGTGTGGTTCTGCCTGGCCAGGGGAAGCATGAGGACCAGCTGTCCCCAGCCCCACGCAAGCCCTGTGCCCCGGAGGCCAGAGGGGCGGGCACAGCTGGGCGGGCGGGCCTGGTACGGCACGGCCCTCAGCTGTCTGCCCTTCCTCCTGCAGTGCCTGGAGAAGTTCCCCGTGATCCAGCACTTCAAGTTCGGGAGCCTGCTGCCCATTCACCCCGTCACCGCCCGCTAGGAGGGAGCCAGCGCGGGTGGGCCGCCTTGGGTCCCCCTCCCCACCCCGTCCCTCTGTTCTTTCTGTTTGGTGAGAGGCTGTTTGCTGGGGTAGGGCTGAGGTAGGAGCAAGGAGGACCAAAGTGTGGCCCAATTGCTGAGCTTGCCTGTGGTGGGCAGACAGGAAGAGGGGACCTGTGACCCAGGCTGTGGGCCCCTCCCCTCTCCTGGCCCCGGCCTCTTCCCTGGCCTCCTGTGTGACAGCATGGGAAGGAGCCGTCTGGCCGTGCCTGCTGCCCTCGTGCAGGTGTGGGGTGGTGGCATTGGCTGGCAGCAGTGGGCATTTCTGGGCCCCGTGTGGGGGGGCATGTGGGCTTCAGGGCGGGAGCTAAGGCTGGGACTACCCAGGCTTCTCCTTGGCCGGAGCCACACCCCTGCCCCTCCTGGCAGAGCTTGCCTGTGAAAGCTGTCTTTTAGGCTCCCTGGGGGGGTCAGATGATTGGATGATACCTGTCTTTCCAGAACTTTCCCTGGCGGGGATGGGGTGAGATGGGGTAGTAGGGACTCAGGGAGGGGCCTGGGCCCGGCCTCCTCGGGGCCCCTCTGTGCCTGGGGCAGCCAGCGGGTGGGCTGTGGGGGCTCCGTGCGCAGCTGGCCCTGGCCTCAAGGTTGGGCAGGGCCAAACTGGCCAGTGGCCGCCTGCCAGACATGCCTTCTCCCGTGTCGGGGTGCACACCACCTGTGGCAGGGGAGCCCCTAGAAGCACAACAAGGACCTGTGCTGGGTCTGCGTGGTGGAGGGAGGGAGGACGGGGCCACGAGGAGCACAGACACCGTTCCCAGGGGAGCCCTGGCGTGCCCTCCTGCCCAGGCCAGCTCACCCTCACTCCCTGCTCCCCCACCCCCAGCCCTGGCACCCTCATGCTGTTGGATTAAAGCCTCTGTTTTGCACCCGTCACCCGGTGAGCCGCCTCCTGCCCTGTGCGCGTGCCTCCCAGCTCCTTGGTGGTAGCCAGGCCCTGGCTGGCCCCGCCTTGGCAGCAAAATGGTGAGTGACAGACTCCCTGAGCCTCACTGGGCCACCTGGGCTGTGTGACAAGGGAGAGGCATGGCAGGGGAAGGCCTCGGGCTGGGACAGGTGCGCAGCGCCTGCCCTGGGGTCTGGGCTGTTTCTGACTGGGTCGGCTGTGGGTTGGGACCTGAGGCGAAGCTGTACTTGCTGTGTGTGAGTGTGGCCTCTGCCCAAGGGCCGCTTAGGCACCTGACTGCTATCCCTCTGTTAGAGACCTGGAGGCCGAGAGCCCTGCCTGCAGCCAGGCACTCCCAAGCTCAGGGTGCAGGCTCTGCTCACTGACTAGACACCCGGGAGTTGCCTGTGTCTCTGTCTCTTTAAAATCTGAAGGCGAAGGTGGACCCAGCTGCGGGTTCCCTCCTTGGCCTGCAGCCCCAGGCTGGGCCAGGAGGGGGAGCTCCACCCGGGTCTCCCTAGCCACTGCCCCCAGGATGCAAACCAGTGGCCACTTAACCACACTACAGAATCCCGGACTCTATCCCTTTCTTTAAAAAAATGTATTTGTTTATTTGAAATGGTTAAAGAGACAGATCTTTCGTCTGTTGGTTCACTCCCCAATGACTGATCAGGAGCCAGGAGTTGCTTCTGGGTTTTGTATGTGGGTGTGGGAACGATTGAAACTGGTACCCATATGGTACCTGGTGCTGCAGGTGGCGGCTTTACCGAAGGCCACCCAGCCCCCGCCACCTGATCCCTTGAGCCTTGGGTTGTGGCCTCAGATCTGAACCCTGGGAGGGTGCCTCAGAGAGCCCAGGGTACTGTTCATAACAGGAACTGGCTGCGTGGCTGCCCGTGGCAGCTGGGTGTGCAGTGAGGCCTGCAGCCACCATTAGGGCACCGATGGCGGAGATGGCTCAGGAGGGGTATGGCTTGGAGGAGCCAGGCTCTGCTGGGGAGACTGGAGTGGGCTTTGTGCCTGAGAAGAGGCTGGGGGCCAGGTAGGAGTAGAGGACCGGCGGGTTGCAGTGGCTGTGGCCAAGGTTGGACGCAGGGTAGACACTGGTGGTGGCGCAGCCCCCAGAGAGCCACTGGGGCAGGGAGGGAGTGGCGAGGCTTGCTGTTCACTGGGAATGCCTCCTGCCTTCCTGGAGGAAGTAGAGGGCAGGCAGCCCATTGGAGCCGGAGTTGCCAATGCGGGCAGGGGTGCAGATCCTGAGGTGAGAGTGTTGGAATCAGGGGTCTTGGCTCTAGGTCTCTGCCTGGCTGGGAGCAGAGGGGGCGTGGAATAGCTGCAGGCACTGGCCTTTCACCTAGGGGTGTCTGTACTTGAACTCTGGTGGGAGGGACACCAGTAGGCCAATTCTGAGGTCTGCTGGCACCTGGTGAGGAGACCTCAGAATTGGGAAGGAACCTGGGCACTGAGGCCAGCACAACGGCTCAATGGGCTAATCCTCCACCTGCAAGCACTAGGATCCCATATAGGCACCAGTTCGTGTTCTGGCTACTTCGCTTCCCATCCAGCTCCCTGCCTGTGGCCTGGGAAAGCAGCAGAAGATGGCCCAAGTTCTTGGGACCCTGCACCTATGTTTGTGAGACCTGAAAGAAGCTCCTGGCTCCTGGTTTTGGACTGGCTCAGCTCTGGCCGTTTTGGCCACTTGGGGAGTGAACCAACAGCTGGAAGAGCTTTCCCTCTACTCTCCTCTGAGAATCGCCTTTCCAATAAAATAAATGGAATCTTTTTTTTTTTTTTTAAATGGGGCGGACCTGGGACTTAGGGAAGTTTTCTGAAGTTGGGAGGAGCTGTGCCTTTTCTGACCCGGTGCTGGGAGGGGAGAAGGTTGGGGATCAGCGAAGAAGGGACAGGCCCTGGGAAGCAAGCATAGCTTTTTTCAGGTGCCAGCAGAAGGGCAGTAAAGCCCAGCCATGAGGGCCAAGTCGGAGGGGCAGTGGGAGCAGGTGGGCGTGATCCAGCCCCAGCCTGCCTGTCCCCGGGGGCTGTGGGGAAAGGAAGCCATCCCAGTGAGGGACTTCCGCTCCCCTGGGCGGCAGAAGTGAGCCTGGGAAAGCAAAGGTCAAGGTTCTTCAAAATCTATTTCAAAGGCAAAGTTACAGAAAAGATGTTGCATCTGCTGGTTCACTCCCTGGACGGCAGCGTGCGGGGCTGGGCCAGGCCTGAGCCATCAGCCTCCTCCAGGTTTGCCCTCTGCTGCTCCATCAGTAGGGAGCTGGGCCGCAAGTGGAGCTGCCAGGCACAAATTGGTGCTCAGAGGGATGCCAGCGCCCCAGGTGCAGCTGAGCCTGCCAGACCACAGTGCCACCTGGCCCTGTTTTAATCTTGAATTCAACAAGCATTAGCACAGGTTACAGGTAAGGCACTCCAGGGAATATAGAGATAAAAAACAGGTAAGACCCCTGCCTTCAGGAACTAGTGAGAGAGATGGAGGAAGAGTGTGGGTAGTGGAGACTGGGCACAGAGTGTATGTGTGGATGGCAGGGAGTAGGCATTCAAAGGCCCGATGGGTGGGGTGCACCCAGAGCCCCCTCCACGTAACCCATACAGCGCATTTGTCAATGCTGGGTGTGTGCGTGTCTACCCTGGGGCAGGGCAGCTCCCAGCAGAGAGAACCAATGAACTGACCCTGTGACTTGGGGTGCAGGGAAAGCTGAGTAAGGCCAGGACAGAGACTGGATGGGGAGGGGTATCTGTGAGGGTCCCAGCTGTGGCTTGTTGAGTGGCTGAGTGCTAACCACAGGACTAGAGCCTCGGCATGCAAATGAGATGCAGGGCAGAGGAGGTCCTAGGGTGGGAAGGAGGAAACTGAGGCAGGGAGTGGAGTGCTGGGCAGGCCTCACCCCTGGCTGGCCTGCAAGTGCTGCAGTGCCCGCTTCCTGCCCACCCCCAGCTACCTTCCCTTGTGCCTCCACTGAGCACTTTGGTCCTGATCCCAGAAGCCCTTGCCCCACCCAGGACCCCCTGCGCACTTTAAGAGCCTGCCTGGACCCTTCAGCCCAGGCCACCTGCTGCCCGGCTAAGAGCTAATGGGCTGGTGGAGACGTCCGTAGCCCCACACACCTGGCAGGTCTGCTCTGCACGTGGCTTCTGACTTGATGACGAAGGGGATTCTATGTGTGCCCAGTACCGTGGGCACCTGCTGCCTCACCCACCTGTCGCCTGCTAACCCTGGCAGGGCACAGCACACTGCAGGCACTTGGACCTGAGTGACTGGGTGGTAGCGAGGGCCCTTCTGGAGAAGGTGTGGGAAGAAGCTGACTGGCTGGGGCAGGGGCGGAGCCTCCAGCAGCAGGTGCCAGGCAATCTAGGGGGGAAGGGATTGTAAGCAGAGACCCCAGGAGAGCCTGGGTTGGGGCTGAGTTGGGAGGCTGCCGCTGAGGCTGGGGTCCCTCACAGCACTCAGCAAACTGGGGTGGCACAGGTTCAGGGGCGATGCTGGCAGGACCCTATCCACCCCAACTAGATGCCAGCTCTGACTGCTCCAGGATATCCTTGGAAACACCTGCTCTGTGCCTCAGCTGGGGACAGGGTTATGAAGACCTCCCGCTGCAGCCCAGCACAGAATAGCGTTGGGAGGAGCCCCCATGTGGGCGCTGAGCCTGGCTGGACCCTGTGGCTCTGTTCCCGGGGCAGGAGAGTGGCTGTGCACAGCTTTTATGCGGTGCCCACACGTGGTCTGCTCGGGGGTGGGTGCCGCATGGCTCCATGCTCCTGCCACGCTGCTGCCGAAGGGGCTGAAGCGCCTGAGGATTGTGGCTCTGAAGGGGGAGGGGATGTTCTGGAAGCATCGCTAGCGGATCCCAAGGCTGACTGTTGGGGAGGATGTTTATGGTCCGTGAACCAAAGGAAGCAGCTACAAGGCCTGCAGGTGACTGCAGCCGCCGAGCGCGCAGAGGGAGCTGCACTCCTTGGGTAGCTCTAACAATTCTGTTATTAGAGAGAGAGCAACAAAGATCTCTCACCCACTATCCACTCCCTCAACGCCTGCAGACAGGGCTGAGCCAGGCTCAGCTCAGAGCCGGGGACTCACCGGGGTGGCAGGGGCTCTGTCACCCACCGGGAGCGGAGCCGGGACCCCGCTGCATCCTGTCCTGACTGGGTGTCAGGGGGCTGCTCTGTGAGTGGTGGGAGTGGGGTGAGAATCCCTGTTGATGTTCCTGCTTCCAGAGGTGGTTACGGAACGGTTAAGCAATACTGAATCACCAGAGAAGAAGTATTACGTTTGCTTTTGTTTTTCCTCTTTTGATTAAATTTCTTTGATTTTTTTGAGAGAGAGATGGCGAGGGCAAGAGGGCACTTTTGGCGTGGGCTCGCTCCCCAGATGCCCTGGTGGCCAGGGCTGCGGCCCGAAGTGCGGGCTCCGTTTCCAGCCGGTGGGGCAGGAACAGCTCCTTGAGCCGCATGGGCCTCTGGGGCTCTGCAGCGGCAACAAGTGCGAGCCCAGTGAAGCCAGGTGACCCTCACCCTCTGACGTGAGATGGCAGTGTGTTCACTGGTGTTTTGGCTGCTGTGAGAAATAGCTCTCCTCATACTTGATTTCTTTTTTAAGATTTATTTTATTTTTATTGGAAAGTCAGGTATACAGAGAGGAGGAGAGACAGAGAGGAAGATCTTCCATCCAATGATTCACCCCCAAGTGAGCGCAACGGCCGGTGCTACGCTGATCTGAAGCCAGGATCCAGGAACTTCTTCCAGATCTCCCACACGGGTGCAGGGTCCCAAGGCTTTGGGCCATCCTCGACTGCTTTCCCAGACCACAAGCAGGGATTGTGGAGCCACCGGGATTAGAAACAGCGCCCATATGGGATCTTGTGTGTTCGAGGCAAGAACTTTAGCCGCTAGGCCACGCTGTCGGACCCCTCATATTTGATTTTTAAAGTGTTCCCGTGGGTCTGGCTCAGTGGCTGACTCTTCACCTTGCAATGGCTGGGAT